ATGAGACTGACAGACCACTAACCCTGCCGTAGGTTTACACCACCGCGGGAACCTCGGAGAAGCGAGACTTCCTGAAGGCCCAGTTCGGTATCCCCGAGGAACGAATCTTCTCGTCGCGCACGAAGGCCTTCGCGGAGCAGATTCTGGCCTGTACGGGCGGCAAGGGCGTGGATGTGATCCTGAATTCGCTGACCGGCGACTTGCTGGACGAGTCGTGGCGTATCATTGCGGATGGCGGAACCATGGTCGAGATTGGCAAGAAGGATATCCTGGACCGAAGCAGCCTTGCCATGGAGCCGTTCAACCGCAATGCCTCGTTCCGAGCCCTGGACCTGTCGCATAAAGAGATCACCGATGACACGATCGCGAGGTAAGCTCATTTCCTGATGCCCTTGTCCATCTGGGGAGGTGAAACTAACCTACTGCAGCCTGTTGGCCGAAATTTTCACTCTGATGCAGGGCGGCCACCTCAGCCCCATCACCCCGATGCACATCTTCTCATTCCGTGACATCCCGGCGGCATTCCGTCTGTTGCGCAGCGGAAAGCACATTGGCAAGCTGGTCATCAGCGACGGGCCTAATGCGAAGGTAGAAGTGCCCGTGCGTCCGGCCCCACGACGCATGAGGTTATCTCCAGACAAAAGCTACCTGATTGTGGGCGGTCTCCGAGGACTGTGCTCCAGCCTGGCCATCTATCTGGCACAGAACGGGGCCAAGCATCTGGCGGTAATAACGCGGAGCGGTCACGAGGACGAGCAGTCCCAGAAGATTGTCCGAGACCTCCACGCCCTGGGCTGTCAGGTCGACCTGCTCCGCGGGGACGTCTCCAACCTTAGCCACGTCCGCTCGGCATTTGCTGGCACACGGGTTCCCATCGGGGGCATTGTGCAGGGTGCTATGGTGCTCCGGGATCGCACCTTTGCAGGCATGAGCCTGGACGATTATCACACGGCACTTGGGTGCAAAGTGGCCGGCACATGGAATCTGCACCAGGTCGCGCTCGAGCAGGGCCTGAGTCTAGACTTCTTCACCATGCTGTCTAGCGTCTCGGGTCTCTGCGGAAGCAAAGGACAAGCCAACTACGCGGCGGGGAACACCTTCCTGGATGCCTTTGCCTCCTACCGACAGCGACTGGGCCTAGTTGCCTGTTCCATCAATCTGGGAGTCATCCAGGATGTCGGATATATGGCGGAGCGCGACGATCTGCAGGACCGCTACGACGCGGCGCTGTGGCACGCCATCAACGAACGACTCCTGCGCCGGATCTTCGGCTTCTCCATTATGCAGCAGGACAACATCCCTATCAACAAGACCAGCAGCGCCAACCTGGTGACTGGAATCCAAGTCCCGCAGCCCGCAGACTCATTCCTGCTCCGTGACGCGCGCTTCGCCGGCTTATATCTGCAACAGAGCGGGCAGCAAACCCAGACGGTTTCCGACTCGAAAGACATCCAAGCTATCTTCGTTCTCTTACGCTCCAAGGCCGAGCCAGCCGCCGTCCTCGAAGTCACCGTCGATGTGCTGAACCGGTACCTGATGACGAGTCTGCGCTTGCCGGAAGCATTGGACGTGGCGCGTCCCCTGTCCACGTATGGAATCGACTCCCTGGCGGCGGTGGAGTTCCGCAATTGGTTGCGCATCGAGCTGGGTGTGGATTTGAGCACGTTGGAGATTGTCAATGCGCCATCGTTGGTGTCGATTTGCGAGAAGGTGATTTTGAAGATCCCCAATCCTTAGGTGTTGCCGGGTTTGTCTTTTTACACTCTTAGAAGATGATAGGAATAAGAATGATAAAAATGATAAGAATACTTCAGCTCTCTTTAGTTGGGCAAATCAGCCGTAATCGCCCATAGGTTGTAGTAGTTGCATGGGGCTCTGTATAGAGCCGAAGACGCACAGTACACGATCCCGTGCTCGCTGCAAACCAGACATGTCCACTCCAAAGCATTCGTCGACCGAAGGCAGCGGCAGTGATAAAGAATCGCATTCAATTTCGTCATATTATCATTGTAAGAAGTAGGAATTCAGTAGATATTATCCTGATTTGAGCATTATGATTCTAGATTTCATGCAAAATTTCATATAAAATCACCATAAAAAGATCTAACTTGACCACGAATTCGCACTTAGGAGGATTACTGAATATTATTATGAAGAGATATATATATTGGGTCTATAACCAGGTGTTAGTCATAGTAGCACTAATGGTACCTCTTCTTACTATGTCATTCCCTAACAAAAGTAAGTACCCCTAGTACAAAATAAAGCTTCATAAAAATTAATTTTACATCTTAGTTATGAGTTGATTTATAAGCTTACGAGAAGAAGGTTTCTATACAGCTTTATGTATCGCTAAGATGGTAGTTTGAATACCTAAAAAAAACCAGAGAAAAATGCATTAATTATTCAGCTACGATAAATTGGCATGTTTATATTGTTTGGGGCCCATAGTGGGCCCGAATTGACTTTGCGGGCTTGCATTCCGGGCCCACGACCCACCCATAGGCCCGAAGGTAGGGCCCAAGACCCAGATCATTTGGTGGGTTGGGTTAGGCTGGGCTATGGGCTTTGTGGGCTATTGAGAGATCTAAATGTACCTCACGACGGAAATAAGAAAAGAGAAATTTGGCTGACCGCTTGCGGGAACATATACCATCCCTTTAGGGGTGGTACTGACGCGTGCTTAATGTCACATCATGTTGTAACTACAAACCATATTTGAAATGTGTGCGAACAAAATCCCACTACTCAACTTAGTGGGGTGACAGGTAGGAATATATTGCAAGTTCCTCTGAGATGCTACTTGTCTTGGTCCCTTTATACCTCCATATTCATATGTTTTGAATCCTTTTGCTGTACCACCACTTGATGCTGTGTGATCTCAGAGCTCTCCTCATCCAACCTAGCTGAAACATTGGACGGCACGTCATATCCGTATCTAACCAGTTGGGTGTTTTGTCGTCCCCACCAAAGCATACCAAGTTGAACAATGATAGATGAGAAAATAAAGACAGTCGCGAGAGGAAATCCGATTGGATAACGAGGTGAGTCACTCGTCCTCCAAACGCGGATTGGGATTGTGGCATGGCCAATGTATACAATTGTCACTGTCAATGCAACAATGATAGCACGCGCTTCCGGTTCCTTTCTGAGGAGTTCAGCCATCCAAGCCAAAAGTGACGGGCTTCCTGCATTCGTCGCGTATGTAAGGAAGTAAAAGGTGATAATGACCCTCCAATCTGAGGGCCAGGCGCTCAACACACTGAGCACAATGCCGAGTAAAAAGGCCGGCGCAACACTGATCTGCCAGCGCCAGTGCTTCCAATCAGATAGCGCATTCAGACCGAGATTGATGAGGATTTGGAGAGCATAGCCGCCCATAGGAATGACATTGACTTGGGATGTACTGAAACGAAGGTTTCCTGACGAGTCTTCGAGCGCTTTGATATAAAGCGTGAAATAAGAATTTGCTCGGCTTGCCCAGGCTTGCAAGGCAAAAGCAGCCAAGAAGAAGTATGTCACGGGATGTGAGATGAGTTTCCTCAACTTCTGCACAACAACCTTGGTAGGAATCATGTTTGAGGTATTGGCGCCAAAGTCATTCATACGCTTTCGTGCGAGGCGTTTCTCTGCATCGGTAAGCCAGATAGCACGGGTGAGAACTGGTGAGTCTGGAATGATCACGAGGCCGAGCAGTCCTTGCCCAATAGTTACTGTACCAGAGACAATGAATAGCCATTGCCATCCAGTGATACCATGCACGCCATTCATATTGGTATAAAGGGCGGCTTGGAGCGCGCTTAAGAACATACCACCTGCCGCATCTGATACGTTGAAGAAGGCGATTCTTTTGGCCAACTCCGCTGGTGTGTACCAGTTGAAGATCATAGATACAGCGGTAGGCCAGAAGACCGCTGAAAATAATCCAAGCAGAACTCGCAATGCGTATATTGTTTTGGCGTTTGGTGCCTGGGCAATACTATTCAAAGTCATTAGTATGTGTTGAATAATAATTTGAACTCCGTCTACTTACCAGGTGACCAGGATTCCCCATGATATTTCACAGAATGGAAGAAAGATTGATGGACGAACCTTGAAATCGTTATTAGAGTTGTGAGGTTATTTGTCAAAATTCCGAGACTACTCACCTTAGTCTGAATAAGTTGACCAGGAATCAAACCGATAGCATATCCAACAGAAAAAAATGTATTGAAGTTGATCAATTCATTTCCATATAAATTCAAAGATTCTTTCATCCCAGAAACGTAAGCTTGAGCAGTCGCACTTTGATCCATTTCTTTCAAAATTCCAGCAATAAAAGTCCATGTCAACAACAGGCAGTCAAGCTTAAAAACCAAGACATGTTGCGGGTTGCGAAAGTAGGGCATATAGCGCGCCAATACCTTGAACGGCCCTGTCTGAGGAGGTTGTTGATTCTCATCGAACCCCGGGCTAGGTTCAGGTTTGGACAAATGTTCCATGTTTGTTATCTTGGTGCTGGTAAGATGAGTATGCTCTTCATTAAATAAGTCTAGGGACTTTTTCAACAGTCTGTTCGCGCCTGCATCATCGTGAGGGGCGATCACGAAATTCACTTGGCATTGCATGGCGGAACTTTCCAAACCCCCGTAATCGGCATTCAGGTGTGAGAGGTTGTGATGATTAACATATTGAACGTGAATCACCCAGACCCAAAGAAGAGAATTTATCTCGGCTGAGGAGAGCAAGATGTCGTTTCCGAAATAGGAAGCGTGTTGGTGAAGCATTGTCTAGAGGATGTCTGAGTGGGTGGAACCCTTGCCTTTGGTAGCTTCTAGCACAGCTTTTGAAGCCTTCAAAAGTTCAGGCATAGCACTAAATCCTAGTGGTTTAGATGCATTGGTAACTGTCCATTCATTTACCGCTAACGTGGGACATTCCTTGCTCGAAGTGGTTGAATGCCCCCTGTGAACCAGGTGGAGCACATCGTTGAGTACCAGGGTTGTATACTTCAATCACAATTAAAACACGGTATCCTTATGCCGTCGGTAACTCTCAACCTCCACGCTTGTTGTCACATCAATTCCAGCCGTCTGACAGTCGTGGTAGGACTGGTCGCCGCTCTTCGCCGATGCCGACGAGCCTCCATACCAGTTGGATAGCTTATGCGTGTCATCGTCGGTGGTCTCCTTACGACCCGCTTTCCGAGTGATTAACCGTACTAGAGGTCCGAGAGAGGGTAGACAAGCTTGGAATTTTGTTAGTATCATAGGATTCATACAGATGAAGAAAGTATTCTTACCGGATACAATGCCAATATTAGTCTCCACGGCCGTCCAAGTGGAGGGGCCGATGAACACCCACGTTACGTCGACGGACGGTGTTTTGTATGAGTCTAACATTACCACTAGTCGAATGATTGAGATGATGCAGATGCTGCGCTGATTAGCATACCGGAATTGACTCTCACAGAAAGGATAATACATACAATCCTCCCATTGCAAACGCTCCACATAGTGCGACCTTTTGAGGAGTATTTCGATGGATCTTCCAAACATACGGCATGGGAAGAATTAACAGCGCCCAATCAGTGATGATATTTGGGACTGCATTGCCGATGAAAAATTGGTTGATGTTCACACCACAATGGGACTTGATGGAGTAATCCCATAGTCCTTGAATGGGCACACATTGCAAGACTGTTGTTAGGATCTGTGGAATATCCATTAGCTGGGCAACTCATAAGCTTATAGCAAGCTAGCAGATAAGCAGGGCTTGGAATCCGTACTACACCGAGTCCCCAGCCTGTGACCACAGATGCAATTATATATATCGGGATGCGAATGTTGGTGCGATTGAAAATGCGCCAGAATAGTAGTAAGATGGAGTATTTGGTGAAGCAGAGAGACAGCGTGTAGAGGATCTCGCAGACGAATAGGTTAATATAAAAGTGCGAGACGCCAGTCCGTCCTAAGGGATAGATATGTGTCCCGACACCTCGGTGAATCCAGATTATCATGTCGATAAAGTTGCCTGTGGCAAACACCTAGTTGAGTCGAGTCAGTACTTTGTCAAGCAAGACGAAGATCCCTATAAGTTATAGAGCTACGCGACTCTAGTGCGGAATGTGGGAATCCGTACCAGTGCAACACACATGATATAGTCATCCCACCATAAGCTGGTATTGGAAACCTTTAGTCGACATAGCAAGCGCAGTATCACTGCAATGACAGCTAGACCATAAGTGGCTGAATATTTTGCGTACAGATCGGACTGATGCGACTCAGTGAGATCTATACCGGGCGGAGGGGTGAGATCCATGATGGCAGTGACAGACAGAAGAACAGACTGAGGACTCAGGGGCAATTGACAGCAGTATAACAAATAAATCTCGGCAGCGCATTGTTAATATCCCGTATCTGCGTATCTGTCCTTGGAACTGGCGATCGTCCCCATGGGTAGTATTTACTTTCCGGTCCCAAATACTACGCATGCTTGTGAATTGGTAATTAAATTAGGGTTTTACTCGACTAAACCGGAAAATGCAGACAAGTTGGGCGAACCCCTGTAGGTGGAAATGAGATACCCTTAATGTGTTGCGTAGCGTGGGTAGCTGTGTACTTGTGGAGTCTAGTGTAGGGAGTATATTAGGGCGTTATCCGCCGTTTGCTGCAGTCCTTTCCTGGTAGACACAACATATCACACAATGACCACTATCCTCGTTGTTCCTGGTGCCTGGGTTACTCCGGCTTTCTACCATCCATTTATCCATGCTCTCACGGTCGCTAGCTACGATGTCCACTATGCGGGCTACCCCTCATTAAACCCCAAAGATCCGCTCGTCGCCAATTGCCAGGCCGACACTGATGTCGTTTCCGGCATCCTCCAGTCCCTAGTGGAGGATGAAGGCAAAGATGTTCTGGTTTTTATGCACTCCTATGGCGGCATGCCTGGCTCTGCGGCAGCTAGCGGCCTAGCCAAATCGCAGCGGACGCAAGAGGGCAAAACTGGTGGCGTGATTGGACTACTATTCCTTGGCGCCTTCGTCGTGGCAGAAGGTCTCAGTTGTGCCGGTCTCCAGGGCGGGGAACTGCCCCCCTGGATCTTGCTCGATCAGGTACGAGGACAATTTCACCCGCACTATATGAGTTTCGATCAACTTGCTGACCTGCTGTAGCCCTCTGCGAATGTCAATATCGTGGATGACCCTATTGGCAACTTTGCTGCCGATGTCGATGCAGACTTGGCCAAGTCCTTGATCAAATCAATCAAGCCGCATTCGAATTTGGCTTTCACTTCGCCCCAGCCCCATCCGGCCTGGGCGGACGAGGCGTTCAACGACCGCTTAGCCTTTATCGTAACCACTGAGGATGTTGCGGTGCCAAAGGAGGCGCAATCCGGGATGATGGCCGCCACAGAGAAGGCGTGGATCGTCAAGGAAATCGCGTCCAGTCACTGCGCGCCGTTCCTTAATCGGATCGACGAGACAGTGGGACTGATCCGGGAGATCATTGACCAATTCCTATAAAGGGAAACTAGAACTTTAACTTTGAGAAGATGAAACGTTACAGCTGCTAGCGGCGTTCTGTGCAGATCACCGAGGCCACTGGGCTTCAACGACAAATCCCACAACCATGTGAACTTTTCTAGATTGCCCCGCCTGTGTATATCAATTATCAACCTCGTTAGAACGCTCACGACTCTCGCGTAATTACAAAATTGATCCCCATCCGATCCTCGGGCATCCATTCCAAATCCGTGTCCTGCATCCCCCAATCTTGCAATGCGACCACGCTAATTTCGATCGTCCACCGTGTCTCAGTCTGTTGTTGCACTATATCCCACATGTGCAGAAATGATTCCCGATTGTGGTAAAACATCATTCCCCAGGGCCGAATGTAGGCCCGTGCTTGTTCCCGCCCCTGCTGGAACCCCGCTATTATGGTCCCTGGCTTAGATAGGCCGACGATCTTCTTACTCGCTGCTATCTGTCCGTCCCAGTCGAACAGATGCAGGAACTGCGATGCCAGCACTAGGTCCACCTTGCCCCTCAATGCAGAAAAACGGTCATCCTCCCCAACACATGCTTTCTGAAAGTCGGCGTTGATGAACGTGGCCTTCATGCGCCCCTCGTCACGAAAGAGTTGATAGCCCAGTCCCCACAGGTGGGCCTCGATGTCCAGTGCCCACATGTGCTCCGTGGGAACGCCATGGGCGGCCAGTAACCGTAAGTCTTGGCCGAGTCCGCATCCCAGATCGAGAATGGCTGCCTGAGGCCGTTGAGCGGTTTCAAGGATGGTGGGAAATTGAGGAAAGGCTGCGATTCCTGGCAGCAAGAACATCCAGAGACCGATGCACGGGTATTTTCCTAGTGGCCATGCCTGATCGCGCTACAGATATTCATCTTTAGTGTATGGTGTAATTATGAAGTGTTGGGGCTTACGATTTGATGTAGATGGGATGTTAATTCCTCATCGGTCAGCCCGCTCCATTGGCGAAAGACGAACTCGATGCTTGGTTTCAGGCGGGGCCCGATCTCTGGCTGGAACCACGCCGAGGTATCCATCGCGGATAGCTTAAACGTAAACAGAGAGAAGAGTCGCCGTTTCTAGTTCCTGCGATCTATGCTGGGTGGAATGGATGATCTTGTTATTCGGCGGATCATTCAACGGTGCACAGCGCATCTACTTACCTTGATACCTGTTAATCAATTTCTCCCGGTGATTGCAGCGGTGATTCTTGGCTATTGTTGGCACATCGTCGATGATATCATACGTCACTATACCTAGGTAGGCAACACCTGGTCGGAGATGGCCTGTCCTCTAAAGAAGTAAAGAAAATTATGATTAGCGCTAGGAGAAGGACGGACGGCTATGGAGTACAATTTCCGAACATCCTCATCAAAGTATTGATCGTCATGCCGCTAGGTATAGTAATTGTGGGTTCCAATCTAAATTCCTATAACATGCAGCCTTTTGCTAGGTTACATCCCGCCAAGTGCCCCTTATAGATTAGCCACCGGCCCGGTCGACAGTAGTTGATCGATCCCTACCACCTCAGAGCCATACACGGCTTGCATGTATGTAAAACTTTGCTCCTCGGGAAGATATAGTCCAGCCGTACACTCGCGGACCACTGTGGTCCACAATCCCCGCTGAAAAGCGCCTCGGACCGCTGCGTCCACACAAATATCCGCAAATAGACCCACAACCACAAGATGCTCGAATCCTGCCACATAGCTCGTAAAATCCGTCCCTAGGAACGGGTCAAAGTGTCCCTTTTTGTCGAAGACCCGGTCGTGCGCTTGCACATGCACGCAGCTGGCAATCTCCGCCCCCCAACTGCCTTCTTTGCACCACGCCCGCCTGCCCTGGGTCTGGTTTCGCTGCCGCCATGTCGCCGGTTGGTACTTCTCGTCGCCGAGGAATCGCACCCAAGCAATCTCCATTCCCTCGCGACGAGCCCAGTCCACAAGCCGGGGCATGTATTCTTTTATCCGTAGCATCACCCGGGGCGTCTTATACTGCGCCATGAATTCGTTCTGGAAATCCATCACCACCAGACATGACTTAGCCCGGTGGGGAGCTGACGCCAAGCCTCCTGTCTTAGAAGAATCGCGTGCACTAACGCTGGTGGGGATATTGGGGACGATCATCTGCAGTAGGGCATCCACAAATGGTTCCGTCTTAGTTATTCCCCCCTGGTCAAATGTCCGGATATTCTTCGCACGCATTTCGTCTAGCGTAACATCCATCTGGTGTTGGACGCCCTGACAGCCCCCATAGCGCTCTAGCAGAGCTGCTGCTGCGCGAATGGTCGCCGTGGGATTGACCACACCCTTTCCGGTAATGTCGTCAGCGGAGCCATGTGCCGTCTGGTACTCGCTCAGGCCTTGATCCATTCCGGCCGAAAGATAAACGTTTTCGGCACACGCAGATTCTTGGGCGCCATAGCCAAACCGATCTAGCAGCATCGTCTGCATGATGTCTGCGTATTCGTTTGAGCATATTAGCAGCTGGTGGCCCTGGACGCCGAATGCCAGGAGATTGCGGTTCATCGTGTCGCCTTGGATGAATTGGATATCGACACCGTAAGATTCCTTCCACTCTTTCGCCCATGAGTAGAAAAGGCCGTCGAAGAGGTGGAACTTGTAGACCAGCGTGACGGTCGTGGGGGTTTCAGAGCCCCACACCTCGCGGGAGCGTGCAAGTGAAAAGGTGAGTATCTCCTCAAAGACCTTCTTGCTGAAATATGATGATCGCGACACCGTCTCCTGCTTCGAGTCCATCTTGTTCAAACCGGAGTAGAAGCCCTGAGCTTGATCCCGCACTAGCAGGATCGATGTAGATGAGCTCATATTGAAATGCTCTACCTTCACAGCTTGTAGCCGGTCTCGAACCATATAAAGCGCCTGTGCGCTGATGGAGGTTCGAAATATCGCGCATGCTCCAAGACTGACTATCTGGCGACAGAAGGCTTCATAGTGATCCGCATCCGTGAGTGTCTCACTACTCACCACGTCGGTGTCATTGATGGCCAGGAGCGTTGAGTAGGAATGGTAAGTTCGCGGAGACGTGACGAATCGGACTTCCACATTGTACGGTGCTGCCAGTGTGAGGATGACCTTCTTAAATATGGCCAACAATTCGGGGCCAGTACCATTGCCCACAGCGAGAGCAACCAGAATAGAACGCATGATGAGTGAGTGAGTTGCGACCCAGGAAAAGGCGGAGGGGATACATGTGTTCCCATAGTTCTACGACGCTGCAACAGGCGCTATCTCATGGAGCACCGTGCGAAATGGCGTCAGGAACTCGTTTGATTGATCGGCGTGGGGGCTGAAGGATTGGGCGTTGGCCGATGCGCGAGTAATCAATTAAGCTTCTTCATTATTGGGGTCGAAAAGCAGGGTGGCAGGTTGCCCCTCGGTGAAACACTCTCTCCATTTATTTTCCTGCCACTTTCCGAATTGGGCCTCTGCACCATGTCGTCCACAATTGACTCCGGCTTCCACCTCGCGGACAGCAAGGGCTACATGCTTGGCCGAGGCTATGCCGCCGCTTGTCGTCTCAACCTCCAATTCTACCTTTGGAAAGAATCGCTCCAATTCAACATCCACCCCTCCATTCCCATTCCCGCGAACCCCGTCATCGCAGACATCGGCACAGGAACTGCAATCTGGCTGCTCGATGTAGCATACTCACTCCCCACTGCTACCCTTGACGGCTACGACATCGACCTCTCCAACACTCCTCCAACCCAATGGCTCCCCAAGGGCCTCACCCTCCACGAATGGAACCTCTTCGACCCTGTACCAGAGCATCTAGTGGGCACATACGACATCATTCATCTCCGCCTCCTCATCCTCGTGGTGCAGAACAGTGATCCCATCCCCGTCATCCGAAATGTAGCCCGTCTGCTCAAACCGGGCGGATATATCCAGTGGGATGATCTGAATTACCCAGACACCCATGTGGCAAAGGTAGACCCCGAACTGGCAACACCAGCGTTTGATCGCCTACTCAAATTTGTCTACTCAAATGGACGCCATGACTGGGTGTTGAATTTGCCTACGCTGTTAGAGCAGAATGGGTTTGAGAGCCCGCACCTGGACCACTTTCGGGATCGTGTGGAGCTCGCGAACGCGAATGGAGAGCAGCATTTGGTTACTATGGAGGAATTTGCACAGTCGTTGGAGAAGGAAAGTGTGGATGATGCGGAGAATATACGGCTGTTACTGAAGGATCTCGCTGTAGAGGCGGTCCATGGTGTGGCTTTGTCAATGCCTCGGGTCGTAGTTGCTGCACGCAAGTTGTAGGAAGTACCTAGCCTCAAGGGCTCTTTAATCCACCGCACTCTACACGCTAGATCCAAAATACAAATCAAGTTTGGCTGGCGTCCTTGGAATCCACAACGGCAATATCATTGCATCATTCTCGAGGAAGGCGAGCGAAAGAAACAAATGTGTTTACGGAAAAGATGGAAGGTACAGATTAATATAAAGACGATAGTTCTTCGGGGCATTTTTGACAATCATCGCGTGGGTGAATCAGTTCAAAGCCGTCGTGGATGTCGCAGTGCAATTCGACGCTACCGGCGCTTCACTCCCTGGCGGGCATTCGCTTTCTACTAAACGTAGCCATGAGCAATAAGCATTGCTTCGAGACTATTATTCAGGGTCTAGAGCCCGTGTCACTACTGATCGCACGTTATGTAGCGTTCGAATCACTCTACTTTCAGAAAGGATCACATATCCAGGCAAACTTGTCATCCGCCTTGACCAACCTAACCTATATGCGCAGATTCTCGTCTTTCTAGTTGATGGAATCCAATTTTTCAATCAGTCTGGTGCAAGTTGTTTTGTGAAATGCGTGTTTCAGACCTCTCAGGGCGAGGAAATCGACACGGGGCTTGTCATAGAAAGCGAAACAATTCGCTACGAACTGTACGCCCCGAGGCAAGTGCCTCGAAATCCGAGGAGATCCTTGACTGGACCGAAGATCCACACCCTTCCTACAATATTCGAGAGCCTGTCGACCAGCTTCACGGAATAGGTAGGAAGATGAAACTTCGGAACTCTGTATCAGGAGTAGCAGCATCCATGATAGATGTGGCCAGAGTCTAGAAAATGTCGGAAAGGGGATGAGTTGCGAGGAAGCCAACTAGGCCCAGCACTCTGCACAGCATGTCAACACAGCCACGAAAAGATCGTGGACCTGATCCTCTCTGTGGATTTCGATCTCGGGACATTCATTGAATATTCTCTCAAGTGTGCAGCCAAACAATAGAACATGGGTATCATTGAGATGTTAATTCTCCACGGACAACAAACATCGCTTTCAGAAATCCTAGTGCGCGTGGCTCCATAGGAGGCCATCTATTCGTGGTATGGCACGGGTTGGAGCTGAGAGCTCGGTCAGATATAGAACTGCTGCACAACCTCGCCTCAAAGGAAGCAGTCCGCTCAAAACAAACTGAATTTCCGGCTGAGTCTTTAATCCAGGCCATGCAGATCGCCGCTGGGGAAGGCTCGCAACCAACACTGTCTCTTCTATCTGGCACTATCACCGATGAGAGGCCAAGGGCAATGGTCGAGGATTGTTTGTAGAAGGCGATATTGAATTGTCATTGCGACGTTGTCCGCTATATCATTACCAGTCATCCCGGTGCATGCAACTTCGGTCTGCTAAAGAACGCCTTTGTCTATGCTGTCCATCGGGGCTTCACCTCAGTTATGGCAGTTCTCACCAAGACAATACAAAAAGATCTTTTCTACCCCGTGGCCCTCACTCGGGCGTTGTGCTGCACGAGTGCAGTAGGTGCATTGGGCAGCACCCAGTGGGTGTTTCATGCTAGCGCTCAGGCTGACTCAGTGGACGACGGGGCACCTGAAATGAAGCCCCACGAAGCAACGAAAGCACGTAATCATTTCTGACATTTGGAACCTATTCCCTCCCATGTCCAATTTCTCGGGATTGGGAGCCTGTCTATTGTCTGCCTAGAGCCTATGCGAAGATCGATCACTCACATGACTTGGGAATGATTCAAAAGTGGATGCTGTCCTTCTCCTTCTCCTTGAGAATGGAGCTAATGCCAATCAAATTACTGATTGCATGGATAGCCCTTTGCATATAGCTGTGTGACATTGCTCCGGATATGTTGTTCGGATGCTAAGCTCCGATGGTGCCGACGGCAACATATATAATTCCCAGAGCACTGCACTACCATGCGCTGTGAAGAGAGAGTGGAGGTCTTTACCAACATTCTCTATGCTTCTTAATTCTGTGGCTATCATTGATAGGCAGGGTGGTTTAGCAACTCGGTGGGAGATATTATCGCGCCACTTTAAGCATCAACCTCGATCGGAAAGTGATGATTCGAGTGATGATTCCCTCCATGAGCCTGACTATGATTGGGATGGGACAAAGTGCAAATGGATAGACCTACAGTTCAATAGTGAAATACCAGACAACGGCCTTTTCCCTCAGTCTGAGTCAATACGCGAAGTATTATCGACTGGCCCCAGGGCCGTGATAAAACATTTACTTTTTTTCTCGGCCAGAACTGCTTGTCCTAGACCTACCATTTGGGCTACTGCTGCAGATGACTGCTAAGGGTGATTTTCCATCCATGCAGCTTCTCATTGACAGGGGAATTGATGTCAATCTTCGTGGGCACTATTATTGGGTTTTGGTTTTCCCAAGAAGCCTAGGCTAGGTGGGGCTTAAGCCACCTATCGAAGAGACCTGCGAGTCATGGGCAGTTTCAACTAACATCATTTCAGATTCCAGCCACACAAGTTTGCCGCTATCACGTAGTTAGTCCCGCCCCGCACGGCCTTCGGTCCCACATCCCTATCTTATCCCGTAGGAACCCGCAAAACTAGATATAGACAGCCAATGACGAAGAGGGTACAGCTATATTTGGCGTCACTACTGCATCTCGCGCAGAACAAACATCCCATACCTTTAGACAAGAGCCTATCGAAAGCCACTAGGAACCAACAAGGTACTAACAACCCCTCATTTCGTGATATCCTGAGGCAAACACAGCCCCCAGGCCGTCCTCTACCCTGCCTCTCAGTGCCTACAGTTGGCATCCGTTTTCAGGCATCTCTCATTCCATCCACCTTAGCGCTGTGGAATCTATATTCCGAGGGCTGCGCCACAGTATTGTGGCCGAGTAGCGTGTAATATCTACTGGGATACTTCCAAGCCTCCGAGCCAGAGAGATAAAAAGACATGGTGCTCCTCATCAACTGCATATAAAGCAATCTAAGAGAAGCCCTTCATACCCAACAGCATTCCACGACCGCAAGTCCCAATACTCCCCAAACATTTCATAATGACTTCCCGACATTCCTACGTCACAAGTCCACACTCGACATCTCTATCTGAGATCATCAAGCTCGAACCTGAGAAAGAGCCATGGTGTGCCGGTTATGCTCCTTCACAGGGTCGTCGCTGTCACGCCCGCACAAATGCACGTGGCCGCAGCTCCGCAATTGCCCTTCTCAATGAGGGTACCAAGGACCTTCGAGCCGGTCGCAACATCGATATACTGCTAGAGGACCTAGCCCCTCATACCCTATGCACAAGGTTCCATCAAAACCAAGCCTCGGATCTCACCCGGCGTTGGAAAAGACAAGTCCGTACATACCTCGATTCGCAGATGGCGTCCACACGGTCTTCAAGGCCAGTGAGAATACCATCTCGAAGAGTCTATCCAGATCCCGTTGAAGCAGACACGGAAAAGAGAACTATCCTTCTCTACCGAACACTTCGTGATCTTCTGCAAGAGGAGGTCAGTCGCCTTGAGGTTGCTCGATATGGCCTTGCAATTACTGCAGACCCTCCTACTCGCCGTGAGAGTAGAAGCACAAGCGCAGCCAGTTCCAGGAGCGCGACCCATACATCGAACAGAAATTCTCCCCCGCAAAGTCTCGTTGGTAGAACAGTCGAAAGACGCTCAACCGAATCCACCAATCAGGCACCAATCCCTGTACCTCGACCAGTGCGAGTCCAAGTCAGTCCTCAAGCACGGGAAGTTTCTGTTTCGACCCCAAGACCAGCAAGCCCACCAGCTGAGGCCCCCGTCTCCAGCAACACCGATAATCCGCACAGCCAGAATGAAACTTCCGAGGCCAACCGCCGCGAAGTTGAAGGAGAATGTGGAATCTGTTTGTGCGATATGCATATTTCAGAACAAGATGCGGGTTCGGATGAAGAGGAGCCCGAGCACAGTGGCGACGATGACCATGTTGACGATGACCATGTTGACGATGACCATGTTGACGATGACCATGTTGACGATGATCAAGATGGTGAAGAGCCCGATGAGGAAAGAGAAGCCGAAGCTGAGAATGAACCTCAAGATCAAGAATTGACTTGGTGCAAGGCACGTTGTGGAGTCAACTTCCACAAGCTCTGCATCTACCAATGGCTAGAAACAAATCAAACTCCTACATGCCCAACATGTAGGAGCAATTGGAAACACTAAGACTGTGCGGAACATTTTTATTTATACCATGGCGCTTTGAACACTTATGGATCATGATTTGATGAATTATACAAGAATTAATGAATTTCATGTTGTTCAATCTAACCACAAAATATATTTCTGCTGTATTCTTCTTGTAGATGTTGACTTCCAAAACCCATGTACTCTTCATGTCATAGTCGTGCACCTCTTGGTAAAATTGATCTGTGACTGAGACACATTCCTAAGACACCTCTGAATATCTACGATTAAATATAACCGTCTCCTACGGGGAAAGAAAAGTTCGAGGTCATCGTTTCGCCAATTCGCTAGCGGAAACCGGTTGCGCCAATGGGAAACAAGCGAGTTAGAGCACCATGTAATAGTGTTTCCCCTTGTTATCTGGCCTCATTACAAGCGGGCAGGCTCGCAGTGCCTTTTGTGAAACATTGGGTGCCTTGGTCCGCGCTTGTATGTTCTAGAATGGATACATATGATGACTTCGCAAAGATTCTCGGAATAGCGTAGCCGGAAGACTACATACCTAGTACGGAGTAAATACCAAGTACTGCCTATGGTTCTGATACTAAGAGACACTTAGGAACTATTTACAGTTAATGCAAAGATTTTAAATCGCTAAAGTACCTCAAATGTTCCCACACTCTAGGAAAGCGACTGGAATGTCAACAAGCTTAGATCTCGAATATTCCGCATGTCGATACCCAAAGTTATCACTCATTTGTACTTATTGGTAAAGGTAGAAGTAGTAGGTACCGGAGTTACCAAAGCTGCTAGTGTCCATGGCGCCAGCAATGAGCTTGTCATTAACATGGCGGAAGTGGTCAATGATAGGATGCTTATCGTAGATCATAGCTGTTGACACAATACCACGGAAACGAACTTCACGGAGCTGGGTTGTGTTAGAGCATACTTTTTTCCTGAAAAAAGGCATTAGGTGACTTACCACGGCATGACCCCAGTTCTCATCGCATACCCGCTTTCCATCCTGTGACACAACAATAGGGTCGACTTTCTCGGTGGAGTGGAAGGTCTTTCCAAGCCAGTTCATCGTTAAGAGCTGGGCGTGGCCGGGGTGACCTGTATCGAAGCTTCCGCCCTTCCATTCTCCGCGGAGGAAATCAATGGGAAGAGCCGGGAGCTTGTTATAACTGGTCTCGATGTCGGCTTCATTCAACTTGCCACCCTTAGCAACGAGAGCAGCGAACTGATCCTGAGGGGTGCTGGAATATAAAGATAATTACAATGGTTAATGGCCATTAGGAATATAGATGGTGATAAATACCTTGAGGACATGTTGTTCATATATTCTTTGAAGGGTATAGCAGACAAGAGTATAGAAGATAGATTGAGAAGATGTTGGGATACCTATATGTAAGGGGGCTGAAGTTGCGCTAGTAATTTACAATTAGGGCGCCTACCTTAGCTTCGTCTAGATTCCCGAATTCGGAAAGCATTAATCATTGCCTTAAAAAGAAGGCCAATTGGGACGGTATGACTAGTTATTAGGTCACTTGCGGGATGCCGATGTTGTTTGTTCCACGGGCCACGGGCCTCTCAAACACCCCGGAGCCGTGGAGCCTGAGTGGCAAGGTCAGATAGCCGTAAAATACGCTAATCCAGATTAGGCGAAGTTCTGGAAGTATAGAACTGTTCATTGCATGCCGATCCTTATCTTCCTTTTAACAGTAACTGGCTCCAATGTGGCACCTCGCAAGGAAACTGCAAAATGTATTGAGGATCGAGCTAGTGGAAATATTACAAGAAATTCTTTTTAAAAATACTAGGAATAAAAAGGGAACTTGAAGGCGCCTTTAGCACCTGCGATTGCTTGTGAGCGCACCCACCTCCAAGTCATCTATGTCGCATGCTTAGACGCATCGTACATGAGCATACACCAGGGCACTATCGCGATAGTACGTTGCAGGTTATCACTCTCCCATCATACTGGAACTTTCGTGTGATCATGTCAACACTGCCCCGGGCATCGGCTCAACAACGATATTGTTTATCAATTTCGTGGGTAATTACATGAAAGCGAAGACAAAGCAATTGACAAGATAATCTATAACTGAATTATTTGTATATGTTGATTCCTTTGTTAACATTCTTGCACCTTCGATACTTAGTCTGAGTAACAAAGACAGGTAACAAAACAACGAGCTCAATGGCATTCTACTTCCTTTGAATATTTTCCGTTTATACCATTTTTGTATATAAGAATAGTTCCTTGTTTACTCGACCGACCCGGTAATCAGACCTCGGAAGGGTATATAAGCCTCGAGGTCACTCATCAAACAACAGTCTATTCAATCTTCACCACTCTCACAACCTCGAACAAACAAGACTAGGTGACCTTCTTTATTCACTACCATCCCACTAATCTATCTATTAAACCGCAGCCATGTCAGGACGCAGCCTATCTGATGAGTTCCGCGAGGAGCATGCTAATTTCTGGACTCTCATGGAGCAGATTATCCATGGCCTTAGGAACAACTATCCCGCCAACCAAGACGAAATCATTGGCCGAATGGGCCAGCTCAATCTCCAGCTGTCGACCCTTCGACGAGCCGGAGAGATGATGGGCTCGAGTTACCCACCCAGCGACATCGTCCGTGATGCTCCTCCCGGGTACTTCTCTGGCCGCGCCCAACGCCATCAGAATTACTTCGGTACCGAGTTCGGTTACTCCTGCTGGTATACCCAAGCCCACCTGGGGCACACCATTGCAGACCTTCTGTGCCAGAGAGACCACACCCGCGTGGCCGACCACCTGGAGCAGCTGCTAACGAGTTGGGTATTGACCGAGATGAGAGTCTTCCCTCGCCAACTCCCCACGCGCAACCCAGTCGAGCAGCCAGTCAATATCGTCCATATTGATGGCCCACCATACTATACACCGGGCGGCCCTGAACCACGCGTCAAGACAGCAAGGACTATTGGTCCAGTCCGCACACACCCACATATCCGTCTGCCCGCCCCGACCGATACTACTCACGGTGTGGCACGGCGAACACGCCATCGCGCTGTACCATACCCTGGACGTGGTGTTCGCCGGGTACGTCCTGGGAATACCAGGGTCACTCCGCCAATGCCCAAGGCCGCCCTTCCACTCCCTAATATCATGCAGAATGGCGATGCTTCCCTTATTCCGCGACCGACTCTTGCCGGTGTCCAGTCCCTTTTCGCTCCACAAACCCTCCCAGGAGGAGTTACTCTTCCCGGTGTATCAGCTACGTCTGTGCCACCCCCACGTGGTTTGCAGGTCCCTTCTACTGTACCAGGTCCTAATACTGAGGCAACTGTGTCTGTTTTGAATGCCAATATCAGGGATACTTTGCATGGAAACCAGTCTCTTCAGAACTCCGGTCCTGGCCATTGATCATTGGCATCAGTGAAATCCTCCACAGGGCCCGGTTGACCTCCCTAATTTGGACCCCAGATCATCATTATGCATGATTTGGTATCGACTGTCGATGAGTTCGAGAATCCTAGTTGCTTTTGTGCTCATTGCTTACACTTTTGGATTGATAGACTTTTATACTCCCTTTTGCTTTGATAGACTATGTATTTCTCGTCTTCTTTTTGACAATATAGACATTTGACTGGTTGTATTAAATGAGACTCTTTTGTGATACGAGCAATCATTCCCCAGTAGGTTTAGTCGCCCTGGTCCTCGGGATGTGTTCTCTGAATAACTTTCGGGTAATGTCCTTACAGGCTTAGGTGTGGCCCTTGAACGTAGTAGAAATCCATCGTAGTTAGTTATTAAATATTCGAGTTGTTGTTCCACAATTGTATCTGAATTTGATGAAAAAGCGACTAATATATATATTTGTAGCTCCCAACACGATGTAAAATTTCGGCGTAGAGTCAACACCGATGAGGCAATGAGTCAGAGATATTCGGGCTATTGAGCAAATATGGCTTTGTTGCTGCCTTCACTGTACCTCTATTCTGATATATCTGTCCAGTATTTCCCACCAATAATAAGTGATGCATTCTTCATGAGCTGAAGGATTCCTTAGTACAAAGACAAAGAACCATTATCCGCCGTTTCCATTATGGTTAGGAGGAATTTTTGAACAGGGATCTGAATGGCTTGCATATTCTTATTCAGGCAATCTTTCAAGAGCCAGTCTACTTGTTAGAAGTAGATGGTATAATATATGTTTGCAAAGTGGCATGTCAAGAACGGTAAATCTGTATGAGATATATGGACTATATGAAGTACTATACAATATAGTATATGTGGCACTATCTTGTGGCACCACATTACCCCATAGACCTCGCCACTTTCCAAATCTGTCAAGTTGGCTGAACCTCAATAGACCAGCCAATCAGAGGCCAGAATGAATCAGACCATTATCATTTCTTGGCGATCGGCCGATCCTCCGCGCATCTCGAGGCCAGCTTGTCCACTTTGCAGACCCTGACATTCTTGATTATTTCATCTTGAGATTTCTTTCTTCTTTACAAACCATCACTGCATAAACCTCACTCCACCCCACCCGAACAGACCCTCCCGTTGAAAATCCCTGGCCTTAGCGCCACCTTGCATACACAATAACAGACGACTCTGCGCGCTCGATCTACGTATACCACAAGTCGGAGACCAAGATGCGGTCTGCCGCGAGGCTGCTATATGCAGCAGTGTTCGCATTTGCTGGATTGAGCCATGCCGCCGAACAGAATCCTGCACTGGACCCAGCCAAGTGTGCTGTAAGTTTTGTCAAGCACCCCGAATACTCATCATAGATGACTGACAGTTCATTTCGCTCCAGCTCGAACCTTCGGCTATGGTATCAGATGCATGTGTCACATATGGCGAGATCAACGGCATGAACGACCTGATTTTCACGACGCTCAACTCTCTCACACAAGAAACGGATTTCTTCTCCTACTACCGCCTCAACCTGTTCAATAAAGAATGTCCCTTCTGGAACGATGCTAATAGCATGTGTGGCAACATCGCATGTGCCGTGAACACCATTGACTCGGAGGAAGATATCCCGCTCACATGGCGTGCGGAAGAACTCAGCAAACTAGAAGGCCCCAAGGCGAACCACCCACCCCGCAAGATCCAAGCCGAGCGTCCCAAAGAACGCCCACTCCAGGGAGAGCTGGGTGAAGATGTCGGGGAGAGTTGTGTGGTGGAATACGACGACGAATGTGACGAACGAGACTACTGTATCCCCGAGGACGAAGGTTCCACCGGGAAGGGAGACTATGTGAGCTTGGTGGACAACCCAGAGCGGTACACCGGATACACCGGAGCAGGTGCACATCAAGTCTGGAATGCGATCTACAACGAAAACTGCTTCTTGAAGCCTGTGTCTGACGAGCTGGAAGAACAGTCGGTGAACGTCCCATTAGGCGGCCTCCAGGCAGCCTCTGATTTCCGCAACGTGCTCCACAAGGAGTCGCAGAGAAAAGAAGGCTTACCGCTGGATAACGAGTGCTTAGAGAAGCGGGTGTTCCACCGGCTCCTGAGCGGTATGCATGCTTCAATCTCGACACATCTGTGCTGGGACTACCTCAACCAAACCACAGGCCTGTGGCACCCTAACGTGCAATGCTTCAAGGAGCGACTGCTCGACCACCCGGAGCGCATCTCAAACATGTACTTCAACTACGCCCTAGTCTCACGTGCCGTGGCAAAACTCCGCAAGCACCTGGACGGGTACACGTTCTGCACCAGCGACCCGGCGCAAGACCGCGAGACCAAAAAGCGCGTCAACAAGCTAACGGCAAGCTTGACCGAACTCCCTCAAATCTTTGACGAAAAGATCATGTTCCAAGACCCCAACACCATCGGCTTGAAAGAGGACTTCCGCAACCGCTTCCGTAACGTCAGTCGCCTGATGGACTGCGTCGGCTGTGACAAGTGCCGCCTCTGGGGCAAGCTCCAGGTAAACGGGTATGGAACCGCGCTCAAGGTGCTGTTCGACTATGACGAAACCAAGAACGGCGAGAACCCGCCCCTACGTCGCACCGAGCTGGTCGCGCTCGTCAATACCCTCGGCCGCATCTCGCACAGTATCGCTGCTTCGCGCAGTATGCAGAGAGCCCTGCTGACGGGCACCACTCACATGTTCCCGGTCCACGGCGCTGTGCCCTCCTCCCACCACGCCAACGCCCTCGGCAACAACAGGCGCGTGTTCAGAGACGGAAATAACAACTTCTACTACGAAGGTGACGACGTCGAGGATGAGTACGTCTACGGCCGAGGTAAGGCGCCAGAGCGGTACCCCTGGGAGCGCCCCCCGCCCAACCCAGACGACGGCCTCTGGGAGGATTTCGTGTCCGAGTGGAATATGATCTGGGGTACGGTTGGATATATTTGGCGGTCTTGGATGGATATCCCACACACAATGTAAGTTTTGATGCTTGGTTTGCTTTACTCGGACCGATACTGACTCTCGCAGGTACCAAATCGTGGGGTCGGAACTCATCCGATTGTACAATTACTGGCTCGGATTGCCGGTGCCTCCACGCTCGTGGAAGCTCAAGACGCCGCAGCCGCGTGCACATACTCAACCCGCTGCTTATGCTAATCGTGACGAGTTATGAGTTTCCTGTATTTCATTTTTGCATTGGCATCTGTACATATATCGCTTTGTGCTATGGCGTTGATAGACTCTGGATTTGTTTCGGGTTCTGGAGTGTTTGAGTGAATATATAATTGTTCACGCCTTTTTATGTCCGATTGTATGTAGGGATTTGTACATGTAGTATTCACATGTAGGTCTGGGCTAATCGAATCCTTGTAGAAGGCCAATACACACTAGGGGCTATAGATGTAGATATACATGTGAGAATGGCCGCTAGTACCTAGATATGTATGACATAGTACATAATATATATGATGACTCCACTAATTCTTCCATCTACTTTGCTCGTCTTAATCTCAGATTGCCTCGGTCGCCCCTCAGGTACATGCGTTTGCCACTGAAGAGATTTCTCCAGGGAGAGAGCGAACAGGGTAGGGCAAGGCGTTGAACAGAACAAGATGACTGTGATAATTAGATACTATCTAGACAATTAGATCTAAAAAAACACAGTGACACCTCAAGAGAGACAATCCCTCTACATTTAACCTAGGGTGTTGATGAATACCCCGTATTTGCTCGGCAAACCCCGACCTCGGCATCTCCACTCCCGGCCACATGCGTCCTTTTCTTCTCTCTCTCATCCCTCACCCTTTCGGCCTCACGAATCTATCTGGATATAACGTATCTAGATGCGATTTCACTAATATCTAACTCCATGGCGACGCCTTCGCCACCAAAACCGTGGGAGAGAGCCGGTGCAGCTGGTGAGTGTCTTTCTTTCGATTGCCGATATCCTAGCGCCACCGAGTCAGTGCAATCCACAACGTCCACCCGAACTAACTCTCTTCTTCTCTTCAGGGAACACGTTATCAACAGCACCTATCGCCGGTAGCCCTGCTGCCTCGACCGCGATGACTTCTACAACCAACCCCGCAGTCTCAACGTCCACCGCCCCCGACCTTCCCTCTCGTCCCAGCGCTCTCAACTCCGTAGTCAACAACACCGCATCTGCCTACTCGCCATATGGAGCCTCGCGCCTTGGAACAGGCGCGTATGGCTCTACCTATGGTGGAATGGGAGGCATGGGTGCTATGGGATCACCTTACTCCCGTTTCGGTACCATGGGCGGTATGGGCTCCATGTACGGCGGCGGCGGTTATGGCGGCTACGGAGGAGGCATGATGGGCGGTATGGGTATGGGAGGCATGGGAGGCATGTACGGTGGAATGCCGGGACAAGATCCCAATGATCCGAACAGCTTGACGAACTCTTTTGGGCAGAGCACCCAAGCCACTTTCCACATGATTGAGAGTATCGTCGGCGCGTTTGGTGGCTTTGCTCAGATGCTCGAGAGCACGTACATGGCTACGCACAGTTCATTCTTTGGTTGGTCTTCTTGAGAGAGAAAAAAAAAATACATCACGGACACTCGCTGACTCACTTTTATAGCAATGGTCTCGGTCGCAGAACAATTTGGAAATCTGCGCAACACCCTCGGCTCAGCCCTGGGCATTTTCACCCTCATTCGATGGTTCCGCACATTGATCGCTAAGATCACAGGACGTCCCCCGCCAGCTGATGCGACTTCCTTGACTCCCGCTGCCTTTGCAGCTTTCATGGGCGGCCGTGCCGCAGCCACACTCCCCGATGGCTCGCCGGCTCCCGCCAAGCCATCCAAGAAGCCCTTCTTCATGTTCCTGATTGCCCTCTTCGGTCTCCCCTACCTGATGGGCAAGCTCATCAAGACCATGGCCCGATCCCAGGAGGAAGAGGCGAGGCGCCGCCAGCAACTGGTTGGCCCCAACGGCGAGCCGGGCTCAGCATCGCTCGACCCGGCTAAGCTAGACTTCTGCCGTCTCCTCTACGACTATACACCCGAGACCCAGGAGAGCAATGGCATCGACCTGGCCGTGAAGAAGGGCGATATTGTCGCCGTCCTCAGCAAGTCTGATCCTATGGGCAATGCCTCCGAGTGGTGGCGCTGCCGTGCCCGCGACGGCCGTGTCGGATATCTCCCAGGTCCGTACCTAGAGACTATTCAGCGCCGGCCCAATCAGCAGGCTATCACAGCAGGCAGCGAGCCTGCTACTCGCACCACCACAATGAAGGGTGACCCCGTGACCGAAGGTCGCACACAGAGCCTGTCATCTCTAGGCAAGCCTGAGCTTAACAGCAAGATCGGCGATATTTCGCCTGAAAGCTTCCAGAAGAGCACTTTCTACTCATGAGCCTGCACATAGACTTTGCCCGGTGCTTGGTTTACGCTTTCTCCTTCTATTTGTCTTTCTCTTTATCTTTGAAATGTTAGACATGTTGGAGCAGGGTATGATTTTTTGATAGTGACATTATGCGGCCAAAAGCTCCCATCCCTTTGAGCTTTCTTTGCTCATCCTTATATATCCCCCGAGCGTGTCTTTGGATCTTCTCGATCCTCCTTATGACCGGTGGCCAGCTGTGCAGGCAACAGCCTAGCCGTGATGCCAGTGGTTATCCTTCCCTACCCAGGGCTCATGATATTATCCCACAGTATCACCTGGGTAGTCTCTCCGTTTCCCTCCTCTTTCTCTCTTTTCCCATTTCGGCTTCTTCTCCTTTTGTTGTCCTACCGGATTGGATTCATTTTTTAGCGACGGTCTCCCCGATCCCATTTGGCTTATGTATTTAGTACTTATTAGTGCAATGCACACATCTTCAAAACAAAAGCCCCTCCTTCCCTTTTCTAACCACAAAAGTACCACCCCCCATCCAGTACTCCATATTCCGTATTCCCCATTCAATCCCCTCGTGGACTATCCCTCGTGTGGCCCACAGTGGGCCATCCCATACCCGTCCCGTCCGCTCCCGGCACTCCATATCCGTCCCCACCAACACTTGACACTTGATACATCGAATATCAATCTTTGTTTTATATTCACACATGTACTCCGTATATTCAACCACCCAACTCCAGCATCGTATACCACTACATTCACGGCCATCCCCGTTGTCGCCTATACCATCGCACCTCGTATCCCACGCACAGAGTCCGGCAAGAAGCAAGGAGTACTGTAGTCCTAACCGACGCAAACCCCTTCTCCGTACTCTGTAACGTAGCCCGTGGCATGTAAATCAAATCATCTATGCACATGCACATACCCGCGCACGTCATCTCGCTTACGGCGCCCCCTGCTCCGCATCCTCGTCTAGTCAAGTTCTAGTTCGAGTTTGGCTTTGAGTTCCCACGCCTGCATTCGGCTCCCTGCAGCTTTTGCCTCCCGCCCGGACTCGCGGACCACTCACATCCGGTTGGGTTTCGATTGTGCTTTGGGCTGGTGAGGCGAATTTCGCCTTGGCTTTTAATCAGGCTTGGTCGGCCGGATGGACGGTGCTTTTGGTTTTGTGGAGGTTCGGGGGTGTTTTGGCTTTTCGGAGGGGCGTTGCAGGTATTTGGAATAGAATTTCTACATTATGTATAATGTACATATGTACATATGTATAATGTATGATACACAATGTATGATGTACGATCTACAATATGCTGGAGGACTGGGGTACGTAAGGGGTCGAGGGGTCGTGTCTTGTTGTAGTATTTGTGTTTGATGGCCCGTGGACGCGACATGGCCTATAGAGTACAGAGTACATACAACCCCTTGGAAGGAGATTGATCATGTGCCGGATGTACTGTTGTCATGGTACTTTCGTCGTAGATCCACCGACGGAGTATAACCTGCTTAAACGGTTGAATGCTTAGTGGGTTGAGCTTCTTGGAACATTGTAGATAACATGTGTTCATCACTTCATTTCAATACTTTCTGCGATACCCTTTCCTTGACTGGGTTGTGTCACCTCTCGCTACATATGTGTCCATGTACGGTATCGCGTGGGGGTGGCTCTGCTCTGCCTGGACTTTATACATAGTCACGATGTGTAATGGAGTAAAGTTGTTTACGATAGTCCCACCAGGAAATGGTAAATGTTTCAGACAGTCGTTTAAATGTGGGTCTCGATCGTCTCTGGAATATGTTGTGCATGGGATTATCCCGGGAGAGACTGGACCGTGGGGCTGGAACGGTACATAATCGAATTTGGCTGGGATGAAGTGAAGTATGATCCTGGGGGCGAACGGTGAATTGGTCGGGTTGGTCGGGGTAGTAAACGACAGGGTCGGGGTTGTGTAGAAGTGCTAGATATTCGAGAGGGTTGCAGCATGTAACTTCCATGGGTATGTTCTGAGAGATGCCGTGTTCGGGTGAGACATAGCTGAGACTGGGACTGGAAGCCGGGGTTGGTTGAGTCGAGAGGGACAGTAATGTCGGTCGAGCGGATGGATATCGTGGAGCTGAGACGTGTCACTCCCTTCTCGTGCTACCCATTATTTGACAGCGCACTTGCAAGATACACAGAAACTCGGATGACATAATGCATAGATCACCAATCTAAAACGCGGAGAATCCATAATAAGAACGCCCTTGCTATGAGTCTGTCGTGGGCTATGTTTGGAAAGGACGTGAGGACGGGACAAAAAACATAACCATATACATAAAGAATAAACGAGAGAGAAAAGGGAAACAGGCTCAGACGCTGATGGGAAAAGGGGGGAAATCATCACATAGATAGAAAGCAAAATGAAGCAATCAAGAAAAGAAAGAAAGAAAAACGAATCTCAAGCAATAATCAAAAACCAAAATCACATCCCCAACCCCTCATGGTGAGGAATCTCCTGATTGGGATCCTGATCCCTAGCCCACTTCGACATCGACTGCGTAAGCGTATAATCCAAATTCTGCAACCGTGACTGGAACGACTCAACCGTATTCCAGTCAGGCGAATGGGTATCTTCTTCACCAGGAGCATCCTCGAGATCCCGAGGTGCGGTTCCAGGGTGACCATGTGCAGTGTGAGAACTGTGTACACCTACAGCATGGGATGCATGAGAGCCGTGTACACCAGAACCGTGAGAACCGTGAGAACCGTGAGAGCCGTGAGACCCGTGAGACCCGTGTGCACCATGTGCACCATGTGCGTGTGAAAGATGGTTCCCTATTGAATGGTGGTAGGACTGGATATGACGGGGTTGGGTTGTGTGCATAGACATCGGCATGGCCGGTGATTCTTCCAGTTCTAGATCGGGAAGGTTTTCGAGGTGGTTTGGGTCTAGAGCGAAATATCTTCCATCAATATCATTCGGTACAGGCACACTCACCGGAACGGCCGTGGATTTACCGTATGAGCCGAGCGGGTAGGGCGGCATCTCTCGGGTCGGTGATTGCATGTCGGGGAGTGGTGAGATTGGTGTTGTGAGGCTGTGTTCGTCTGTTGGTTCGGGGGTATAGCAGGTCATGTCGGATGGCGTTTCTGGTGGGTTGTTAGTTGTGTTGGGGGTTGATATAGGCACCAGTCTATATCAAATTCGGAATGTCGAAGATCAACTCACGAGGCTCCGGGCTTTGTGGCTCGGTCTCTGGCTCTTTGCCTCGATTGGTATCCCATGATGTCCCATACCGACGCACAAAGCGGGCGATCCGTTTGGGGTCAACATTCTGACCGTTTACCCGGAAGGCTGTCTGTTTGCCTTGGGCGGCACGCTTCTGTTGCTTCCGGAGCATAAGATGGACTTCTTTGGCTTTGATGTTCTTTCGAACATGCCATGCGGCAAGACGATCTTTGTATTGTTTCTCTCTAATGGATTGAAGTTAGGTGTGCTCAAGGAAAGATCTATAAATGAATCATATTCGAAGAAAAGGATAGTAGTACGATGCAAAGAACTTATAATCTCTCTCCATGATGCGTTTCACATCGCGTAGTTTCAGCTGGTCGTTGCGGTAGAGTTGTTCGATGATTTCACGATATTCATGCCAGTCATCCGATCGGCGGGGTCGAAAGACATTAGGCGATTGAGGGGAGATCGGTGTTGAGTAACTATTCTCCATTATAAGAAATATATGATAGAGTTGAGGTGAAGTTCAACGAGGTTATAATATTAAGGAATGCAAATCATAATATGTCTAATGCGAAAAGCAAAAACCGAAGTGAATTAATAAAGGCAAGAGATGAGGGCCAGGGAATCTTTCTCTTTGCAGCGACCTGCACGCGGATAGATGGCCCCCTGCTTCCCCGGGCGAATGAGCTTGTCTGGTGGGCTCCATGAGCACAGGCAACTTGTCACGGATCGACGTGTAGGTCGAGGAGAATATCTCCGTCCGGGCTTTGGTCTTTCTTGTGGGAGGGATTGGATATTTTTCTTTGTATTGTTTTTTTTTTTTAAATTAATTTTACTTGACTTTTGCTTTTTTCTTTTTATCTACTTTGTAGAGTTGACGTACTTTTTTACAGCCTAACCGAACTATTACATGCAGTGCACTGGCCGCAAATTGGACGCATTGTCCGTTGCCTTTTCTTTTTTTTTCCATAAAGTACGAATGTAAGAAGGGGATAACTACATGGTAATGTTATAGGTATATATGCGTAAACTACTATATAATACATAATGTAATCAACTATATGTAGATCAAAACAAATAAAATAAAAACCCACCGGGAACGGGCCGAGTCTTCCCTGACAGGTCTTTGTCTTCCTCCGAGGCTAAAATCCTCTAAAAATCCTCTAAAACATCCCAGTCTGCGGATCAATCAGCCACGTCAGATGGGATTTGTGCATATATCATGACATACGGAGTATATCTAGATCTATTTAGAGTCTATACTCCATACATGACACCTGCCACATTCAACGTGCTAGATCTCAACTGTCAAGCAAGGAGTACAGCCGTTAAGCCCGTTAAAACCATCAAGGGGGGAAAATGCCGCGTTGGTCCTGTCTAGACAAGGTTACCCTGTCAGACCAATTTCCCTAGTGTCAAGTATTTATAGAGAAAAAAAATCCTTCAGTCCAGCCGAGACTCATTGAAACGTACGATGCAAGGTCCGTGCTACGTGTTTTTTTTTTCTTTTTCTTTTTTTTACGGACTTCGGGTGGCTACGGCCTCGTATTCGATTATGTATATGAGGATGTACTGAGTAAGGAGTTTATATAGTCATGATACCCTCGGCTTGGGTAGTTTTTATCTTTTCAAATATTTTTTGAAACCTACCCTACGGACTCGATCCCACTCTCATATACAACGGTGTACATGCCCCGTTGCATGCACGTGTGGCCCATATTCCAAGGGCTAGAACTCCTAACGCAAAACTCAAGAACTAGTGTCAGCTGGGAATAGGTTGAAGATAGCTGCAGTGATCTACGGGATTCTTTTTGTTAGGTCCTCCGGGGAGTAAGAATCTTGGTCCCCGATAGGGATGGGTATCTTTGCTTGCTTGGATTATATCCGAATAGGAGTACGGAGTATGGAGTACAATCAAATTTCATAGGAAAAGGGGGGAACAATCAGCCCCCAGTGAGAAAAAAAGCAACAAAGAAAAAGGCGTGAATAATATTTAATGCAAATCGGGTAACCCTAAATGGACATGGCAAAAAGTGCGGGGTGTACCTTTTTCACTTCAATATAAACCAATATAAATACAAAAGAAAACACCCGCGCTTTCCTTTAGAAGTGGAGGGAACACAGCAGCCATCCCGCGTGGAGCCCCTTCGCTAACGAGCCTCCTGTATACAAAGTACGGAGATATCTGCCGCCAACACGCTCATAGGTCCACGGACCATCGTTCACCGGCTCGGATCGTATGCAGGTACTAGGATGTAGCGTGTAGACTGGATTGACTGTAGGCAAATCGGAGACATCGTTTCTGTCCCGGTATCAGGCAATGGGGGTTTTATTGAGAAGTGGGGAGGTCTGTTCCCGGCCCACGCGCCAGTCCTGCACTCAGCCGACATATGCCAGGGGATTGGTTGGGCCCCTTGTCAATCGAGTAGGATTGTGATAAGCCAATGAGAGTCTTGGAGTTGGCCTTGGTTGAAACGTCCAGTCTTGTGGCACGTCATTACCATCCCCCCTAATACTTGTGCACATAGAGCTTATCGACAAAAGTACCGAAAGTGATGCGCTGTGCAGGTCTTCGACGCGATTTTTCTGCCACATGATTGGCATTCCAATCCTGTGCTGCAGCCTCACCTATTTTGCTTTTTTTTAATAAAAAAAAAACCAAAAAAACCAAAAAATAAAATAAACAATAAAAATTTCCCGGCCTTTGCTGTCTTTCATGGTTTGTTCTTCAGGCTGGCCGTTGGCTGTCGGGCTTGTTCGGCGGCTGCTACGGCCGCAGCCGCAACGGCAGCTGAGTTGCTAGACCCCGTGCTGGCGATATTGCTGGCATGCGCAAGGAGGAACTTGCAGCAAGTGAGCGTGTACTTACAAGCTCGGGTCCATGTCTCATCACTCTGGTTGAAGCCCAACTTGATGCTGGCATCGCCAATACGATCTCGCTTGATCTCATAGGGCAATTTCAACCCCGGTGCGGTGGCGCCAGTGTGGCCGCGACGGGGAGATATAACGGGCGCCGGGGTCTTTTCAACAAACTTCCCCAGCTGGCGTAAACATTCAAGGAACGCCATCATACCTGAATCAAAGCGACGGTGGAGCCAATTAAGGTTGAGCAGTTGATCCCCGGACGAAAATAGGTCTAGTTCGGTTACTTTAGGCGCAGCTCCCTCGACGGGCTGACCGGATGGCTGCGTGGGATATTCAATCTTGTCAATCCGCGAATTAGAACCAAGCGGTCTGAGACGATACCCCTGGAATTGGAATCCGAGTTTTTCAGCCATCGTGGCTAGAAGTAGGGCTGTTTGTCCCCATGCAGCATTTATTTCAGGCCAGTCAACAGAGGGATTGGCCAGCCGGCCTAGCCGTAGTCCATTGATAGTACCGAAATACCCATCGTGGCCGATGCAGAACGCATCATTGTAGACATTTGTCCTTTGCAGTCGTTCAAGCTGTTGCGAGTCATGATCATAACGCATATTGAGCGCATCCCGTTCGTTTTGAAAATCCGTCAGCGTCAACGCAAACGCATTGCGAGACCGCCAAAAGTTCTCCTCGTCCGCATCCAGACGCCGTGAGTCGATTTCTAAGCTGGCAATTTCTGCATCTAAAGCAGCCTTTTCTTTCTCAAAGGACTGCAGCTCTGCGAATGCGGCCCGCTCCGCATCCAGACTCTCATCCAACGATTTCTGTGCTGCCTGCAGCTCTTCCCCGGTCGGGATTGACCCATTTAGATTTCTAAGAAACGAGATGTAGGCATCTCGCTCCTTTGTAGAACCTGCCAAGCGTTTTTGCAATCCTTCGACAAGAAGCTCAGTGCACTCCACGCAGATTGGATGATCGATATCGGAGCGCGCCGAGATTATCTCAAAAAGTCGTGTCGTCTTCTCCACCTGATCAACAAATGATACATCCTCCTGGCCACGTATCTGGGATTGTGTATGACTTCGTTTGCTTCGAGCAGCAGGAACACTCTCACTGACTGGTGGTGGCGCGACTTGAGACTCAGTGAGCATCACAAATGACATATTGCCGCTTTCGGCTCGGGGTATGGTCGGCGGGTTGGGCTGGCCTCCTGCACGTGGGCCCGGGATAGACCGTCTGTAAACCGGCTGCGTAGCATGTCTAGAGGACTGATCATACTTGTCGCGGTGTTCGTGTAGATATGATGAGCGCACTGGTGAGGAAACAGCTCCCGTATCTGAGAGCGTCTTCCCTGTAGAGTCTAGACCACTTGATTAGCGGGGATCATAACGATCGCCCTGTGTGAACTTACTGGACAACAAGTCAAAGGCAGCTGGGTTGAGAGACTCTATTGAGCCATCCAACTTCAACGGCGTGCGACACTTTTGGCAATACATGGTGGTTCTAATTCATGACGGGAGGTGTGGGGAGTAGAAGTCGGGGAGCTCCCTGGGAGCTTCGGAGAACGTCATTTTGGTTTGTTTTGACTTTTGCCGCATATTTGCTCGCGCCTGCGCCTGCACACAACAATTTTACAATTGGAAGCAGATTGCTAAATTTAATTATGCGTTATTCTACTGAGCGCTAGACGTTCCATCATTTCCAAGGCACCCGTGGACGCGCCTATCGATTCTTATCCGCAATCATGAACCCGGACGGCAGCATGGACCACTCCATGCAGGACAATATTCAACGACCGGCGAAGAGACCATGCCTATCATATACCCCCGACGATGAAGAAGTCCCCGCAGAATTTGATCTTCCGGCCGCGCGCGCACAGAATGACTCGCGACTGAAGTCTCTCTTCGAAGGCATTTTCGCGAAATATAGCCAGGACTTCACCGGCGTTGGTGATGAGATCGACCTGCAGACGGGGGACATAGTGGTGGACAATGGGCATCTCATGGGCATGCGGGGCGAGGACGACGGTGGTGACCAGCCGCGACCATGGCTCTCTCAGGCTGAAATGGATAGGCCGGAAGACCTTGATGCAGACGATGACAACAACACGAGGGGAGAGGAAGATGAATTCTTTTCTATGGCATCGTCTCCTGGTGGTCGTTCACCGCATGCTCCAGATGAAGAGTCGCCATCGAAACAGCTACAGACAGACATGGATACCTCTTTGGATTTCGTGTTTACTTTTAAAGCATCAGGCACTGCAGGGCTCAGTCCTACCACCAAGGAAGGATATATCTCCCATCCCACCAACCCTATTCCAGCTCCCAAATCGCAGGATCCAATCTGGGACGTTCCAGACTTGCCTCCGTCCTTTTCAACGCCCACCACTGAGACTCGCAAATCGAACGTGGGCTTCTCTCCACCTGTCAGGTCTCAGTCTCCGCCAGGGAGTGGCTCCGTCTGGGCTGTGCGCAAACCTCGCAGACCACGTACAGAAACGAAACCTAAAGCTACACCGAGTAAGCGCCGACCAGCTACGAAGCGCAAATACCATTCTAGCCCTGTGACGCACGACTGGTCTTTTGCGGCGATACCGGATGGAAATGAGTCAGATGACCCCTTGCAAGACTATGAGCCATCACCGACACCATCGAAAGTGAAAATTATCCGCGGGAAGCGCCACATTTCGACGAAAGAGAACGACGGTCCATCTACTCCTTCGAAAAGGCCAAGTTTCGTCATCGAAGCCGATGATCCAGTCCATGATCAAGAAACGGTGTGTCAAACGGGCGATCAACAGGATGAAGTGCCTTATGCACTCCTTGAAGAAGGGAGTTACAAATCGAGAAACCAGGCAGACCAAGTGCCTGAGCCATGCGTCGAGGAGGGGGGCTGCGAAGCCAGCCACCAAGAAGGTGGAGTACCCAAAGAACAAGAAAAACTACAAGCAGGCTGTAGACCAAGTGACCATGAAAACGAAGCGGTTGTATCTCAATACAAAAATGAAGTGCCATTTGATCATATGGTACTAGCGGATTCAACCCCCAAATCCACACGCAGCACCCAGGCCTCATCGCCGCAGCCCATGGACTTCACCCCAAGCAAAAGGCGGCCCATAACACCAGATGAGGCAAAGTTGATCGTGTGCATGATGCACAAACAAGAAAAGAAGGCCAGTGATGTCATGCACATGTTGCCAGGTCGCGAGTATCAGACAGTTTGGCACTGGTTCTACAACCACTGGACCCGCCGCCTCGCCAACCCGCCACCGCTTTCCGCCGCCTGGACACAGCCTGAGCTGGCAGCTCTGTCCCGACTCAGCACCCAATCAGAACTTACCTGGGGTCAGATACAAAGTCGGTTCAAGGGTCGATCGCGACATGAGGTTGAATTTGAGCTGCTGCGTGCTTTTGTTGGTGAAGGATTTACCTTGAAAATGATCGGGACCATCGAGGAACAGGCGGAGCCGGAACAGCAGGAGGAGGAAGAACAAACAGACGACGAGATAAAGGATGAGCCTGAATCGGATGCAGCCGCGGAGGAAGTCAAATATGAGACAGGAGATAGCAATGCTGCGTCCGAAGACACTGCTCAGGAAGAGCTTGGGCAGCTCGGCACCCAAGAAATGACCACGGCAACCGACAGTAAGGTGGCTGTCCCCAACAGGTTCTTGGGTATTTTTATAAACTCAAAATCATGATTATGTGCAACCGAATTATACTAACCGGGGGCCAGTGATGGACGATCGATGAATCTATCCACATCCATATACATATCCACTAGCATATCACATCCAATTAATATATCTATTGAAAGTCTTCGTCCCGTGCATTCATAACATCCTCAAGCTTCGTATCAACAGCCCCACCAACATCTCCTGCCTTGGCCCAGAATCGAGACAGATGCCGTGAGCCAGAGTCTGAAAGTACCGTGACAATCCGATGGCCAGGGCCAAGCTTCCTTGCTGTCTTGACGGCGGCGATGCCTAGAATCCATCATTAGTAAAACGCACCAGATGTACTAGGTAAAGAGTGAATAGACCCACAATTCACTGCACTACTACTCCCAACAAAGATCCCATCCTTCTCAACAAGCCACCGCGCCATAGCCAACGCCTGTGCATCAGTAACTCGCACCGCATCATCAATCATCTCCTTCCCGGCCTCGAAATTCGCTGTAACGCGGTTAATCCCAATCCCCTCAACGATAGTATCAACCTGACGACGCCTCCGCGTCCCTTCCCTCTCCTTGACATCAAACATGACTCCGTAGACCACCCGATTAAAAAGCCCACTCCCCTGCGGGTCGGCCAACACAACTGTAAGTCTAGGCAGCAAGGGCTTCAAGTACCTCGCCACACCAGAAATGGTCCCGCCCGTGCCAGCGCCCGCAACAAACGCATCAATGCGGCCCCCACATTGGGCGTACAGCTCTGGGCCAGTTCCTTCGTAGTGGGCGCGCCAGTTGGCCTCGTTCTCGAATTGGTCGGCGAAAAAGCCCCGGCCACGGGTCATGCGCTCGTTTGGCGCGGGGAGATCGGATTGCTCATCTGCTGACGTAGAGGGAATGCCCGACGAGGCCGTGTGCGTCGTTGCCAGTGCTCGTGCGCGATTGACGAAGTTGTCTTTCTCCACTATTGGGGCTGGCGGAACCCGGTCCACGATTGCCCCGAGCTTTAGCAGTAGGTTAGATTTTTCAATTGCCTGGTCGGACGGCAGGCAGCTGGGTTGCATGTGCATTAGTGGCTTTTGCTATTGGGTGGGAATTTGGGGTGGCGCATCCATACATGTGTGCTAAGTAGCCCTTTGCACGAGCTAGAGTTGCTAGTGAGATGCCGGTTGATCCCGAGGTTCCTTCGTAGATTGTGTCGCCCGAATGGGGAGTCAGGATACCTTGTTCTTCGGCCTGGTTGGTGTTAGTGATGCTGGTATTGCAGGGAATGTTTGTTGTGTATTCGGCATACAATCTCAATCATGCTTAGTGCAACGCGGTCTTTTGAACTCTGGCCAGCGCCATTCAAAAACTGCATGCATTGTTAGCTCATTTTCCAAGTGGTATACGAAGTACCAAGGCTACATGCCTCTGCCTTGCCCAAAATCTCACATCCCGTCTCGTCGGATAGTGACTTGATTCGGAATAAGGGGGTGTTCCCAATGCAGCCTTCAATGCCTTCCACAATGATGGGCGGACCAGCTCGGGCGACTAGGCCATTTGATGGCGATTTTTGTTCTGTCACATTAACTTCACGCCTAGGACGAGAAAATTCTTGATATGCGAGTGCCAGGCAGACACCTGTCACGAATGCCGTGCCTATGTACGCCGCCGAATGATCTGGCATCTTCCAACGCCGTTTTATGTCTTAAAGATTGAGGTCATGTGCATAGACGGAAACGTGAAGCTCGGACCATCGGGCTTGTTTGGTAGAAGATAGGAATCAGCCTGTACTTCGTCGATGAAAAGAAATATTGAGAGCCAATGCAGAGAGTTCTCTTGGTATTCAACGTGTCTTTGGTTTAAAAAACCATGTAATTCCCAATGTGATGAAGAGATTGGAGGTGATGAGTTTTGCCTGAGGCACGTGTCATATGCCTGAGGCCAAAAGGGTTATCCAGAGACTGTTCCTCTTCCCCGGAACAACCTTGAGCTTAGCTCTGCAGCCACAATGGACTCGCCAGTCCTTACCCAGCTGTTCCGACAGCTCTTCCGCCATCCAGCATGTCGCTCATTAAGGCGATCACCTTCAGTACTTGCTCGACCGCAGTCCCGATCATTTCTCACGCGGCGCACACCTGTCAACGTGAAGCGCAACCGGCACGATGATATCCAGCTCTGGACAAAAAGAGGGGACTATCCCAAGAACATCGATGAGGAGTACAAGAAATACCCGACAGTGACAGCTAAGGAGCTACGCAACCGTCGCGAACGGCCGCGGCAGGTCAAGATGCTGACGCGCGAGTTCATCGACGGTGAGTTCGGCGGCTACTTGATGGGAGACTAGTTCTGACATTGCGCTTTTAGACAGCCTCTACAACCCACATTACGGATACTTTTCTAAGCACGCGACCATTTTCAGCCCCGGAGAGCCATTCGACTTTAACAACATCGAAGACGGGCCCGCGTTCCACAAACTCCTTGGCCAACGGTACACGGAGTTTGAAGACAAGCTTGATGCGACGAACCCCGACATCGCGCGGCAACTGTGGCACACACCGACCGAGCTCTTCCGACCATACTATGGCGAGACGATTGCTCGGTATTTAGTGTCAAACTACAAGCTGACCCTATACCCGTATCATGACCTGATCATCTACGAAATGGGTGCAGGAAACGGCACAATGATGTTAAACATTCTGGATTTCATCCGCGACACCGATCACGAGGTGTATCAGCGCACCAAGTTCAAAATCATTGAGATCTCGCCTGCGCTAGCAGATCTCCAGTACAAAAATTTGACCGACAAGCTCACTGCCAAGGGACACCGGGACCACGTCGAGATTGTAAACCGGTCAATCTTCGACTGGGACACATACGTTCATTCCCCGTGTTTCTTCCTGGCTCTGGAGGTTTTCGATAATTTCGCCCACGACACCATCCGCTACAAGCAAGGCACCGAAACGCCGCAGCAGGGTGGTGTGCTGATCGATGCTGACGGCGAGTTCCACGAGTATTACAACAACCAGCTGGACCCAGTCGCCGCTCGCTTCCTGCGCGTACGCCAAGCCGCCGCCCGGCGTCCTTTCCCCAGTCCCCTGGGCCCACCACTTCTCCGCGGCCTCCGCTCCGCCTCACCCTTCCAGAAGGAATATTCCCTGCCGGAGTACATTCCCACCCGACTGATGCAGTTCTTCGATGTTCTGAACCAGTACTTCCCAGCCCACCGTCTCGTTTCCAGCGACTTCAGTTCCCTGCCAGATGCCGTGCCCGGGATCAACGCGCCAGTCGTGCAGACTCGGTACCAGCGGCAGACAGTGCCGGTGTCGACTCCTTTTGTATGTGGATATTTTCTGCGATGTGATCTTTGAGTCTGGCTAATTTTATCTGCAGGTCCACCAAGGCTACTTCGATATCTTCTTCCCGACGGACTTTAATGTCGTCGAGGATATGTATCGTGCTGTTACGGGGAAGCTGACGCAGGTTACGAGCCATGAGGAGTTCGTGAACCGTTGGGCTTACATTGAGGATACGGAGACCCGCAACGGGGAGAATCCGCTGCTGACCTGGTATAAGAATGCCAGCATGTTGATGACTGTGTAGATAGATATCTCGGTGTCAATAGCATCCAATGATGCCTTGTAGGCTTTTTTTGCCGCCTAGGCTCATATTTTGATGTGGAGATGTATATTCGCCCCAACACCACGTTTTCTTGGATAGTAATCTGAAAGGCTTCAGGTATTCGATCATCATTCCGATGACATCGTTCTTTGAGTGAGTCCTCGAAGCTCTAGATTGAACCTGTTTGATGAAATTCATGGATCCAACATCCAAACAGGTGGTTCAATTCAATATATAGCATGCTGTGAATACGCATTGAACTTTCCGTTAATCCTGTCAACATCTAGGTAATTTGAGACTTGCTGCTACAGCCGCAGGTATAGCCTGACCTACAACAATCATCATAGCAAAGGGACAATTTTTACGCTCACTGCAAGGATACAGATACCGAATAATTCTAATATCAGAAATATTTACTGAATAAGAATCACAGCTCTTGCATCTCCCAGACCCCAGTTCCAATTTCTACAAGGTCCTGCTTTTGTAATCGGATATCAGTCTCTCGAGGAATGGAAGGAGGTCGTCGGAGGAGCAGGTTGAATGGGATGGTTAGAGCGTGCTGCGAGACGGTGATATTGTCGCCAGTCTTCTCTATCACACAGGATTGTGTGACATGGGGCCGCTGAGAATTGGAATCCCATTCCCACGTCTGGATTGTGATCATGGGCTTCCGGTGGTTGACTTTGATGGTGATGGCCATGCTTGCTTCTCCCCTAGTAGGATCCACCCACATTCTTGCGTCATTGCGCAGTTTTGTTTCGGGCTCTGAAAGGCCAACCTCCAGGACTACCGAGGGCCGGTTCGCAACACCACGAGGACGCTGCCGGGGGCCCCAGCCCAAATCCGGCTCTTTCGTGTTTCCGCCGCCGACATTGATGGTTGCCCCTCCATATCGGAAGATTGCTGCTTTATTGAGCCCCATGGGCTGCAAAGCTTCCATCACTGCATCGTGAAATACCCCGGCAACCTCAGAATGCTCGGGCAACGTCATTTTCAAAATCAATGTGTGAAGTGTCGGGTTATAGAACTGACGACCACCGACGTTTAGCTTCAGGGAAAAGTCTTTCCGGAACGAGGGCGGGTCGATGATTATAACAAAGTATTCTGATATGTCAAGAGAGGTATCAAATGGTTCAGACTGGAGATGGCGTAACGAGTGTTCCAGGCGGTGATATTCAAGTCTTGCGATTTCCTCAAATTGTTCTTTCCCTTCGTAGGTATATCTGTTCGTGGAAGGAGGCAGGTCGTCCAGGAAGCCTTCCACGTCCCTTCCATATCTGACGCGTTTGGACCCAGTCATTGTTTCGAAGTATCCTTGCTTTCCTACTATGAGTAGAGTATCTAGGACGGAGCAGATGACTTAAGATGTGAAAAAGAGCCTTGGCGGTCTATTTAGGTACCTACCTATGAAGTAGTGGTGTGGTTGGGTTACCTCATAATGTGTACATGATGTATCTATACGTACCGGACTTTCCTATTTGGGCTGCCGCTTTTCAAGGATGCTCAGGTTCAGGCTCGCCAAGTAGATCCATGTTACCACGCGCTTGTGTCTGTGATCATGCTTAATTTAGTCACTTGTATAATGACTACTTAGGAAGAGACTAGAGCCTCAAATTGATAATCTGAAGCGATTATGATTATGCCACAGTGTAGCTCTTGTTGCCATCGAATGAAGGTTTGCGCAATTGGCTCATGCTAGAAAAGCAAATCAAACACCGATTCATTCAAGCTCGCATAATCGTAATGATACAAAACAATACACAGATACATCATCCCCCTATACCGGTTGGGTTGTTTTCTTTTACTTCATCTCTTCCCTGATGCGGGCGAGCAGCTCAACATTTTGAATCAAACGAAAATCCGCCATGACGGGGCCAGGTTGGTGTCATCCCGACAGAGTTATTCTGTATGAATGTAGGCTGGGTGAATGCAGGTTGGCCAAACACAGGTTGACTGAATACAGGCTTGTAGAATGCAAAACTACCGAAGGATGACTGAGTAAAGGCGGGCTTTGTAAGAACGGGCCTGTTGTTGGGTATGTTCGAGCGCGGTAGGAACTCGTTGCACTCTATCCAGTAATGACCTGTCTGGGACAATTGGAGGTGCTTTTTCTGAGTCAAGAATGTTCGTCGTTATGTTGACATTGTTCACCATGACACGCAAATCCATGGGAATTCCTGCCTTTCTGTGGAAGCCACTCAAGGCAACGTCGAATTGAGAGAGGATGACAGCATTAAGGGAGGTTGTCGTCACTGACGGCCCAGGGTTGAGCAGAGGAAGCGTGATATTGACATTCTGAATGCTTGTACACATGCCATAACGCTGCTTTACCCATATGTGATGAGGGACGAACAGCCGGCAGCGACGCCACGAGTGGCCAATCTCTGCACATTTCCGACAGAACGCAGTGCATGCCCCAAGGTGTTTCCTGTCACAGTGATGGCAGCGGGGACGGCATGTTCCTGAGTGCGATCGCGCTCCACAGTCCTGACAGAATGGGGATGGTCTGTACCTGGGGGGGTGATCATCATAAGCATCTGGGTCTTCGGATTCATCAACTCTACGGCGCTTTCTTGTAGTTCTGAAGATGCTATGATTAGTGGATGGTCTTGGATGAGACTTTGGACACACGTCACTCACGTGGGTTCCATTGTCACTGCACCATAGAGGTAAACAAAAGAAGGGAAAGTCACGAAGACGCCGGGGGTTTGGTTTACTTAGACAGCTCTAACGAGGAAGGAGCAAATATGTCACATGATAGTCAAGCCAAACGGGAAGGCACTCATTCTCGTCAGAGAATGAACAAGAAAGTGAAGGGTAAATCTGATATGAATGAACGCATTGGGTAAACAAACTCAATGACTTGCAAATCTGATTCAGCAGAGTCCATGATGTCTGCTTGGCTGGTATTTCATCATGTGAATAATATAATGGACGAGGAAATCAAGAAAACCAAGCTCTCTAGTGCTTATAGAAGGCCTCTAACAAGTATCTTTTTCCATTGGGTCATTTCTCACCAGCCTTCCACTGAGCCTCACGTCTTGATTTAGGGGCTATCAGGTCAAGGTGCGATGCGAATCTCAAAAAGGCCTGACTAACAGCCAGCGAACCCAAATTGACTCTCCAGGGCTGCTGATCAAGGCATACGATATTCATGACAGCCATAGCAGACCGAGATATCATGAGTTCATTCTTTTGCTCTGGCGATTCCTCTTCTTCCAGATATCCATCCACGTCATCATAGGCTCCCATTTGTGAGCACAAGTAATATACTCGGTAGAGTAGGTTGGGGTAGACGCGGAAGTGCACGAAGATGAGCTGCTTCTGCTGCTAGACTGGTGACCATCCTCGATGGCCCCTTCGCCAATTGAGGGCATGCTCGCACTCGAAGGATATGAGATCAGATATGGAATAGTAATAGCACCGGGAAAGCCAGGTACGTTTAAGCAAAGCGAGTCCTATTTCTTGGCTCGGAGCTTGCTACGATTGAGGATCTATTAAATGTCAAGCACCATGAGCTAGCAAGCCTGGAGAGCGCCAACTAGAAGGGTGATCTGCAATATTGGTGGAGATGTTCATGATGGGCATTTGCTTCAATTACAGAAATGCAAACAGCGAACCTATGTAGATCCAGCTGCCTTGTGTTTCCACATGGCTTACCGTAGTCCATTAGTTCACCACAGTCCCACCGTTCAGCATGACCATTAGCCTGTACCTTGCAATGTACGGCCCCTAACAATCGTCTATTTTCAACTAACCTCAGGCTCCTAGTAAACTTATCAAATGCGAGTACTTCATTCTAGGGACTGTATTCAACCTCGAGGTGTATATATATTAGACAGGTGCATACATAGTACCCATAAGCGAACGTCCGCCCGCAATTTGAACAGTTAATCCGGGCGCTTTACTCTCAGTGCCACCCGACCCTCCCCTTCATCACTCGCAAAGCTATATAGCTTTCCCCTGTGCCGTTTGCCCTTGACCCAACGCTTGATGTCCCGATCATTCATCCGATCCGCCTTCTCTAGAATCGCTGCCGTGTCCTCCGAGTACACCTGTGAAACCGCCTGCCAATGATTCCCCAACAAAGAATGGCGCGTGTATCGTGCAAACAGCCCCACGACAATGGCCACCACCACCCAGTGAACTAGCAACAACCCCATCCCTACCCCAAATCCCGTCCATTGAGTCGGAAACATGGCCGCGTCCGAGAAGGCGGCCTGTGCAACCTTGCTCTCGTCGATTCGCAACAGTATATCGTAATAGGCCATCTGGCAGATGCGCGCGAGGAGCACTTGTAGGGCCAAGGCGGGGCTCTGCGTCTGGTTTAACGTGTCCTGGAATAAATCGATATGCGCGTCGTGCGCTTTGGAATCAACCCTTGCCAACCGAGAGAGATCGATGCTCGCGTTGACCCTCTGGTTACGATGCTCCGGTGTAAAGTCCAAGTCTCTCGTCCGCGGGGCTTCCAGACTACTAAGGACGGCATTCGCCAAGATGTTGGAATTCACGACGTAGTGCTGGTAAGCGGAGACATTCCCTGAACTAGAGAAGGATTGCCAATCCGAGCGTGGGGCGAGAGCGAGCACGCCCCTGTGGTCTATTGGTTGACGGGGGAGGACTGCACCTAGCTGGGTGATTGTATTCGCAGTATTGTAGCGCTCTGTAGAGCGGTTCCAGGACATGGTGGGCTCTGACCCCTCCCAGTCGCTGTCCAGGCCCGTGGTGAACGTATCCACATCGAGATTAAACATGCATGCCGTCACTCGCACCGAAGGGGGATCGGCCCCGTTTCCGACCATTACCCAGGGACTACTAGAGGTGCTGTTGTCTCCAACGCTGTGGACTTCTTGCGTCACGCCGTGTCGTATAGACGCCGAGGAGATGATGTCTAGAAGCATAAACATCGGGGTTGAATCCACGAGGGCGTCCAATGACGAGTCATTGATGAGGGCCAAGGGTGGCACCATGCCGCCTTCCATCAGGACATTCCAGTTCCCGCCATTGTTCGGCTCACATAAGCTCGTCTGTTCCTGCACCCTGGTAGAGTTCGTAAACAAGGCGGTCAGCGAGCACGTAAACGGGAGGTAGGGCTGACTCTCAGTCCTCTGTAACATTGGATACGTGCTATTAGCGATGGCAATCTGTCCCGAAAGACGAGGGTAGCCTATGTTAAGTGCGTCGAGGCGAAGGTCACGGAGTGTAGGTTGCACACAGACGACTCTTTGATCGATGATTGTAACTGGGCCTCTTAAATGACGTATTGATGTCCGCTGCATCGAATCTGGATAGGGTAGGAAGGCGCGGTACGTGTGACCTGTATCATCGTGCTTAGGCCCAGTTACAGGCGGTTCTGAGTGCTCGGCAAACGTCCAACTGGCCGCCGGAGGCATTAGCCACCACGGCTGGCTGAGTGTTACCTCTCCGTAATCATTTAGGATCCGGACATTAGTCGCGTTACTGGGTCCAGTAAATGCCCCATTCCCGAAGTCAGCCACGAGAAGGGTGGAGAGGAGCTGCACGGCCATAGTCACCGACACTTCCAAGAGAATAAGAGTAACGATCACGGCTGAGAGGCCAGTTCCGCGCAAAGGTAGACTCGAGGTCCATAGGAAATTACTCGGGCTCCCGCTTAGAGCGCGCGTAGTGGAATAGAATGGTCCGTCCACTAGGGGAGTGCCGACCCGCTCTAGAATAATGCCGGCAAACATCGCAGTCGTCACACTAGCCTGAGCTGTAACAACCGTACGTAGAATGGCCGTGCAGATGGTGACGATCCGCGTGCTCCAGTTTGCTCTGATGACCACGATCCAAGCCCTGCTTGGTTCTTGCCCTGCGGCTGCTGCCGTGGACTCGGCCCAAAGCCAGGCTAAAGGTACGACTGGCAAAATAAGCATGATCGAGCCGAGACCTAAAATAAGGATATGAACGGTGCCGAGCCGGGCCCATATAGAGAACTGTTTTTCCGCAACTGTGGATTCATCTTGTGTCTGGCTGTGAGCATTATCAGGTGCCGACAACGGAGTATATGCGACCGCACCACTGTCTCTGGGCCGTGCCATGACAGGTCAGTAGTGGCATCAAAATTCAAAAACCACCTAACCTCTGATAGTAAAAGGCGCAGCGGGGGAGGGGGTGCTGCTGGGAAGAAGGAGAAGAAGAAGAAGGACAAGGAGGCGGATCCATAGTCAAATTGGGCGTTCTGAATAGCCGCCTGCGGAGGTACCAAGCAAGGCTTTCCGTGGAAAATAATACAGCAAAATACCAAGAGGCCATACCGAGATTATAGGTTCTTGTTTAGGCCCTAGATAGGTCATATCCCAATCTGACACTTTCCACAACCTTTCCCATGTGTCTTGTACTGCTATGTTGCATCTGTTAATACAAGCGCTAACTCATTGTGACAAAAGATAGTCAGTGCACCTGGCTCACGCAGGTGTCTGACTGGCATGGAGCATGCCCTGAGCAAAGAGGTGAAGAGCGTCTAGCAAATCAAGTCATGGGAATGGTGAGAGTGGCTTGACAAGGTACATGCCCAGGCGGACTAGTGCTTATAAATTATTTGTTTTCCGAGCGAGTGGTAGTGGCGCATTACGGTGAGGATTCGTGTTTTTCAATGAGGAAAAGATGGGGTCCAAATTTTATGAAGAGCCGCAAGCCTCTCAATTGTAATTGAGTAGGCCCATATTCTGCTACCATCGTGTTGCGCGGTGACTTTCGTGGGGACCTATAAATGTACTTTAGCTCCCCTAGGTCGAATTTAGTCTTGAATGTTGGGGAAAATACAGCCATTTTACTACTAGACCATAACAAAAACCTCTGTTCCTGTTTAGGGCCTAGGGCCATATCCCATTCTGACATTAAGCTTTCCGGCTCGGATAGGTAATGTATTTTCCATATGTTCGCAGTACATAAAAGTTCTACGAATGCCGATATATGCATTTATCTACTTTATGTCTCGGGGTGGCCAAGTGTAATGAACCCGCCTATGATTTTCCCAGGCACCAAATCAAAGATCTCATATAGTAAGACACAGAATCTTAGATCCTGATAAGGAGTACAGGTATGTATACATGTAAAGACAGGTGGCCCATCGCGAGCGATAAAGGGTACTTTTCTTGAAAAGCCAAAGGGATTGACGTGCTAGGTTACTATATACCCCTCCGACTACACTAGATATAACCGCCATTTAGGCTCTAACACACTTTTTCAGTAGGCTTGAGCTTGAGCCTCAATGCCCTATCCATGGATCGAATGCTACTTTAATCTTAATCCGACCCCTCTCGGCAACACCACCGATCGCCGAATGCGGGGATATAACTTGAACATGATATTTCGGTCAATTTAAACATCTAAGCCCAAACTATTTCCACTCAATGCTCTTCTCTCATCTACTATCTACACCATGACCATCGAGATAATCCCACAAGAACCACCCCAAGAACACAGTCCACCCCCATGGAAGAATCGTGTCCTCGAAAAGCGCGCCACGCAGCTGACCCTGATCCCCTCAGATTGGCACCTTCCGCCACGCTTCCTAGTAAATCCACCAGCATCAAGCATAGAGACCATCCGCACAAGCGGGATTCTCTCCGCCGACGAGCTAGCATGGACCGAGACAACAGATATCCGCGACCTCGTTGAGCTGGTCAAGTCGCGGCGCTTGACGAGCGAGTCTCTGACAACGGCGTTTTGTAAACGTGCTGCTATCGCACAGCAGGTTACGAAGTGTTTGACAGAGATTTTCTTTGATAAGGCTCTTGATCGTGCCAAGGAGCTTGATGATCATCTACAGCGTACTGGTGAGGTTGTTGGGCCATTGCATGGAGTTCCGGTGTCTGTGAAGGATCGATTTGATGTTGAGGGGTTTGATACGACTATTGGTGTGTCCTTTATGTTTTCCTTTCTCTCTTCTAGGGTCAAAGTCGTGTTTGGTTGTTGCTAATATATGTATAGGTTGGGTAGGCCTGACCAATAAACCAGCCGAATCCAGTAGTTTGATCGTGAGGTTACTTGAGTCAATGGGTGCAGTACTATATGTCAAGACAAATGTACCACAATCTCTAATGGTGAGCTCTCTCCTTTATCTTTCATATGCGCCGAGGAGAACCCACTCACTAAACCACCCGGTTAGATGTCTGACTCGTACAACCATGTATTCGGCCAATCCGTGAACGCCTTCAATCACGCCCTAATCTCCGGCGGTAGCTCCGGCGGCGAGGGCGCCCTTGTTGGCTCCGGAGGCAGCGTCTTAGGAATCGGTACTGACATCGGCGGCTCGATCAGAATACCTTCTAATCTACAAGGTCTGTACTCTATATGTCCGACGACGGGACGAGTACCATGGGACTGCTCCTTGTATGTTATCAACTTTCCTTGATGGTATGCCGAGAGGATGGTCAGTGCTGATATATCTTGATAGCTTACACCAGCACTACCTTGTCACTCCCGTTGCCGGTCCAATGGCCACATCTCTCGCTACGACAGAGTACTTCATGGAGAGTCTTCTTGCGTCCGGCCCGTGGAATCTAGATCCAAACTCAGTCCCTATCCCATGGCGAAAAGAGCTCGCGAACCCGCCAGCGAATCGCAAGTTGAGACTGGGTGTTGTATTTGATGACGGCCTCGTTAAGCCGCAGCCGCCTGTTGCAAGAGCAATGTGCGAGACGGTGAATGCATTGAGAGCCGCTGGTCATGAAGGTATACACACTCCCCATTGTTTCTGAATAAATATTCCCCTCCCCTTCAGTCAACTGAGTGCCATCCTAACCTGTCAAAGTAATCGAATGGGACACCTCCCTCCATATTGCCACCACCAATCTCTGGACAAAAGGCATTTTTGCCGACGGTGGCCAGCACTGCCGTTCGCTCTGTCAGATAGTCGACGAACCCTTAATTGAAGGCATGGTTGTCGGCAAAGAGACCGATCTTCTTTCACATGAGGAGCGAGAGCAGGTAAGACCTAAGACACCACTCAGAACAGTAACATTTGAGAAGCCGATTTCCCCTCCACCAATACCCCAATCCAAATCCAACCCATCTATGATTCTAACGCCACTAAACCAGTTCGAAGCAACAAAACTCACACTCCAAACTGCCTTCCTGAAGCAATGGGTTTCATCGGAAATAGATGCCCTCCTCATGCCCGTCATCCCGTGGGTAGGTTACAAGCCAAAGACGTGGGTGAAGAGCAAGCAGTGGCTCGGCTATACGGCTATGTGGAATCTGCTGGACTACGCGGCTGTCACTGTTCCAGTTGCGAGAGCGGATCGGGGTCTTGATTCTGTTGGTAGTGGAGGCAACGATGAGTGGGAGGGACATTCTATCAGGAATGAGTCGGATGCTTTCAATTATCTGCAGTGTGAGTGCCCATTTTCTTTGTTTGATGTCTTTCTGGGGTAAGTATTGTATTAACTGGGTTAATGCTGATTTTTTCTCCTATGGTTAGATGATATCGACCTTGTTCATGGGATGCCTATCTGTGTGCAGATTGTTGGGGGTCGATTTGGAGAGGAAAAGGCTGTGGCAGTTGGGAAGGTCGTTGATGAGTTAATGAATCCGACCCCCTTTCATTAAAGGCCGCAGAGAGACTACCCACATACTTAGGCAAATTTGAGATAGAAGCAAATGCATTCATGAAACATATATATGAGGAAGTGCTTTTTCCTCTGTGGCTTGTAGATTCCATCTAAGCAGCCAGCAAATGATAAAAAGTAGATACAATGCAGCCAGGCCTTACCAGCCACGAACCCAGAAATGCGAAAGATATATCCCATACCTTTTTCATGTACGCAACGAAAAGATCAAAGATCAACGATAACCTAGAATTCGAACTCTTTGCGGAAGATATTCACGTCCATGCCGGCGACAACCTGGTCAGCCAAGTCACGGCGGCCCATCTGGCTGAACACACGACGCAGCGTGTCGTACAGATTCGTGCTCTGGTTCTGGCTAATATGGAGCATGCGCTCGAGGCGCTCGTCGTCCAGGCCATTCGGGTGCACTCCGTCGCTAATGATCTCGCGTGCACGCTCACGGCCCTCCTGTTCCACGACGCGGTGCATGGATAGTGCGCCGAGTAGGTGTTGTGCGGCTTCGGGGTAGCAGCCGATGTTGATGCAAGACACGCCGAGGTTGTAGCGGGCGCGCACGAAGTTAGGGTTAATGGTGAGGGCTTGTTCGTAGGCTTCAATGGCTTCTTCGGAACGGCCGGAGTTGGCGAGGGTCGCGCCAAGTCGATTCCAGAGGAGATGTAGCTGCTCTTGTTGGTTGGTGCTGCCGGACTCGGTGGAGGCTAGAGCGGCGGAGAAACAATCGACGGCCTTTTCGTATTCCTCGGCGCAGTAGAAGAGAACGCCCAATCCGACTTGTACGTCGGGGTCCATCTGGGCTCCTGAGGGGGAGAGCTGAGCTGCTTGGATGAATAGTTCTGTTACGCGGTCGTGGAGGAGTTGTCGGTCTGTGAAGCCGAGGTCTGAGTCGCCGGATACTTCCTTCGGGTCGATGATTGTTGGGTACTTGTGGGACAGCCAACGCTCGAGTGTACGGTAGGCGGTTGAGTCGTAGCCCTCGTTTGTGTATGAGACAGCCAGGCCCATTAATGCATCTAAATTCCCGGGATCGACCTTGAGGGCCTGCTCCAACGCACGGATAGCGGGCAGCTCCTTCTCGTTCTGCGCCTGCGCAGAGCCCAGCATCGTCCAAGCGTGCACATGCTGTGGGTCCTTTTGAACCGCAGCCTCGAAGGCCAGCGCTGCCAGCGACAGATTACCGCCGTCACGCATAATTTTCATCCCCTCTTCGAACGGATTGCCCACAGCCTGGTAGACGTTATCCTCCTCGAACATATAGTCGCCGAGCTGGGGATCCCGGAAACGAGAGTTAAGACTATCAAAGCCATCCCAGTCGCCGAGATCACCAACATGCACGTTATCGGTGACTTCAAAGTTATCTTCCTCGGCAAGTTTCCTGCTCGTTGCGGTCTCAGCCTGGACCCGTTGCCATACAGACTCAAACGCGTCATTGGAGGGCACTGACCTGTCCAAATCATTCAGTTCCGCCTCGATGGCCGCATTTGCCTCCTCATCCGTTCGGGCCTCGTTCCCAACCGTCGCAGTCTCCATCTCGGCAAACTGCGCCTCCCAGTTCTCATCGTCGAGCTCCACCATCCGCCCCTTCCCCTTATCCTGTGTCTGTCCTTCCATAGGCCCCTGCTGCATCCCCATATGACCACCCATCATAGGCTGCATCATCCCCATACTACCCATGCCACCCATAAAACCACCGCCCATGGCCATCGGTCGCTGATACCCCGACATCATAGGCGACGCGTTCACGGCAGCAGGGCTCGACGTCTGCGGCATGCCCATACGGTTCTGCTGTTGGAAGCGAGCGAACTCGGCAGGATTGAACCCAGATCCGTTATTCATCTGGCCCGGGAATGCTGCTTCCATGCGCGCTTGCTCGCCTGAGTCGAACTCCCCCGCCCATCCTGGCGACCCTGTGCGGGCCGGCTGCGTTTGGAAATTATCCAGCTCGCGGCGCATGTGCTCCATCGCGAAAGGTTGCGGTGAGGGTCCATTTAGTTGTTGGCCTGGTTGTTGCATGAAATCGTCCATCATCTGATAAGGGTTTCCCAACCCCGAGGTTAGTTTCCGTTGCTGTTTTTCTCTGCGCGGGGTTGTAGGCCGTGTTGCTCACCTGATCCTGTCCGCCCATCATGTTGTGTGAGCGCATGCCTTCTTGCATGCCTGGCCCCCGGCCTACTAGCCGGTCGCGCTGTAGTGATTTATCATCCTGGACGTGCTTCGTGAATTGTGAGAGAGGGTTCCCCGCCGTTGAGCATTCTGCGCCACCGAGGAACGACATGGTAGGAACGTAACTGGTTAAATGTGAGGTAATAAGGTAAAGTGTTAATGTAGAAGAGAAATTGGGAGAGAAATAAAGTCAAAGTAAAGGTAAAAGTGCTTTTCCCCCGGATACCTCTTGACGTGGGGGGTTCAAGAGCTTTCCGCCTCTCTCAGCCGAGGTCCCCCGACGGCAGTTTGGAGAGTCACGAGATTCACGAGATATCAGGTACCTCAGGTACATCATCTGTAAAAATTCACAGGATCTACTAATTCTGGGGTAATTGAATTCTTCATGTTCTGGCCTATTTTCTGGCCTCATTTATTTGTTACTATGCATATGTAGTAGCGTTTCCTTTGCTAAAACGCCACATCGAGTCGGGTCAACCCCCTATAATATTTAAAGCCAAGTCCCCAAGTTCACTAAAAGACGATTAGTATGCCGGTCGCGAATATAGTGAGAAAGGTACTAACCATGAATGGCCTTGACTTGAGTGTAGGCCGAAAGGGCATATTCACCCAGTTCCCTCCCGATACCACTCTGCTTGTATCCACCGAACGGAATCGCAAAGTGGGAATCTTGCGAACTGTTAATCTGTTGGAGGTCAGCATATGTCATAAACAATTATATCTTTGAGTACATACCCAAACCATGCCAGCCTGAATGGCAGAAGCAACCTTATGAGCACGGGTAATGTTTTCCGTAAATAGAGCGGCACCGAGTCCATACTCGGTATCATTAGCTTTCTCAATCGCATCCTTCTGGTCCTTGAAAGACTGGATAACGACAAAGGGACCAAAGACCTCCTCGCGCACGGGAGTCATATCGCGAGTGGTATCTTTGAAAATAATGGGCTTGACGAAATAACCCTTGGCATCCGGGGAAGGCTGATCATCTCCAAGAACAAGCTGTGCGCCTTCACGCTTGGCAGTCTCGAGATATCCCAGAATGCGACTCTTCTGTGCAGCGGACACCTGAGGTCCGTGGTTCACCTGGGGATCAAATTGGCTGCCGACAACGGAGTTCTCAATAGTGTACTGCTTGAATTTCTCAACGAAAGTCTCGTAGATGCTCTCCTGCACATAGATGCGCGAGGTGGATGTGCAAATCTGACCCATGTTGCTCATGATGCCGACGTGAGACCACTTCACTGCTTGATCGAGGTTGGCATCCTCGAAGACGAGCAAGGGGCTCTTACCACCTGTCTCGAGAGTAATCGTCTTCAGGTTCGAAGCAGCTGCTTTCATAATGGCTTTTCCGGTGTTGGTACTGCCGGTAAAGGCGATCTTATCCACGTCCAGGTGAGATGCCATAGCGGCGCCGGCAGTGGCACCGGGGCCATTGACAACGTTAACCACTCCGGCGGGGAAGCCAGCCTCCTTGATCAAGGAAGCGAGGTAGAGGATTGAGAGCGGGGTTTGTTCGGCAGCTTTGATGACAACGGTATTGCCGCACGCAAGGGCAGGTCCGAGTTTCCATGCCGCCATCTACTTAGCATTAGCGTTGCTTGAACTGATTGGGCTTAGAGTTTCTCTTTTGACACATACCATAACAGGATAGTTCCAAGGAATGATCTGTCCACACACTCCAATAGGCTCGTGTCGAGTGTAGGCCAACTTGGCCTCGCTGGTCGGGATGGTCTGCCCATGGATCTTATCTGCCCAGCCGCCGTAATAACGGAAGACAGAGATGACCTCAGCAAGGTCCTCGCCCAATGCTTGCTCGTATGGCTTGCCGTTATCCCATGCGTCGATTGTGGCAAGAATGTGCTTGTCGCGCTCGCAGAGGTCTGCGAGGCGAGTCAATAGGAGGCCTCGGTCAAAGCCGGCCAGGGATTGCCATTCTTCTGACTTGAAGGCATTTCGGGCAGCGGCCACGGCGAGATCGATGTCCTCTGGGCCAGCGGATGAGACACTGGCGATCACGGATTCATCGAAGGGGTTGACAGTTGAGAGAGTCTCGCCGGAGATGGAGGGAACGAATTCATTGTTGATGAATAGTCCTTTTTCAAACTATTAGTCATTGAACTTAAGCTTTCGAGGAATATATTGCTCACCAGTTGGTTGTAAATAAGAGGTCTGGTTAGGAGCCGTTAATTGGATAGGTTGAGCCATTGTGAAATATAGATTGGAGTTTCTGGGGTTTGCAAAATCCCGGGCTTGATGGCTTTATATTTGTAGCTTTCCTAGACACTTAGCAAGCCTATTTCATTTATTCCACTCATTTCATTTCGTGACAAACCCCAATGTGTTCTAGGGAAAGCCAAGCAAATTTTAGTTTGGCCTATCTTTTTGCCTATTTGGGAAATGCAGAGCCCCATAGGACCCGCGATTTTGAAGTCCCCGATGATCCCGAGGACGGAGGTTCTCTAACATTCCGAAGATCACTTGGCCCAAATACTTACCCATTCAGGGCATTATCGTGCAGAATGCGGAGAAATATGCCCGCCAAGGCAAGTAACAAGCCCATCTACCCTCCGAAATCTTGCCTTTCTGCCAAACATCCACAATCAATACAAGATTGTATATATTATCTTTTTAGGTAGTTTGAAGGGCATGGTCAGGATAATTGCCGTATCTGAAATGCCCCATTTTTCTATACATGCTCCGAGAGGCATGCCCTCAATGGCCGTTTAAATACTTTAGCTACGTCCATTTCCTTTCGTCGCCACCCAAACTCTTCATCTCCTTCGTTCTTACCTATTTCATCCTCCCTCCAAATCCACAATAAAGCAAACATGCAATTCTTCAACTACGCCGGTACCGAGGCAAACTCGGAATCTTTCCACTACTCGCAAGCCGTCCGCATCGGAAACACTATCAAAACCTCTGGCCAAGGTGGCTGGGACGAGAGTGGCAACGTCCACCCTGACGTCGAGCAACAAGTGGCTATCGCTTTCGAGAATGTCGAAAAGGCCCTGAAGAGCGTTGACTCGCGTATGTCGTGGGAAAATGTTTACGCAGTGCGCAGCTATCATCTCAATATGGATCAGACGTTTGAGGTAGTCACCGGCAATTTCAAGAAGGTTCTTCCTGGTCACCGACCTATTTGGACTTGTGTGGAGATTGGGAAGCTTGGAATTGAGGGAATGGTGATTGAAATTGAGGTTGAGGCTCATTGCCCTTACTAGCTGGCTTCTTTTCTTGGGGCTTTATCATGTGACGAATTCATGTATGTAATTTTCAAATGGAAACTTCTATCTTCACCAAATATCATATTCAAAGGTAATTGTGATTATGTTGACCTTTTGATAGAGACAAAACAATCCGAGATCGGAGCGGAGCCGAGGTCTGCAATGGGACTTCCATTTTAGTGCTCACCCCCTTGCCGCTTTATGACCACTTAGTATAATTGAGCACGGCCGTACCCTAAATTGATAACCGGCCATACACATATGACGCTAGTTCTGAACGCTCATTTCCCTGTTCTTCCTGCTAGCGTTCATCCTTCAACACGGGCAATGTCGAGCGGCACACAACCAGACACTGACCCCGGCGAGACCATGCCATGGTCTCACCGTGGAGCGATTCCGCACCAACATAGAGTCCGCGAATCGGCAGTTCATTCAAGATCGCATCGATGAGATCGAAGCTAAATCTTTCAACTGAAAAGGGAAAATTGAGTCATATAAATTACTACTGGCATCGCATGGGAGAAAAGAGGGGCTTGGATGGCTGGAATGATCACGTTCCCAGAGATGTTATTCGGCAAGCTCGCGAATCGGAAAATGCCTCGCGATTAGAGGACATAAAGACCATATTCCATGGGCATATGGATGGGGCCATCCCGTCAACGCTGGTGACAGATGAGTGGTGTCAAATGTTTCTTATTACCGTCGAAAGCGTCTGTAACGAGGCAGTTGAGCAAGATGCGGATGCGGATGAGGATTTCCATACTCCGATTTGATGAGCTGCGTCATTTCGTCAAATACGCCAATAGTTTCCAAGATCTGGATTTTCGTCGCTCCTGGATCTGTCCGTTTAACCCTGTGTTTCATATTGGATTCTGCGATTTTACATTTCCGGATCACCCGACTATCCAAGCACTACCTCCTCCCAACATCGCGGAATGTCGAGAAGAATTAAACGACTTAGAGGTGAAGGTCGGTTTCGAAATTTGCCTGGGCTCGCATCGAGAATACTCTACATGGTATAGCGCCTATCTCTATTGTCGTCGGTTCAGGAATGACTCAGATCCAAGTCTCAAAGATTGGGCATGGCGGGTTGTCATTTTTCATGCTGAAGGCGACAGCCCAACACTTTTCTACGGCCGGAACCCGAGATTTGATTCCATCCCCGAGTTTCCGGACTGTTACAGCAGCTGGTTGGATCATTTGGATTTAGACCAGGTCCGCGACGACGTGATGTGGTTGTATGGTCAGAATATGGAGCGATTTCTCAGTTCGGCCATTCAATCCAGGTGGGTACACTGAATTGTAACAAGTGGAGCGGTGCTCCGTGTTTCTACGACGGCACAAGTGAGAATTGTAAAAATGGGGGGCAGATGTATCGTTATCTGGTGAACTGCGACTGGGGTGATCATCGGCAACTGATCAGTCGAGAAGTGGCCTTGAATTGAGTTTAATCTTATACAAATATGAAATGGAATATCACACTCTTCATTCGACCTCCAATCAACTTGTCATATTCAAAAATGAAAGTCTACTTTTATGAGTGACCTCGCAAAGTCAAGAGGGACAGTATTATACTATGTATCAATGGTATATAATCATCCTCCTCGTCTTCCGTAGTTTATCTCCAATATCTGCCATTTGTAGTCAATACAACAACCTTCTCCTCTCTTTGCTCTATAATAAAGTTTATATGAATGTTCAATTGTATCATGCCGCGAGAGCATAGCCTACCAGTGATGTGTGAAAGTACCATGCAGCTCAAGGTGTTTAATTTTCCCTCCAATCGGAATTTGCACCAATACATGTCTGCCGCCTCTTCCGTAAACAATATTTCGTATGCCAATGGACATACCCCGCAAAATTACTATTTAAAGCGTTGATAGTGCGGAGAGAGAATCTGCGGAGACTAATGCGTCCGCCACATTATAGGCTGAATCATGCTTCCCGGCGGATCCAGATCCACTGAATCAGTATATCACATCACTCCATACTATGCTATGTGTTATTCGCTGGAACTTTCCGGCAAAACTGGTTACCTTTTCTTTCACGCTGAATTTTATGAAAGAGAAACTCGTAAAATATGACACTAAACGAAAACTTGTCCACTACTTATTTGTCTGGTGCGTTATTCTGCAAGCTAGAGATGTGTACATGTACATGGCCACAGCTTGGAATACAGTACATTGAGATCCAATCTTATAATCATTTCGCCGAATTTGTTCAACAAACTGCCGGGCTTTTGACCCCTCGCGCAGTATCCCCTTGTCCATACCCCGTGTTGGAGGATAGAGGGATAGCAATGACCCTTGGCAGTGTCTCACCTGCATATAACCTGCAAGAGCTTGGTCTAGGCAATCAATTGAGCTGACGACAGCTATATGAAATGCGGGGAACTTCCCAGAAAGCGCCATGAGAGAGGTCTTGGCTTTAGGCTGATCGGTGGTTGTGATATGGCAGGGATGCTCAACTTGGAAAACAGACATTATGGTTAGCAGCTCTTATCATCGAATTCCGTTTGCAAAGATCATGCTTGTTCCAGTCTCGCCATGCTGATATAGTCATTTTGATTGAGGAGAGTTGAAACAAATTCCTTGGAGTGAATTAAGGACGAACGCAGTTTTTGAAGGATGAGGCTGGCGTTAACAACACTCGAGCGTTTTGAACTCTGTCTCCTCGCGCGGGGTTGATGTACAGAGCTATTGGCTGTATATGTGGCTTGATTTGGGGAAATCCTTTCTATAGTTACTCCATAGGCACAGAGACACAGCTATATAAGGCCCTTCTGGGCGGTCCCATCGGATGTTTGATCATTCCATCAAGAACTTTCTTGACAAACATTCTTAATCTATTATCTTTTCAACACAATCCGAGTCATGACTATCCCTGATGAGGTTGATATCATCATCTGCGGTGGCGGCAGTTCGGGATGTGTCCCTGCGGGCCGCCTTGCGAACCTTGATCACAGACTTTCTGTGTTGTTGATTGAGGCAGGCGAGGATAACTTGAACAACCAATGGTGGGTATGCCTAGACTACCACTGTTAGCAATGCATTCTCATCTCAACCTAGGGTGTACCGCCCGGGCATCTACCCGAACAACATGAAACTTGATTCGAAGACAGCATCTTTCTACCAGTCCAGACCGTCTGAGCATCTAGATGGCCGCCAGGCTATTGTTCCTTGCGCCAATATTCTTGGGGGTGGCAGCTCCATCAACTTCATGGTAAGTTATTCTTGATTGACATTTTTATCAAGTGGCCCCAGGCTGAACGCATTGAAGATGTATACCAGAGCCTCTGCGTCCGATTACGACGACTTTCAAGCAAAGGGTTGGACAACCAAGGAACTTCTTCCATTGATGCGGAAGCACGAAACATACCAACGTGCTAGCAATAACCCGGAACTGCATGGTACCGACGGACCTATTAAGGTCTCGTTTGGAAACTATACATACCCGATCAAGAATGACTTCCTTCGCGCTGTCGAGACGCAAGGAATTCCATTTACTGATGATTTGCAAGACTTGAAGACTGCGTATGAGTCCCACGATCTAAATTTTCCATTGTATCTTGCTAATGAAGAGTGATGATATTGCAGCCACGGTGCAGAACACTGGTTGAAATGGATCAATCGTGACACAGGTAAGAACAAATATCCGATTTCCATCGGTATCATTACCTCTCTGACACTCAGTATTAGGACGACGAAGTGATGCCGCTCACGCCTATGTTCACAGTACCCGAGCCAAGCATACCAATCTTCATCTCCAATGCAATACCAAAGTTGAGAAGGTGATTGTTGAAAATGGTCGTGCGGTGGGAGTCGTGACTGTCCCAACCAAGCCTCTCGGCGGCGGAGAGCCAGTTCGTAGGATCTTCAGGGCCCGGAAGCAAATCATTATCAGTTCGGGCACAATGAGCTCCCCACTTATTCTCCAGCGGTCTGGCTTTGGTGACCCCGAGAAGCTGCGTCGTGCTGGTGTTAAGCCCCTGGTGAACCTACCAGGTGTGGGCAGAAACTTCCAGGACCACTACCTTACTTTCTCTGTTTACCGCGCCAAGCCGGACGTTGAGTCCTTTGATGACTTCATTCGTGGAGATCCCAAGGTTCAGAAGAAGGTCTTCGAAGAGTGGGATAAGAAGGGCACCGGTCCATTGGCCACTAACGGTATCGATGCCGGGGTCAAGATTCGACCTACCGAGGAGGAGCTCGGAGAGATGAAGAAGTGGCCTACCCCAGATTTCACAGAGGGATACGAGTCGTATTTCAGGAACAAGCCTGACAAGCCCGTCATGCATTACTCGATCATTTCCGGGTAAGCATTCCATCCGCTTTGTTTTGAATGCTACGAGACTAATCAAGGAATAGCTGGTTCGGAGACCACATGCACATGCCCCCGGGCAAGTTCTTTACAATGTTCCATTTCCTGGTATGCTACAAACTCACTACACCAGAGCAGCCAGCGCTGACTAGATATTAGGAATACCCCTTCTCCCGTGGACACACTCACATCCAGTCGGCTGACCCCTATGAGGTCCCGGACTTTGATGCCGGCTTCATGAACGACAAACGCGACATGGCGCCTTTGGTCTGGGGATATATCAAATCCCGTGAAACCGCCCGGCGCATGAATGCGTACGCTGGAGAGGTCACTGCCATGCATCCTCAATTCGCCTTCAACTCATCGGCCCGGGCACAAGATATGGATTTGGCAACTACCAAGGCATATGCCGGCACGAACCATATTTCGGCTGGTATCCAACACGGTATGCTCTCATGTTTCTCCGGTCGAGTAATCCCATCCAGCTAATAAATCAATATAGGTTCTTGGACCACGCCATTGGAACCTGGCAAGCAGCCTTCGGCTTCAACTCTCAACTCCAATAAACATGAAGCTCGTCCTTCTTTGGAGTACAGCGATGATGATGTTAAGCACATTGAGAAGTGGAGTAAGTATCAACCACAGCGATTGGTAATCCCCGGATCATAGTGTCTAACACTTTCGCTACAGTCTCCCGTCACGTTGAGACAACCTGGCACTGCCTTGGCACATGCAGCATGGCTCCACGAGAGGGCAACTCCATCGCACCCCATGGAGGAGTTGTTGACGAGCGCCTTAACGTCCATGGTGTCAAGGGCCTCAAGGTTTGCGACTTGTCTATCTGCCCTGACAATGTAGGCTGCAACACCTTCAGCGTAAGTTTTCTTTTTCTTGGTTCCTCTAAGAGTTTCTCAAATACTGACTATTATAATCAATAGACTGCTCTGCTTATTGGTGAAAAGTGCGCAATGTTGGTAGCTGAGGACCTGGGCTACTCTGGAGCTGATCTTGATATGAAGGTCCCTACTTATCATGCTCCGGCAGAATTCTCCAATCTTTCTCGCCTTTGAGTGGCCTTTTTTTATGTGAAACGAAGAACATGTTCTGGGATATTCCCTTCTATTTGGCAAGAAGAAACAATCCTCACCAATGTCAATTTGATTTAACACAGTCATGCAAATGAACAATCAATACAAGCAAAAAAAAAAAGTAACATACAAGAGTGAACATTCGCTGGTGGTCACCCGCGCAGTCCACCGTAGGAGGCAATTGTTTCGTATGTTGTGAAAGGCTCTAGTTACATAAAAATGACTAGACTATGCGAGAGATGAGATAATGCGAGCAATTGCCTCACTAGAGGTAGCCGGCCCACCAGAGCCTTGTGCTGATATCTACTCAGCCTAATCCTAAAAGCAGCAAGAAAGCCCCACCAGGGGACACCCCGGGCCGGTATAGCCCTGGAGATTGTCTTTCAACAACCGACATGACACACCTCGTCGAGCTAACCCCAATTGGGAAGGTTTTTGGACCCCATTTATCGCCACATGGCACTGATAAGACCGACCCATTCCCATGGGCTAGAAAATCTTACCCCGCAATCCTCTAACCGTAAATATAGGAGTCTCAAGCTTAGCCATGGGGATGATAACAGTGGAGAAGCATAGATACGTGACCCCCTATCTAATGCCTCGTTAACCCTGGGCAATCAAGATAAATGGCCTAAATGATTTCCCAGACCGGACTAGAACAAAGCTTCTTCTCCAGGTTCATATAGTGGGGAATCGGTATAAAGACCCATGCTACATACCCACGGAATGAATCTAAAAATCCATCATTGCATTTTCGATTCCAAATCGGGGCAACCAATGGAGAAAGTAATGGAGAAACAAGACCTCAGCATAGGCTCGTGCGACAAACTCGAAACACATGGGCTCGGCACATACCAGGATGAGCAGCTATACCAATTGGGGTACAAGCCTCAGCTGCGCCGGACACGCAAGCTGTCGAGCATGCTGTTCATGTCCCTGTCAATTGCCTCAATTCCCTACGGTATTGGCAGTGCCCTCATCAACGCCGTATATGGCGGCGGTCAACTCTCCCTTTTCATTGGACTCCTAGTGGTGTTAGCCCTGGATACCTGCGTCGCCCTTTCTCTTTCAGAACTCGCTTCAAGATATCCTACCTCATCTGGTATCTACCACTGGTCATTCCGGCTGCTGAAGACTAGCGGGAGCAGGAAGTTAGTCTCGTTTGTCACGGGTTGGATCTGGCTCATCGGAAACTGGACCATATCGCTTTCGGTGAACTTTGGAATCGCTTCTCTCGTCGTTGCAACTGTTTCCATCTTCTATCCGGCCTGGACGGCCTCTTCCTGGCAACTCCTTCTCATCTTCTACGGTATCTGCCTGGTGGTTTTCATGATATGCTTTTTCGCCGACCACCTCCTCCCTCTTATCGACACACTCTCCGCAGCATTTTCGGTCGTCACATGCATCACACTTGCCATAACCCTCCTCGTCCTCGCAAAGACCGGTCGTCATGATGCCTACACAGGCTTCGTTGGCTATGACCCCAGTTACTCTGGCTGGGAGGAGAACTTCACCTTCTTCATCGGCTTGCTCCCACCAGCCTACGCATTCTCCGCCATAGGAATGGTCACATCCATGGCAGAAGAATGCACAGATCCTGAAGTACAAATCCCCACAGCTATCAGCCTGGTGCCCGTGGTCGCCGGTGCTGCAGCTCTCGTATTCGTTGTACCGATTTGCTTCACGCTTCCACCGCTAGCGGACATCATTGCCGCACCCTACGGCCAAGCACTGCCATATATCATCCACGTGGTGACAGGATCACCCGCGGCGTCGATCGTCCTCATGATCCTCGTCCTATTCGTCGCCCTTTTCTGCTCCATCAGCATCACAACCACCGCCGGGAGATGTACCTGGGCCTTCTCGCGCGACAATGCAATCCCATTCTCGCATCTTTGGTCAACCACCGTCAGAGATAGCCCACTAGCAGCACTTTGCTTGGTTACAGCCGTTGAGATGCTACTGGGTCTTACCTATCTTGGAAGTAGTAGTGCATTCACAGCCTTTGCATCTGTGGGTGTGATTGCGTTGGCTGTGGCATATGCGATTCCCATCGCGATCAGTCTGTTTGTTGATCACCGTGTGGAAATCAGTCAGTCGCGCTGGAAGCTGAATCCCCTCATTGGCAAGGCGGCGAATGTCCTTGCGCTCTTGTGGATTGCTTTCCAAGTTGTTTTGTTCAGCATGCCTATCACACTTCCTGTCACTAGTGAAACAATGACCTATGCGTCAGTTGTGTTCGTGGGCTGTGTTGCTTTGAGTATGGCCTGGTATATGTTCTATGGGCGGAGATGTAAGAATTCACATCCTCCTTACTCGAAGATTAAGTGCTAACTTGGATACAGATTTCAAAGGGCCTCTAGAAGAAGCTGAGCACTCTTAACTTGGTGTTGAATTTATATAGCGTATTATTTAGTTTGGTTTGAGATAGTCTCAAGAATTGTACTCACATTACCACCACTCCCACTTTCTAAACGTAATCAACAAATTCTTATTATCTAAATTGGGCAATCGGAGCCACTTTTCAACAATCTTGCCGAAGAGGATTCACATCGGGCCAAATCACCCGTGAATACGTTTCAACCCCACATTTGGTGGGCCAAGCATATCACGGCATCTCCAATGGTTGACCGCATTGGGAAGGCCAACGAGAAGAAGCGAGATACGAGAGAGCCCAATGGCCGAATTGCGGGGAAGACGGGGCCAATGAGAGGACGTTAGATGCAAGCCCATCCGCGGTACTCAAGTGGAGATTTCCACAATGTAAGACTCTTATCGCTATACACTATGCCTAAACGGGTTGACACTTAACCTGCGTTCGTTTATGGTCAAAAGATTTACCTAAATAGGTTTGGCGGGTGGCACACCTTAGAGTGCCGATCTAGGACATACAATATGTATATCTACATACCTTATTTAAGAGCACCAACACCCCATCAGCTATACAACGAGAGTTAACGGTGACAAACTTCGACATTGGACGAAACAATGATTCCCACAAATATTGTCCTTCCATCAGGCGTCCTTCCCTTCCTTGGGCTACTCGTGACCATACTCGCGTGGCTAATAGTGAAATGGCCAATTCACCGTAAATCCACTCAAATACAACAACCAGAGAAAGAACCATTCATCAAACCACTTCCCAGCCCCCATCCTCATGATCCAACTTCAAATGATCCCAAATTATATCGTCCATTCCGACATGGACCCAACTTTGTTACGATGGGAATTCGCAAACTGCACTGGGACAACTGGATCGAGATGGATTCCTACTTCCTTCGATACCACGATATGAAAGCAGCGGAATTGAAAAAGGATTTCAAAGAACACATCAAATATGTCGATAATGCAGTCACGAAAGATGCTTGTTTCGAGCTCAATGAGGAATTAGTCCGTCATCTCACACATCGCTATCCCAAGACCTTCCAATTGAAAGGAGGGAAAGTGCATAATAGCCTTACTGGAGAGGCGTTTCCATTTCCAGCTGGTATGTTCAAATATGGTCATTCTTGCAAAAGAAGTTTGGTTGACCCGAAGCTATAGCAACCCCCGACGAGGCTCTCGCAACATCAGCTCTGCTGGTTCAGGATGATCTAGTGCTAATGATGAAGAATGATGGTATGTTCTCTTCACCGCTTGGAAATACGCAATCTCTAACGAAACACAGATGGTGAATACCACCTCGACGCAGCCGCGGTCTGTCTCCCCGGCTTCTGGCGTCTCAGGGAGAAATTCCGCATGTCCCTAGATACGCTTCACTTCGAAGCCGGCGTTCCCCATTATGCGGCCAAGTTGCAAAGGTCTATGAATAAATTCATGCTGAAGCTTACTCCTGACAAGCCAGTGGAGAGAAATAATGTATGCTCAATTCATCCCTACCTCATTAACATACAGTTCTAACAAAAGCTATAGTTCTTCATCCAACTTGACGACGGACTCCACTGGTCTCACCGCATGGGCGATCAACAAGGAACAGAAGTTGCCTGTTCGTTCCCCATTCCCTCCGTCTATGAGTGAAGGAAATACTGACAATATCACTAGCATGGGCTACTGCCAACGGCAAAGGTCTGACTATCGACGAGATCCACTTCCGCTCAGAGCGCCAGACACTACGTCGGTTGCCTCGCTCTGGAGCGATTTTGTTTACTATTCGCACTTATTTCGAACCTGTGACGAAATTGGCTCAGGAGCCTCATATCCCTGGTCGTTTGGCTGAGGCTATTCGGAATTGGGATGAGACTGTTTCTTATTATAAAGGCAAGTCCAGTTGGGATAAGATCTTGATGCCGTATCTAGAGGAACAGGAGAGGGTACAGAAGGAACAAGGCCTTGTTGAGGAGACTGAGGATAAATTCCCTTACTAGATTGCATTGATCCAGCTTTGCTTCTTTTGCTTTTCTTTTTGTTTGAGTGGATAGCGGGAAGCGAGCGATTGTATATATCCGGAAAATAGTTGCATAATTGAAAACGTCAAAATATAAACACTCTGCGTTTAGAACGGGTAGTCATAGGTGGTATATCAACGACATTGGCAACGACATCGGCCATAATGTAGATGGGCAGGAGAATGGGTGTTAGAACACCATGAACAGTTCACGATACAGGCTCACGTCAGCTCTATCGTTTTGGAGCTATGCAAAATTCCAGCGGCTCGGCAGCAATTCCGACTCGGTGGAGGTATTTTGTCTGATAAGCAGCATACCAGCAGTTTACTAGTGGAGCTAGGCCCATTAGCCTTGGAGCCACCGCAGCCTAATCAAACTTGTATCCACCAAGTCGGTGATAGAAACGCTCTGCCTATGTCTGTGGGATATAAGCCACCTTACGAACTCTCCGTGGAACATCATCGAGTCGGTCTACGACCGATGAAGTTACGGACAGAGGCTGGTCGCCAAATATACTCCCTTTATATCTATCAATAAGGCCACAAGTTCCGAATGTCTCCCATTCACATAAGTAATCTCCTTCGAAAGGAACCGGAGAAAATCCTCAAGGGACCCTTGAGGTTTTTATTCTATCACGTAGATATATTGAAAAAGATACAGTTTAATAAAATTTACGTGACAACCCTGGAAGTACATAGAGAGATGATCATTTCTGTTCAATATACATCAAGGTTGAAAAATGCTTCCGTTTGCCATTTTAGGACACTATTGTACACTTTATTATTCACATATAACCCTATCTACTGCTTCTGCTCAGTCTCGGTCTTCTCGGTGACCTGTTCAGCCACAGGCTTAGCCACGGGCTCCTTGACCTCAGTAACCTGCTCAGCCTCCTTCGGCTCAGCCACCTCACGCACTTCCGGAATCTCGTTCACACCGGAGAAGGTACGCTGTCTGGAAGGGTTTCTCTTCTCCATCTTCTTCTGTTGATGACGCAGGTGGTCCTCGGGGCTCAAGACCTTACGCTTAGCAAAGCTGACAGTGAGCTTGCGGCCGTAAGGTGCCTTACGGGAGAGAACCTCCTTAGCGTGGGTAGCGCTGGCCTGATCTTTAAAGTCGATGTGTCCGAATCCACGGGGCAAGCCTGTGCGGCGGTCGACGGGAATGCGGACATCGGTGACACCTGGGATATCATCGAACAAATCCTGCAGATCCTGGTCGGTCAACTCGTAGGGCACGTTGCCGATGTAGAGGGTCTTGCTGGGCTTGCTTTCGGCCATGGATCGGTATGTCGAGTTGGAGAACTGCACAACTACCTCGCGGCCTTCCATAATGCCTCCGTGCTGCTGAGTGATGGCTTCGGTGGCTTCCTCAATGGTGCTGAAGGTAACGTAGCCGAAACTGTGAGGGAGATTTGGTTAGTTTCTGGTGGGCTTTGGTCTGCTGCTTCTGCCAATCGTAGGTCTTGGCACTCACCCTTTGCTCAGGCCGCGGGCATCGTGAACGATCAGTGCGTTCTCAACGGCACCGTATTTCTCAAACTGCTTGCGCAGGTCCTCCGCGGTGACATCGAAGAAGAGGTTACCGATGTACAGGGTGGTCTTCGGTACAGGGCCCTCGCTGAGATACTGACGTCGGCGCTCATTTCTGTCCAGGCGGACTTGGTCGGGCGTTTTCGGTGTGACAGACTCAACGTATCTCACGGGAGTGCGTGGGCTGCCTTCATTGGTCGAGTTCAACCGTGTCTGTGTGAGGGTAGGGTAGGCGAACCGCGTAGCGGCGAGCATCGGAGTAGGACATGTTGAACGCAGCACTGCGCTAGAGGCGGTGATTGATGAGCGCGAAGTCGCTTGGGACAATTGAAGCCGAGAAACGGCCCGGCGGAAGCAATGCCTAGAAATGGATTGTTTAGCAAATCGGCAATCTTCAAATGTTGATGCATCAGCGAGCGCAGATATCGAGACAACGCGAGGTATAGGGTCTCGGGCTCGGACTCGCACTCTGCATTCTATATGACTCACATATTGTAAATTAAAATAACACAAGATGTGTTGATCTTGTATTAAAAATAATATGCTGACCGGAGAAGAATTGCGCGAAGCCAGATAACTTTTCCCGGCAGATAAGGCACGTGACTAATTTAACGCCAATAACAACGTTGTAGATCAAATAAAAACCATCGGATTAGATATTATATGTAGAAAATGTTCAGGTCTTAGGTGAAGATGACGAGTGAAATGTTAGATTTGATAAGTTAGAGTGGAAATATATGATAGTAGCCTCATGGTATAATACATTGACCGACCCCAACACCGACAGAACCCATCAAAAGACAACAATTTTTCTCAAATCGCTAAAAGTCCTCCACCAAAATGGTGATTATAGTCACTCGTAGTATAGCTATCCACCCAGCAAAGAATAAGCAGATTACCTCGTTACTTCAAGTCATCCAATCAAGAAACCAGTAAAACATTCTCAGGTATCAAAAACAGCCAGCGCAAAGCATTTTCTGGCAAAAGCGGGAAAGAATAAACCAGGCAGCATACCAATACATTTCCATCATAGGGGACCTTGGCCCCGACTATTTTTTTGTTGGGATATTGGCGTCGTGCCGTATCCTGTTACCGGCACACCTCCACTATCGGGACTGTTGGATGATGTTGAGAATATGGTCGGTGGTCGCGGAACACCACTAGTTGATGGCACCTGCCCTGAGATGAGAGGATTAGGGACCAAAGGCTGCGGCATGACTCCGGGCTGTTGGTTTGTTTGGCGCTGTGCATCAGTCATAGGCCAAAATTGATTTGTTGTGTCGAAGGTTGGGTTTTGGATGTATGAATCCCAAGCATCCTGGTATGAAAATGTCAGCATTGAAACCAGGGTCCCAAAAAGGAGATGACTTACCCAATCCAGGTTGACCTGCATGTCCGGCATCTGCCCAAACATGCTGCTGAAGGGCGAAGGCGCACCCGGCATTTCAGCCGAGCCACCCACGCCACCTGCTCCTATTCCCATTGGCGAATCCCCCATCTTAAACATGGGATCAGCGAATGGCGGCGGGCCTGGGTTCATCGGGCTCATTCCGCTGCTCAGCAGGCCAAGAGTCATGGCCGCGTTCTGCTTCTCATCTTGTGGCTCAAATGAAGCTGCTCCGGTGCCACTATCAAGACTAGGGATCGACATTTTCACCTTGCTGAGCATCACACCGAGAACGGTGGATGCTTTCCATGCTTCCATGCTCTGATCACGCGATTCATCCCAAATTTCTATCGAGTGTTGGATCGCGGCGGTCATTTCATCGCGCCGCTCTCGGCCCCATGTATACGTGTCTCCCGATGGCCGGCCAGTCCCCTGCAATGAGATGCCTTGGTATAGGTCGAGAGTAACAACGGTGGCTGCGAGTAAGAAGTCGGCTGAACTGAGAGATGTTACTCGGGTTTGCCGACTGCGTAGGCGCCCGTTGCGCGTCTCCGCGTGCAGGACCGCCTGGACGTGCAATAACTCCATCGCTGAGTCAATACATGTCTTTCGAGAATAAGTGAAACGAGGATTTTCTCGAGCGCGAACCAGATACGGGCGATGAAGCACAATCTGAGCTTTGTTGTATACGGCCATGACCTGCACAACTGGTTAGCATGGATGCCAATTACGGCGGCCATTTGGCAACTTACGGCAAAGCGTGACATGATTAGATTGACAGGATCCAACTGGCACTCCTCCATAGGCCGAATGTGCAAGTGATCAGGTATCAAATCCCTTGCATGTCGAAGTTCCGCGTCGATTTCCATCACTTTTTCGTAAGAAGCTGACGAGACAGCAGAGCATTGCTCAATCACACGACTGAACGAGTTGGACAGGCGTGCCTTGGCAATCAAATACGAGATTGGTGTTGGCTCGTTCAATTGACGAGCTGGCGGGAGCTCCTTGCAGTCTTCATCAAAATCATCATCGTACAAACTCCGTGGGAGCTCAGTATCGGTATCTGTACGCCGGATCATGCCCGGCAAACCGACCTGGTGTGAGAATAGAATGTCGGCTTGGCACACAAAAGTCCACACTCTCCGACGCATCTCACCCTGGAAAGGTGTGATGTTTGGGAACATTTTGGAATCACGGTGATATCCTGATCGCATTGCTAAACGAGCAATAACGCCAGTCATAACCCAGATCGAAATATCCGCCTCTCGAGTCTGAGAAAAATCGCCATGCAAATGAAACACGAGTGCTTCGATCAAGAAGCGGTGAGGTTTCGTGTAGTCGGCCAATGTCAAGCAATGTGCGACAGAATGTCGGAATCCCCCAGCCATGTCCATCGCCTTGCCACGGAATTCAGGTGGCTCATCGCCTTCGCGGTGGTAAGATAGCATTGCCAATCTCATCATTGCAAACAGCATAGCGATCCAGACAAGTTCAGTCGCGGAAGGATCATCCCAATGTTTATTATACTAGCAGGGTCAGAGTCTAGACACGTAATGAACTTCTTCCCGGGCAGCTTACCTGTGCTTGGAAGGTGGGCCCATGAAGGATATCTAGATAAAAGTTAATATCAAAATCACGAGTTATGGAAAGAGCAAATACACACGGGTTGCAGGATCATAGGAATTGAAATAGCGAGCAATAAGAATGTCAGTTGTATACTTAGATGGCAGACCACTCATGATCTCGCTACGGCTCATCGGCTTATTGATACCAAACAACAACGTCGCGCCTGATGTATCAGTGGCTGGTTGGGCCGCTTTCACCTTCTCAACCTGCTCATCGAATTGCTTCTTGTGCGTCGTGAAGTAACTCCGCACCTCGGAGATCTATTCGACAGGTTAGAAAGATTCGGGTTTGGTCAAACCTCCCAAACTTACATCATGCAATATAGCCGCCCAGTGAGCTTCACTTATGTAATAGGACTTGTTATTTTCCATCTTCATCACACCAAACGACTTCGTCACCTGGTCCGTGTCGCTCTCTTCGGCGCCCTCCATACCCTCCTCCTCGATATCGTAGTCATGGGAGAACCGAGCCGAGCCCGCACTACTTTCGCCGGAGATAGCCGCCATGGCAGCAGCCGGACCCTCAGACTGAGGGCCGTTTGTCATCAACGAAAGAACCAAGCCTTCTAACCGATCGATGCGATTCTGCATGTCATCTGGTGTGTTGGGCGACTGCTGAGACGGGTTCTTCCTGCGCGAGTTCGATTGCGCATAGTTACATGAAGCGGCATCTCCTCGTTTGACGCAGTTTTCGCAGGGATTTGAACGGTTGCATTTCAGCCTGGGACTATTAGAAACAAGGAATTTCAGCCATGTCTTGAATGCTCACTTTCTGTGCCGACAAGGCCCACATGACAGAGGTACCCGGTTTCGTTTTCGGACGACTCTGTAATCTGGAGAGTGGCCAGCACTCGAGGAATTTGTAGAAGGGGGTGTCGGGGTCATTTTGACGGGGAACGGCATGGTCTCGTCTGGGTAAACAAAATGGTTCGATATCCTTGGTAAATCCACAGGCGCAGATGGCGCAGTGCACGTCAAATCAGCGGTCCAGCCGGGCGGGGCTCTCAAACACGCTGTCGCAGTCCACACAGTCCTATGGCTGAATCAAATGTGCCAGTCGGTTGTTCTGCCAGCTCATCCAAACACCCTCCTCGGTCTGGTTGTAAGTCCAGTCTTAAATATATGCGTGAGTTTCCGAAAGCAATTTTATTTATTCCCTGGTCGTAGCAATGTATGCAAAGTTTTGCGCAACGTCAATGCCACAGTATTTGGTTCGTATTCGTTAGGCAACCGCGCCAGACCCTAGAACTTGAGATGTGGCCGACGCTGTTCGCGAATATTTTGAGCGGTCGGGGGATGTAATATAGGCCGCACAGTATCACTAGACAAATTTCAGGGCAATGCGATGAACGGATGTGCGTTGTCGGAGCTTGCGATGGCTGAAGGAGGGGTGGCCAACTGAGATGCCGCGTTGTTGAATAAGCGTAGTCGGGGGGCCAAAATCAGACTCGAAAAGTCAACGCAATATTTGAGTCCAAGTGTACTCAGAGTTCAGTTCATAACAATAGCGACAATGAGATCAGGAGAAAACGAAGCTGGACTAGGATGGCCTGCAGGGTCGGACGAGATGATGATTAATCCGTTATCTCCGATTTTGCTTATCACCAGATGATCTCACGCATATGTACCTTCCAGGTGGAAATCAAGGCAAATATACATATGGAGAGTTTGTACATATCTTCATGTTAATGTAATAAAATGGTATGTTGTCCTTCGATACACCAATATTCTATTGCCTCTTATGGAACCCGATGAAGTCTATGCGCTCTTTCACCCTGATGTCATGCCAGCCATGTTGTTGATATCAGGCTTGTTTTTCCCTTAACTAACGCCTATTGGCTACACGATGGTAAGTGACTCATACTGTACATAGCCTGAGAATTTAATCAAACACGCATGTCTCGAGTATCCGTGCGTCGGATCAACCCGAACGGGTAAAAGATCGATTGTATATTCACGATAGCATTATCACTATAATTCAAACATCGTTATCCTTCATCAAAATGGTTTTCATCTCAAGGAAAATGTGAAGACTGACAGTCCATCCCTCCTTACCGAGCCCACTGCTCTTATATCCTTCAAATGGCATATCATGAGCAGAAGTTGGGCTAGTGTAGTTAATTCCCACAGTTCCAGACTCCAGTTTCTTGGCTATTGTCAAGGCACATTCAATGTCCTTTATGTAGACTGCAACGTAAAGACCAAAGTTGGTGTCGTTTGCCTTTGCAACCACGATCATCTGTGCTCCCAGGGACATCTTGCCGGCTTTCTTCTCACTTTCAATTTAAACCTGGACCTACTTGAACTATGCTTCGTCTGCCTGTGATCCGTCATTTAAGTCAGGGAGAAGCGGATAGCCAATTGCAACGGTGGCAAATAGCTTATTGAACAACTCGATAAAATTTGATGCGATCGATTCGTGCATGTATATTCTCGAGTTTGTCATGCAAGCTTCACCGCTATCCCACTGAATACTATGCTTCGTTTCTTCAACGGCCTGTTCAATATCTGCGTCGGGGAGATAATTGCTGGGGGTTTTCCACATCATCTCAGTGTTTCCTACAATCAAGGCAGGGGTAGGCTTGCCCGCGAGGAACAAAACCGGAGCATTCCAAGAAATGGTAGCGGCAACACCGAAGGGCTAACGAACAGACATGTTGACATGGCCAGGGATATTAAGGCTTCATGTTCATAGCGCCTGGTAGCCGTTCTCGGCGAAGAAGTTAAAGGTGATTGCTGCTGCACAGGGGTCGAAATATCCTGGGACAGGACGACCCATGGACACAGCCTCTGGTTGAGCAAGTTCCTCGTGCGATTCGAGAATCAGGAAGCCAACCTCTTGAAGTGTAAGCACCTCCCGGAAGCGGCGAAAGCGCAGACCACGGCGGGAAAGCTGCCTTTGCTACTGCCACTGCTGTATTTTTATCATCTTCAGTCGCTTCATAGACTATATAATAAATATAATCAGTCCATAGGTTATTTTCAAAGGTAACAGATGAATACACACCTTTGGCAAACTTTTCATTTGTAGTTGGCGATATCAAGTCAAACGTACAGACGATTCCACAAATTGTAACGGCAGTGATCATGTTGTTCATTTAGGTCTAGGTTCAAACAGAACGAACCTTTTAGCCGTGTTTCCATCTCTCCGATCTTTGTCGAGTCAATAGATCCCATTTTGCTTTCTTCCGGAAAGGTTCTGGCAAGAGATGAGATTAGCGTTTATAATATAGTCCTTCTTAGCAAGATTGAAGAAAAGAGTTCATTCTATTCTTTTCATAGATCGCTCTCTCTCATATGTATGTTCCTTTCCAGTACCAACCTCGGATTGCCGTGAAGCCAAGGTTAATACAAATTTCTATCGCGACTGCATTCATTACTCCGATGCTGCATATTGCGGGTATGCAGAGATCTCCCCTGGTCCTTCATTGCGTCCGCTCTGCTTGGCGTACCCATTAAAGTTGTAGGACTAAATACGTACCTCTATAAAGAATATGGGGTAGCTAGGTATTTCCGCTTCATGATAAGCATCCCTTAGCAGGGATTGATACTGCCGTGTATAAATAAACAACAGCTCGGGACAAATAACCCGACGAGATAATTGGGCAAATCCTTTGCCTGTATTTATTGTTTCCCAGATTATACATAGAAAAGTATCTTCCACGAAGTATGCTTTTGTTTTCCGACTTCTTCTGCCGTCTACCTATATAACTGAGAAGGGCGACAAAATGTCTTCAAGGCGTCTGTGTTGTAGTAAGAAAAACCACCGAAAAGACACCACAATTCCGCACACGCGGTCGTCTACTCTTGTGTAACTATTATAAAGTGACAAAGTAGCTTCACTATAGTTACGGAGTAGAGATTATAGGTGACCCATATTTCCCCACAATCCCCGCGATTCCCATAGTTCCCGGTAGTTACCGCATCATTTACGTGCCGATAGTACTTCCGAGGCTTTAGGGTGACTTCCATAGTGAGTTAGTAGTTAGGTGGGTGACCATCAGTATGTCCACACTGCTATTTTCGAGATCAAGGATCTTTTTCCGGTGTTGCTTTTGAATTAAGTTTGGTTTCTACAAAATTCACGCTCTTCGGCACTTTCCCAACGCGGATTCGACGGCCTAATTACTTATTACAGTCTATCATAACCTACGTAGAGTTATTGTAGCCTATATATCGCTTCAGAACAACATACCTAATCATTCAGTTCCAAGATACAAACAAGTTCCAGCTTAAAAATACTAACTTTGGAACCCTGAAAGTAATCCTCTATCTCGATATATTTTATTCGCTTCCATTAGACTTTTCTTCGAAAAGATGGCTTGAGAACTATCATCATAACCGGTTACTCTTTAAATTTCCAGTTGAAAATAGAAAACATTTGGCAAAAGCACATCCGACTACCAATTCCGCTTGGTGATCTTCATAAACATATCTTTTTGACTTGACGACCCAGGAAGGTATCTCGACTTTGCCAGGACCGGGAAGCTTATATTGATCTTCAACAATAAATAGACTTTGACGGCCCCTGGCCTCTCGTTTTAAAAAGCTGCCCCCAACCCCGATTTTTCCCAGAATATCGAACGTAAACGCTTGAGTGTAAATCGCCTTATCTAAAACTGCCTCGTCTTTGCTTGCTTTTCAACGCATTGTGCAAAAGATTATCTGCTCATATTGATAACACCGTGAATGTATTCTTCCATTTTGAGAATAGATGTCATTACATAGGCTTTCGTAACTTGCTTGCGCTTTCGCGAACGCTCATTGGCATTTATTTCACTAAAGGAAGTATTGGCGATCTTCCCATTGCTGTTCCAGATCAGATACCAGTCGGTCTGATATTTGAAAAAGAGCATAAATGTTCTGCCGGGTCAAATTTATTTGGAACGCGATATGCTGACATTCGTCGCTTTGGTGCTATGTCCATAAATTGTCCGCAGTCCCTGATTGGCGTCGAGCATAGATACCGCGTTTGGGTCGATGGGTACCAATGGGCCATACCGTCCATGTAGATCAAAAATATCTCCATACCAGTGTCCCCGTAGGTAATCCCAGCTCTGCCAGGCCCGAGTTTATATTCCTACTCGGGGCCCGGAGATGCGGGACAGCGGATGGGAAAAGTGCCGGTAGACTAATGTAGCCACCGGACTCGTTGCCAATACAAACCCCCATATAAACATTTCGTGAACATCATTTCGTGAAAATCCCTTGTGTATGTCTAAGAAGTTCCCAAGCATAAAAATAACTGATTAAGATTTCGATTCCAGATAGTGTAGAAAAGGGAATGGAGACTTGTAGTAGCTTTCTAAATTATTGCGCTTCTACATTTGGCTTCGCTATATGAAGTCTACGATGTTAAGAACTTCGGGGTATGATTCCGAGGCGGTCTACGTCTTATTGTTTGGCATATGGGCGTTCTATATTTGTGATGATAAACTACGGGCTTAACTCAATAGAGGATGGCGTAGATCTTGCACTGTGAAAGGTCTTCGGTTGTTGAATGTTGTCCCAGATGCCGACACACAGGGTACAATGAACAGGTGTAGTATATACTTAGCGTGCGCTAAATATGGGGGAATTGCGGGGTTTGGCCAATCGATGGCATGTCGGGGTAATGCTGCCCGGGCATACCTATCATACCTATAGACGACATCTATCGGGTCCTAACATTTCCAACTGCCGGCCCTATCATCTTTGTTTGTGTCAAAGCATCATGAGATACTGATCTTCTTCTGGCGGGGAAGGTTACGTAGGTTTTGTGATGCGGTGTATATAACGTGCCCTCCTTGTGGCTACTGCTTCGAACTAGATATAAGCGATTGGACACAATTATGGCTATCATAGCGGCTTTCCCTGTTGCAGCACTTCAATATGCTGTCTATGCAGTTCCTCTTCTGCTCTTGGTCTACCTTGTCCAGAATTATTTCTTCAATTCACTACACATTTTTCCTGGGCCTTTCTGGGCGCGCGTGACTGATATTTGGCGATATCTCGATGTGAAGGGCCGACACCCTGAGCTTACACATATAGCCTTGCATCGCAGGTATGGCGATATTGTACGTCTAGGGCCACGCACTTTGTCTTTCGCGGACCCAAAGGCAACGAAGGTCATCTACGGTCTAAACAAGGGTTTCGTTAAGGTAGCTATTTAGCAAGCCCCTGCATATCTACACCTTCTAACCGAGAGGACAGTCCGAGTTCTACCCAGTGCAAATGACCGTTTCTAAAGGCGAGCCACTGCCATCGCTGTTCTCTACGCTGGATGAGGGCTTCCATGCGAACCTCCGCCGGTCTGTCAACCACGCTTTTTCGATGAGCTCACTGGTACAATACGAGCCAATGGTCGATGAGACTACAGAAATTTTCCTCGATCAAACGGGCCGACTATTTGCTGATGGAGCCACTGTCTGCGATTTCGCACGATGGCTACAATTCTTTGCCTTTGATGTTATTGGAAGCATTACGTATAGCAAACGCCACGGGTTTATCGAGAAAAACGAAGATATCGATGGCATCGTTAGTTCGCTGGCAAAAATCTTCGATTATTCTGCCCCTGTTGGTCAGATGCCATGGCTAGACAAGCTATTTTGGAAGAACCCTATATTTGATATCCTTCAAAAATTGGGCTTATCAGATAATTCGCATCCCGTGGCCGTCTTTGCAAAGCACCGCATGGAAGAACGTATGTCAGCAAAAGCTGATGTAACGAGCCCTGGAACAAAGGATGATCTTCTCACCATGTTCATCAAGGCGGGTGAAACCCGTCCAGACTTTATGACACACAAACGAATCCTTACCATGGCCGTCTCTATGGCCTTTGCGGGGTCGGAAACAACGGCCATAAGCATTTCAGCCGTGTTCTACTTTTTACTTAAGAATCCAAAGTGCATGACACGGGTTACGCAAGAGCTGAATGACGCCGTGACCAACGGTACGATCGTGAACCGCCCGACTGGACTTGTCTCATGGACAGAGTCGCGGCAGTTACCCTACCTCGATGCCTGCATAAAGGAAGCTTTCCGTATGCATCCTGCTGCGGGACTTCATCTGGAACGTGTTGTTCCTGCGCCAGGGGTGGAGATCTCCGGACATTTCATTCGTGGCGGAACAATCGTCGGTTGCAGCCCCTGGGTTATTCACCGTCGTAAAGATATCTTTGGTCCGGATGCCGACATATACAATCCCGATAGATGGCTTACTACTCCATCAGAGCAACTGAGGGCTATGGATGGCATGATGCTCCACTTTGGTGCCGGTTCGAGGACCTGCATCGGGAAGAATATCTCTTTAATGGAGATTTATAAGATTATACCTAGTTTTTTGAGGAGATTTGAGGTATGTTCTTTCTATTCTGCATGAGGCAGGTATCTGTGAAGCTCACTTATTTTTGATAGGTACAACTGGCACACCCTGACCAAGAATGGAAACTGTGGAATGCATGGTTTGTACGCCAACTCAACTTTAAGACAATTTTTACCCCGAAAGAGATTATAGTATAATTGAGCACGGTCGTTCTTTATTTCAAGTATTGAAATGCGGAATTGTCTGTAGTTATTCCAAATTGCAAATGACATTTCACATGAAACTTGACAGGCATCCTTCTGTGTGAAGTAAGGAAGTAGGTCTATAGTACTACAAAATGAGAGATCACAGTGGATAGAGAGACTGTATCACATTCACTATGTAGTGGAGGTACATTGTCTTGACCTTACAGGAGGCCTAAGGCCCCCAACCCGATACTTCTTATTAGAATGTATACTATATAGTGTTTGCTCTCTCTTACAGGGGTTGAGAATTGCAATGTTGACATACAAAAGGTTGTATAATTTTAGATTGCTGGCTCTCTCTTTACTCTATTATTTAGCAATATGCTGCACTGGTGCATATATAAATTTGAAAGAGAGGACTGGTAAATAATTACAGCGATTTACACGTCCTTTACTGATATTACTATGTTTTCTCTTGGAAAAGCTCATGAAATCACGGTTTCGAAATTGCTATATTCTAAAGAAAACGACAAAATGTAGAACATAAAGAGATAGACGTAAAAAATGGTTCTATTTCTATCTCACTACATGACGTGCAATCTGTATCAAAGTTCTAGGTAGCGAGAAGCAAAGGAGCATGTCATAATCGCATAGAAGCTTCTGTACAACCCAAGTACTTTGAATGTATACCAAAGTAGCCAATTATCACCTTCCACTATATGCAAACAAAGAACAGAACTGATGGTTACATCACTTCAAATACTTAATAAGCCCCCACTCCCCCATTCCCCACTATCTTCCTCTTTTATTTTTCATGTTCCGAATGTAACGCATCTGTATCTGAGTCTTATCATGAGTGACAATCGGGGTCGTGGACGCGGTGATCGAAGTGATCGAGGTGATCGTGGTCGTGGTCGAGGTCGCGGTGCCGAAAGAGGTCGCGGTGCCGAAAGAGGTCGCGGTGCCGAAAGAGGTCGCGGTCGCGGAGAAGGTCGCGGGGAAGGTCGCGGGGAAAGTTGCGGGGAAAGTCGCGGCGATTTAGCCTTCCGCCCAGCTGGTAGAGGCGATGGAAATCGTGGAGATTTCCGAGGTAATTTCCGAGGTGACTTTCGAGGCCGAGGTGGTGACAGGGGTCGTGGAGGCGACTTTCGTGGTGATCGAGGTCGTGGTAGAGGTGATTTCCGGGGTCGAGGTGAATTCCGCGGACGTGGAGGACGTGGCGGTGCTACCAACTCAGGCCCACCTATCTTCAGGTATACCCACTATGTGATGCTCATTGAACAAATCTCATCCTTTTGCGCACAGACAAGGCGAAGCTATCCCACCACCTAACCCCACGGTCACCAAGACCGAAAATGACCTTGCCAAAGCTCTTGCTGTGAGCGGCCAGAAGACCCCGAGACAGGCAAAATATCCCGAACGTCCTGGTTACGGCACAGCTGGCAGACCGGTCACTTTGTATGCGAACTATCTGCCCTTGACCCTGCCTAACAAGCAGTTGTTCCGCTACCATATTGCCATTGCAGCCGACTCTGCAGGCCGAGCTGCCCCTGTGGGCAAAAAGGCCCGACACATTGTGCGTCTGCTGTTGGAGGAGCATTTCCCACAGCAAAAGAACAGAATTGCCTCGGACTTCCGGTCTACCCTAGTCTCGTGTGTCAAATTGACTGAGGGTAAATTCGATGTGCGATACAAAGAGCACATGGATGATGACTACCCGGATCCACCCCGGGTGCATCAGGTTACCTGCCGGTATACTGGTGAGGTCCATCCCGCTGACTTGGTCAACTACCTGACATCTACCAACGCTGGTGCCCTGCTTGAATCCAAGTCTGAGATTGTGGCTGCCCTCAACATGATCATGGGGCACCACCCCAAGACGGATGACCATGTCGTCTCTGTCGGTGCTAACAGACACTACAGTCTGCGTCAGGACACCATGGAATCGTTCAATCTCGGCGGTGGCCTATCCGTCCTGCGAGGATTCTTCGTCAGTGTGCGTGCCGCGACTGCTCGTGTGCTCCTGAACGTCCAGGTCAAGTATTTGGCCTGCTACAATAAGGGACCTTTGATCAACGTGATCCAAGGCTACGGCAACAGGAATACTTATCGTTTGGAAAAGTTCCTCAAGAGTCTACGCGTTTGCATCACCCACATCACCCGCAAAAACAGTAGCGGTCAACCCCGGCCTCGCATCAAGCCTATCTATGGCCTGGCCAACCGCGGTGATGGCAGCTCGTCGCCCAACCCCCCCAAGATTCCCCACCACGGCGCTGGTCCCCAGGATGTGCAATTCTTCCTAGCTGAATCCGGCCCTCGACCCGTCGCCGGGCCTAGTGCCCCCGAGCCCAAGGGAAAGAAGGGAAAGAAAGCGCCCAGGGCCGGTCCTGCGGAAGCCGGTCGCTACATCACCGTTGCGGACTTCTTCAAAAAGGGTCCGTCGATCTTCACTTTTCTTTTACCTTTTTTTCGACTCACCTTCTCCCCGTGTCGTGCTGACTTTCCGCTCAGAGTACAACATGGCTTTGAATGCAAACCTCCCCGTGGTGAATGTCGGGTCTCGTGACAGACCTGTCTATCTCCCCGTTGAGGTCTGCGAAGTTGAGCCTGGCCAGCCAGCTAAGTCCAAGCTTACTGGCGATCAGACAGCCAGTATGCTCCGCTTCGCCGTTATGGGTCGGAAGCCGGGTCAGAACGCCCAGTCGATTGTCACCAAGGGTGTGGGTGTGCTGGGACTAGGCGAGCCGTTGAATGCCACACTAGTAAGAATTCCCTGCGAAGATCTTGTCCAAATATCTAACCTTTTACAGTCTGCTTTCGGTGTTAACTCTTCCACTGAGCTGATCACGGTTCCTGGACGCGTTCTCCCCGCCCCAAATGTCTATTACAAAGACGGAAACAGGACCAGGGAAATCAAGACTCAATTTGGCAGCTGGAACATGCGCCAGATCCAGTTCTCTAAGCCTGCAGCCATGAAATCCTGGACTTTCCTCTACATTGATCAGGAGGGCGCCCGGCCAGTTTTCCAAAGCCCAGAACAGCTCAACGCTGCTCTGCAAGCCTTCAGAAAGACACTCAAGGATATGGGAATGCACGTGGACCCCCACAAGCAAGGCAAACGTGTCACTTTGACCGGCAAGAACGACGCTGTTGATATCGAGCAAGCTATCGATGATCTGAAAAAGCAGCACAACCCAATCTTCATCCTGGGTATATTATACACTAAAGACACTGGCATATACAACTGCGTCAAGCAAGTTTGCGACGTCCGTTTCGGAATCCGCAATGTGAACGTTCTCGCAGAGAAGCTCATGAACTCCAACGATCAGTACAATGCCAATGTAGGCCTGAAAATCAACCTCAAATTAGGCGGCGCCAACCAAGCCCTCCACACCACCGATCTCGGAATCATCTCCGAAGGCAAGACAATGCTAGTCGGCATCGACGTGACCCACCCGTCACCAGGCTCTGCTAGCACAGCGCCCAGCGTAGCAGGTATCGTCGCTTCCGTCGACGCAACCCTCGCCCAATGGCCCGCTGAAATCCGCGTCCAAGGAGCCCGCCAAGAAATGGTCGCCGACCTCGAAACCCTCCTCGCCTCGCGTCTCCAGCACTGGCGCAAACTGAACAAGTCCCTCCCGGAGAACATCATCGTCTACCGCGACGGCGTCTCAGAAGGCCAATACAACAAAGTCATCAACGAGGAACTTCCACTCCTCCAAGAAGCATGCAAGAAAACCTACTCAGCAGACCAGACAAAGAAAGGCCTCCCGCGTCTGGCCATCATCGTAGTCGGAAAACGCCACAACACCCGCTTCTACCCAACAACAGAGAAGGACTCGAACCGCGAGAACCCCATCCCCGGAACGGTCGTCGACCGCGGCGTCTCCGAGGCCCGTGACTGGGACTTCTTCTTGCAGGCTCACTCCGCCCTCCAGGGCACTGCCCGTCCTGCTCACTACTTCACCGTCTGGGACGAGATCTTCTACCCCCGTCACCCGGCTAACGGCCCCGGCCCCGGCGCGGCTGATGTCCTCCAAGACCTCACGCACAAAATGTGCTACATGTTCGGTCGTGCTACGAAAGCGGTTAGTGTCTGTCCGCCGGCGTACTATGCCGATCTGGTGTGTACCCGTGCTCGCTGCTTCTTGAGTGATCTGTTCGATCCTATGCCCCTGGATGGCTCTGGTGGTTCTACCAGTGGCACCGAGGGAACGGCAGATATGTCCCGCACAGCGGATGTCAATATTCATCCTAATATTGCCGAGACTATGTTCTACATCTAGGTTGATTTGGTTGGTTTTATGTTTTGTCGTCTATTGGATATCGATGTGTTGCGTATCTTTTTGGATTTACATGACTTGACTTAAACCGATGTGGAGGAATTGGAACAATTTGCTGGAGGAAAGCATATCATATTTTGGACCTGGAAAACCTACTTACATTCGCTCGCTCATCCTTGGTCCTTGGAAAATAGCGTTTGGGATATTCGGTCAGCTTCGATACTTAGACATCAGAGACTGAACAGGATTGACATCTATCCACTATTTTGGACAACAACTTAGCTTGAAACTCAATTGATTATTCAAACGATAATATCCTTATGATTCCTTAGTAGACATGTGCCATGTTGTTCTTCTGGAGGTTTTACGAATCGGGAGAAAGCGAAGTATAACACAATTAAATTAACAAATAAGCGAAACCCGCTCTCGTACAAATAAACTTGTACACTAATAACATTTTGAGGGCAAGGTACAGGAAGGTAAAAAAAGAAAGGAAAAGGAAAATAGACAAGGCAAGGGTTAAAAGTTACACGCAGGCCAGGCATTCCACATTCGACTCTAACTGCAAAGTTCCAAGCGCGAAAGAGGAAGCCTTTGGCCTCTTTTTTTTGGGGTTATTTTGCAGCTTCAAGGACAAATATCCAAAATTCATGCGGGCATCGATACATATTGCTCGTGATCGGAAAGAGTTGGCCGTGCTTGTCAGCAGGAAGACGGAGCTGAGTTGACTTCTCCACTGACAAGGGATACGTACGTAGTATCAAGCGTATCAAGCTAAGCCATAGATCGAGACTGGCTCACTTAGTTGTCATCTCCATGGCCCCAGCTAGGCTGGTTATGGCCTTGGGGGTTGCGCTGCGCGGTGGCATTTCTCCTAATTGGCTCAGGGGACGGGTCCTCGTAGTTATCCCAGTGAGACTTCATCATCTTATTGTGCGCGTCGTGCTTTTGGGTAGGGACCTTAGGGGACTCCTCGTCGTAGTTATCCCAGTGAGATTCCATCATCTTATTGTGAGCCTCGTGCTTCTCGGTGGGCGTGTTCTCCTTGGCAACGGGCGATTCATCCCCCAGCGCGAATTGCGAAGCAAAGTTCTTGTTGCGGTTGGCGGTGTTGGCACCTGTTGCCAGAGGCTCGTTCTTCTGCTCGCGCTCGGAGAGCTCGGCGTTGCCGTCGCCGTCAAAGAGACGGTTCTCATAGAGTCGCTTGCCGCGGCCCCCGAATGAGCTAATGATCCGTCCGTCATCCTCAGTCTCTTCATCGGTCATCTCAAAGTGTCGATCTGCGTCACGACGGGGCTTGATCACGTTTAGCTTGGATTTGGGGGATCCGGTGCCTTCTTCGTCATCGCCAAAGCCAAAGTGGCGCACTTCTTCTCCACGTGCGACGCGCGAACCCTTCACGGGGGTCTCAAAGTCATCGAATTCCCAGTGGGTTGAGTGGGGGGTCTTGGCTTGCTTGACTTCTGCCTTGGTCTCGCGCTCCGTGTTGTCGCCGCCGATCTCGAAGTGGTTGTATTTTCCAGGGGCAGATTTGTAGAAATGACGATCTTCGTCAACAGGTCCTTTCCTGGACTCGTCGGCTGTACCGTCATCCCTCACAAATATATCGCTGAAATTGCGAGGGGCAGGTCGCCCAGCCGAAGGCGCAAAGGGGGCCACAGGGGCAGGACCCTTCTTGCTGGGGGACAGAAGCTCAGTCAAGGAACCTGCTCCGTAGGGGTCTTGGGTATATTTCTTGCTGGCAGCGGGTCTGGTGGTTTCCGCACGGCCTTCGCGTTCAGTTACCTCCTTGCCCGGCGAGAGGAGCTCAGTCAGGGAGTTGGCTGAGTAGGGATCCTTAAAGCGGCGCTTGCCTGGGGATGAGGAGCGGTCGGTGAGTTTGGTCTCCGTCTTATTTTCGGAAAGAGGCTGCGAGGGTGCCACACGCGCCGTCTCGGCGGTTTTGAGGAGACGAACTTGATCTTTTCCCTCACGAATGGGCCATTGGCGTCCGCGCGCTCCGATAACCTCAACTTGCTTCAGCAATGAGGCCTGGTCCCAGTAAATGCGGACCTGCTTGATTAACTGATTGGAGTCGAAGTGGACGATGTGAATCTGCAAGACAATGCATTAGCTTTCGATAACGCGACACGCGTCGGGGAATTTACCGTGGGGAAAGTCGCAACACGGTCGGCCAGGAAATTATCGTCGAGCGAGGGGAGATAAACCCCACCACCCTCGGTGAATTCGAGGGTTGTCTCCATGTCTAGGCATAGCGAGTCTGATCCTTCAATGGCGCTGATGATCTGATTCGATATCGTCTTGACAATATTCGCGTTCTTCAACATATGAGTGATGACATTGTCGGCCTTCTCGAACTTGGTCGTGGTAGGAACGTAGATCAAGGAGACATCGTCGGCCAATTTAGCAGACCTGGGGTTATCCAGGAACCGCTGGTATTCAGTCTTGAAATAGGACATTGTCAACCGTATAGGGACAGGGGTTTGAAAGGAGGAAGATATTCCAGAGAAGATAGCTACTCTAGAATACTCTAGAAACAAGACAGGATTGAAGTTACAGGAAAACTATTTTTGAGAGAATGAGAGAAGAAGGAAGCCGTCTACGAGGCCACGGAGTGTATACGTTGTACTATCCGTACTCGGTACAAAATAATATACAGGGGCACGCTAGAACCAGTTAGTACTCGGTACCTTGCATATATGCAAACATTCAATGAAAATATTCTAAGGGGAAATGCAAATAGAAAACGCGCCAAAATCCCCGAAATCCTCTAAAAAACACCTGAAAACACGCCAGTGTTTCACCATAGGGGGCCTAGGCTTGGGGCGGCTTGGCTTGGGGTCCGCGTCCCTCCGGCAACTGGATACACTTTTAAGGCCTCAGCCTCTACAGGGGTTGTGGATTGCACAGGGTTAGACATCCATGGATGTAACATAATGTACATTGGACATTTCAGAGTACTGGATCGAGAAGGCCTTCAGCCGTTGACACGATCTCTGGTGAGTCGGAAGTCATTTCAGCTGTCTGCAATGCCGCTCAAATCAGAAACTCAGGTAGAAGACATGATCAGTCTTTCATTGAAGTATGACCATTCAAAAGTATGGCATGTGTATCGAGCAGGCACGTGTCAAACTCCAGCTCCTGACCCGCCAGTTCTTTTTTATTTCTCTGTTAGGCAGTAAAGCCCCTCCAAGCGCTTGCCGTATCCTCGGGGAACGATAGATTGTATGGTAGATTATCGTATTGGTGAAAAAGGTGGGTATGTGCTGCAATCGTGTCTCATTACAAAGGTCTGTTGAAGAAAATCGCGTTAGAAAGCCATGTGCGCTGTGTCGAGTTTGAACGACTTACCCAAGATAATCCTCCTTGATGGTGCCAATAGCATTGATGGCAGCCACGTCGGGCTTGACACCAAGGATCTTCAACCGCAAACTGGTTCCTTTCTCGATCACTTGATCGGCATGATCGGTATATTGCGGCGGGACGGTGTTGGGCTCCCACTTGATATCGGAGGGGATGTTCTTATGGGCTTGTCAGCAGTGAACCCCAAATGATCCATGGCCAGAGGAAACAAAAACATACCTTTCGCGCAATGAAGACAGACAATGGACCCGCCAGGGTGAAGATACCCGTAGGCTTAACAGAAGTAACAATGGCATCGACCTAAGCTCAGTCAGCAGGAATTCAAAGGCGACAGATAACCTCGGATCCCAAGTGCATACCGTCTCGCCACGGAATGGCTTCCAGATGATCGCACGATATCTAATGGTGTATTCCGCCATTCCAATTCCAGGCATCACCCGCCCCTCGCCAATATCAACCATGTCCATGACACAGATCACAAAGTGATCACCTGTGCACCGTCCCTCTTCCTCCTCGTTGAGTCGACCGATGAGGTACTCTCGCATGTTGGGTCCGAAATAGGACGGGTGCATGGAGATCACCTTGGTCTCTTCTTTTAGGAAGAACATCGTCGCGGTTGTGGTTGGATGAAAATGCGCTAATGCCGTGCGGAGTAGAAATATTCAAGTCGCTTTCGGGACAGTGATGCTGTCAATCGAGGTCGAGGGACGGCGTTTTCGACCACGAGCTCATGACCTGCAACGGGTGAAGCACAAACAAAATGTGGCTGCCAGAAATGAGCGGGATGAGATTCGAGTACCCGTGAGAGTGGCAGAAATTGTATCTGCCTTGGATCTTGAACGAGGAGGCAGATACAGTTGCTGCAGGCGCAAGCTTTCCCTTCGTAAGAGCATCTCCGGTCTGGTGGGCCAAGTTTGGGTGAGTGGAGTCACGTGGTACGATTCTTCAACGATGGGAAGTGGACTTATCAACTCGATATTTGAACGTCTAAAGTCATTGAATCTTCATCTTTCATTTAGTACGCTATTTACTGGAATTACTAGTCAACAGTGCGCTTGGTGATGATCTAGTCACGACCGGGTGGAGGATTGCTTCTTATATGGAGTATGATTGGATGATTTATAGCAGACCATGGATGTTTTGACACCGTGTACAGAAGTAAATCACGAACTCTTCTGCCTTTGCGATTCTAGTCCAACGTGTATCCCTTTTTTTTTATCTATATATACTCTTGCTTGGTCGACTTTGACGAATTATGGTGTTTCAAAATTAGCTTGAATGTATATAGTGAAGCTATATATATCTGCCGACTGGTATCTTCAATTTCGATGATCACTTTGTAACCAACATTTATAATTAACAGATTGGAAGTCCCAGCTAGTTCCTCAACCCATAAGCATAAAGATCTCAAAAGAAAGACACCTACACTTGTAGGAAAATAGGTATAGTCAATGTAAAGCCACACCGGAACATTCCGTACTAGACATTACAGTATTATAGTTAGTTGACGACTAGTTTAACGAGACACGGAAGAAAAGCCCAATCATAACCACATAATTCATCAACTGCAATGCAGGATATCCTAGTAAAACTATAATGTAGAAAGTCTGATAGGCCTGTGCATCGGGGGGTTGTCATGCCTGGGGAGTCCATGTATACCGTTACGCCAAGACCCAACGCCTTCCTCGGCCTGAGCCACATGACGCCAGGACCTTCAATATCAATTGCACCATTCAACTCTTTCCGATAAAGATGATGCTTGCCTGATCCCATCTCCCCGCAAAACCCTTCCCCCATAATTCCCCATATTTTTGTTCTCAACCCGGCAAGATGGCGCTTAATCTTGAGAAACAGTTGCTCTTCGTAAGCATCCACGTCCAACCCTCAGAACGACTATAACTGACTGCGATCTAGTACGGAGCCTACCATAGCAATCCCGTATAGCGACCCTACTTCCATCACCAACAACGAACAACATTTACTGACAGCGTAGATCAACGTCGCAATCCACATCACCTGCGTTCCAGCCATCCTGTTTACCGGCGTCATCCTCGTACGCGCACCTCGGAATTTCTGAACAAAACAAGATATCTCCAGTGTACAGAAGTACTAACAGTGACTCCCAAGGCTTGCAACTGCCCGCCCCTCGTTCCCCTCCCGGACGCCCTCCAAATCGATTACCTGCCCATAAATGCCGGCACAATCGGTGCTGTTATCTACGCCACATTCTATGTCCTCCTAGAGCCCATAGCCGGCGGTCTACTCGCGCCCCCATTGATCGCAGCTGCATACTACGGAAACTACTTCCTCAGCACGCACGGTAACATCGTGAACTACTGGGCCGGTGGCATCCAAGTCGTGTCATGGCTGGCGCAGTTTATTGGACACGGGGTGTTTGAGAAGCGCGCCCCTGCCTTGCTGGATAATCTTGTTCAGGCTTTCCTGCTTGCACCGCTGTTTGTCTGGATGGAGGTTCTGTTCTTCTTCGGATATCGCCCGGAGCTCAAGGAGCGCTTTGAGAAGGGCGTTGAGGTGGAGATTCTGAAGTTCCGGAAGCAGAAGAACGAGAATGGCAAGGGCAAGGGGAAGGCAAAGCAGTAGATACTGGTGCATACAGCATGCAGTAAGGGGAGATATTGCTCGCCAAGACCGAGGCTATATGGTCTCGGGTTGTCTTGGTTGATGGTGAACGCTTCAGTGATTTCATGGGTGCGTTGATTCATATTCATATGTATGTTATTAGCAGATCGATTGCCTGTGTCATATCTTTTTTTCTCAATTCTTTTGCAAGTGTTATTTCGCATTGTCTTTGGGCAATTTGGGATGTGCTTATCCTTTTCCCACGGAGTGTTGCTGCTTTGGCCAAAAGTGATTTGATTGTATGGGATCATAATCCCAAGTAGAAAGACTTGGGAAGAAAATAACAACAAGACCAAAGCATACAAAATATAGTACGCATAGTATATTGGACCCGTCTTCGGTTGCCGTGACGAAAACCATGACATAAGCGATTCACCTGACTAGGGATTCCGCCGATCCGAGAAGAGAAAAAAACGGAAGGAGAGTGGCCCGTGGCACACTTTTCCGGTCGGCTATACAAATCGAAAGTAACTCATTCTGGCCTTGTATAATATTTTGAAAAATTTGGAGAATTTATAGAATTAAAATATAGAAGACAAAAAAATATAACATATAATATTGTAGTAAGGAAAAGCGGACGAGATACACCGTGGCCTCACACTAGGGCCACCTCGGAGAGCCCAGCGTCCGAAAGGGTTTAGCGCAAGTCCTGAGAATCCAATCCTCCCCCCGACGACAAAGCTCTCCCTCCCGTCCACAATCCTCTCTCCTCTCCCGTTCTCTCTCCCCAATTACATCTCTCCCTCAGAGAATTCATCCTCCCATCCTCTGAACCCCCTTTCACAATGTTCAGAAACGCTCTGCGGTCGTCCAGCCGCTCCGTTGCGGCTGTTTCGGCCACTGGCCGCATCGCCTCGGTGAGTCCATCCCATCCCAGCCGCCTTCGTCCATCGCCAGTTCAACATCCTTCATCTCAATCTTGAGCTCGATCGATGCTCATACCTCGTCATACCTCGACTACGATACTTCAACGATGGCTCGGACACATTATCCTTCTCTGGGACGGTCATTAACAGGTTTTTTCGTCCATTACAGGTCCGCGCGGCTGCTGCCGGTCCTCTTAACGGCGTTCGCTCGTACGCTTCCGAGGCCAAGGCTAGCCCTACCGAGGTCTCCTCCATCCTTGAGCAGCGCATTCGTGGTGTCTCTGAGGAGGCTGGTCTCGCTGAGACCGGTCGTGTTCTGTCGGTCGGGTACGTCAATTCTCCCTTGGCGGCTGGGGGCGCGAAAAAAATTCGGTCCCCGGCTACAATCCCCTCGAATCCGCCATTATCTATCAACATTCGACAAAATATCGACACAGAAACTGATTGAGCTTTGAATAGTGATGGTATCGCCCGTGTCCACGGCATGACCAACGTCCAGGCTGAGGAGCTGGTCGAGTATGTGAACCCCCAAAGTCTTGGCATTACCCAGAGCGGAAAACTAACGTGTCTTCAGGTTCGCCTCCGGCGTTAAGGGTATGTGCATGAACCTCGAGGCCGGCCAGGTCGGTGTCGTGCTTTTCGGTTCCGATCGTCTCGTCAAGGAGGGTGAGACCGTCAAGCGTACCGGCGAGATTGTAAGCACCTTAACCTAACCTCTGGGTTCATTCTGATATTGGACCCTGAATCCCACCGCCCCTTGGTAACATCTCTAACACCACATCCAGGTCGAGGTCCCCGTCGGCCCCGAGCTTCTCGGCCGTGTCGTCGATGCTCTCGGTAACCCCATTGATGGCAAGGGTCCCCTTAACACCAAGGAGAAGCGCCGTGCCCAGCTCAAGGCTCCCGGTATTCTGCCCCGTCAGTCCGTCAACCAGCCAGTCCAGACTGGTATGAAGTGTGTCGACTCCATGGTGCCCATTGGCCGTGGTCAGCGTGAGTTGATCATTGGTGATCGTCAGACCGGTAAGACCGCTGTCGCTCTCGACACCATGCTCAACCAGAAGCGTTGGAACAACAACAAGAACGCCACCGAGGAGGAGAAGCTCTACTGTATCTACGTCGCCGTCGGTCAGAAGCGTTCCACCGTCGCTCAGCTCGTCAAGACCCTTGAGGAGCAGGATGCCATGAAGTACTCTGTCATCGTCGCTGCTACCGCCTCCGAGGCCGCTCCCCTGCAGTACATTGCTCCCTTCACTGGCTGCGCCATGGGTGAGTGGTTCCGTGACAACGCCCGCCACGCCGTCATCATCTACGATGATCTGTCCAAGCAGGCCGTTGCTTACCGTCAGATGTCTCTGCTCCTCCGTCGTCCCCCCGGACGTGAGGCCTACCCCGGTGATGTCTTCTACTTGCACTCTCGTCTCCTCGAGCGTGCCGCCAAGATGAACAAGACCCACGGTGCTGGTTCCTTGACTGCCCTCCCCGTCATTGAGACCCAGGGTGGTGATGTGTCCGCTTACATTCCCACCAACGTCATTTCCATCACTGACGGTCAGATCTTCTTGGAGTCCGAGCTGTTCTACAAGGGTATCCGTCCCGCCATTAACGTCGGTCTGTCCGTGTCCCGTGTCGGTTCCGCCGCCCAGGTCAAGGCCATGAAGCAGGTCGCCGGTTCCCTCAAGCTGTTCTTGGCTCAGTACCGTGAGGTCGCTGCCTTCGCCCAGTTCGGTTCCGATCTTGATGCCTCCACCAAGCAGACCCTTGCCCGTGGTGAGCGTCTGACCGAGCTCCTCAAGCAGAAGCAGTACTCCCCCATGGCCGTTGCCGACATGGTTCCCCTGATCTTCGCTGGTGTTAACGGTCTCATCGACACCATCCCCGTCGACAAGATCCTCACCTGGGAGTCCGACCTCCTTGCTCACCTCAAGAGCTCCCACCCCGAGATCCAGGCCACCATCGAGAAGGAGGGCCAGGTCTCCAAGGAGTCTGAGGCTACCCTCAAGAAGGTCATCTCCACCTTCAACTCCACCTTCAACGCATAAGTGAAGAAATAACTCGGATGATCCTTCGTGGTCGGCTTTGTTTTCTTGACTCTATGTGTATAGACAAGATAGCCTGTACAATTTTGAGCCCATTGTTTTTCTGTTCTTCTTGGTGCCGGTGCTTGGTAGGATATCCTAAGTCTGCCTCTGGATGTAGCGATGTAATTATCTGCATGATCCTGGGAGGCGGACCAGGGATTTCCCGTAGTGCTGTTTGAGCGAGAACTCAAATGACTTTGGTCTGCCAAAATGTGATTATATCCTGTACGTTTAGATTTTATCCGCGCATCGGAGGCGCGAGATGGGTGGACGACCGTTCTAATTCCGTCTGGTCTCCTTATGCTCTCCATGTTGGACCGCAATTATTTTCATTTGTTCAATCGTTTATTCTGTAATTGTAGACTGTAGATTTATTTTGCCCAACTGTTATGGGATGTATTCGCATATATCGGACCAAGGCAGGTTGGAGGTATGTCTAAACCGAACAACACCCCAAATTCATATACACGCCAATCGACTAACAGCAATTACTATAAGCCTTAGTTCCATCCATATTCTCATGTTTGATATTCTATACCTCTCGACATATCATATGCAAAAGACACCCGGCAGTTGAGGCCGAAACCGGCATCCGATCTGTTATCGATAAGCGATCAAGATTTTCCCGGAGATGGTCAAGACGCCCCGCGTGCGAGGAACTTAACTTTACTCTCCGTTGCTGATTATATTGTTATTATCGTCCCATTGCCGTCATGTCTGCCCCTACCGATAAGCCTGCCTCCTCCTGCAAGGTGATGTTGAGCAAGAACGTTGCCAACCACCTCCTCAGCGAAGTCCACGAGGGCCTCAAGACTCTTGAGAAGCCGCCTCACTTGGTCGGCCTGCTGGCCAATAATGACCCCGCCGCGCTCGTGTACGCGCAGATGACGCAGAAGACCTGCGAGGAGAAGTGAGTTTCTACAATATTTTGATATTATCCGGCTTCAATGCCTCCAATGGCATCTTTGGTGGGCTGAATGGTGGGGGTGACAAGTATGATTCATACATACCCCTCGACCAAAAAAAAAAAAACCGAAAACAACCAAACAAGCCCAAAAACACAGCCAACAATCCAATTGACACAACAAACTAACGCAATGCTTTCCCAGCGGCTTCAAGTACACCATGCGCGAAGTGTCCCGCGACGACATCGAACAAGCCATCCTGAACGCAAACACCGACAATAACGTCGACGGCATAATCGTCTACTACCCTATTTTCGGCACCCGCCAGGACCAGTACCTGCAGCAGATCGTCGACATGACCAAGGATGTCGAAGGCCTGAGCCATCGCTACATCTTCAACATGTACCAGAACATCCGCTTCCTGGACGACGCTAAGCGCCAGAAGTCTATCCTGCCCTGCACCCCGCTGGCCAACATCAAGATCCTCGAGTACCTCAACATCTACAACACCATCCTGCCTTATGGAAACCGTCTCTTCGGACACACAATCTGCGTTGTGAACCGCTCTGAGGTCGTGGGTCGCCCGCTTGCTGCTCTGCTGGCTAATGATGGTGCTTGTGTTTACTCCGTTGATATTACCGGTGTGCAGAAGTTCACTCGTGGTGAGGGATTACAGAAGAAGACACATGAGATTGTTGATCTTGAGGGAAAGACCTTGAAGGATGTTGTGCCACTTTGTGATGTGGTTATTACTGGTGTCCCCAGTGACAAGTACAAGTTCGATACCAGCCTTCTGCGTGAGGGTGCTGTCTGTGTCAACTTCTCCAGCGAGAAGGTATGTTTTATTTCGAGCTTTTGGGTTGGTAAAGATTGTTGCTGACTGTTCTGACATAGAACTTCCCCTATGAGGTCCGAGACAAGGCGTCGCTCTTTGTCCCCTCTATTGGAAAAGTCACCATTGTCGTTCTGCTGCGGAACCTGCTGGTATGTTTCATCTTTATACTTAATCCACACGCTCAGTGGTCCATTGCAACATCATCTAACACACCAAATTACAGAGACTTATCCAGAACAAGCGAATGGACGACGTCAAGCCTGCCGAGGCTACAGAACGTCCTGGCACCCTCGAGGCCTCATCCTAGGTCGCTCACCACCAATTGTCATTTCAATCTTCATGGCCATGCCCTGAGGTGGCCATTCCGTAAAAATCTATAGATATTCTGTTTGTTATTAGCCATTTCGATTATACTCTGAAACTTCATGTTTCTTCTTTTGTTTCCTGTGCTTAGATATCTCCCGTTCGCATTCTATGTTTGGAACTTATAGATATTGTCTCGGTTGACTTGTTCATTCTTCCATAAACAAAGACTGTTTCTTGTTACCATCATGGCTTATTATTTACATACTCTGAGCCTGCATAATACTTCAATAAAAAACTTTCCAGCAGGGTTCGAAGGACGATATTGATAAATGGAGTAACAAACTGTCCCAAAGAGCAATTGGGATTGAGAACAGTCAATCCTATAATGCACAAGAAGCCCGAGTCCACCTTGACCTGTATAACATAACGTTGTACAGACAAACAGAACAATCATCCTGGTAATTTCAAAATGACACATAAGACATTCAAAGCCAACAAGCCAACGAGTCAAAAGGACAGGCCTGCTACACAGTGACAATTTACCAAGACAATGGAATAAGCACAATAAAAAACCAAAATGGCCCCGGCAAAATAAACCACCAGTGGATGAGCTCTCCCCTGGTACTCTCCCAATCAACAAACTGGTATACTCCAGCCAGATCGCCAGCGACTCAGTTGCTGGCATTGGTACATCGTCAGGCATGGTGATCTTCCCGAGGAGTCTTGGAGGGAGCACGGACGGAAAATACTTGTGGTTGATGATAGGCCGAGGGCGGATCCCGAGAAATATGGTTTCCTGCCCGGGTCCGAGGACGATGAGGCGCACACGACTGACATAATGAATCGGCCGGTCGAGTGTCTTCGTTTGAACATAGTAGACATGACCCTGTGGAAATGGCTCAGCGATAAGCCTTACTTCCTTGTCTTCATCTTCAAACTGAGCAACGGACGGCATGTTTACTGCATCGATCACGCCCTCCGCGGTGACTGCATTGAGCCCAGTTGTTCGATTTCAAGGGTCTCGGTGGCCTCCACAAGGGCGATGATGTCTTTGGGAGAGATCCAACTAAGGATGACTGTGATCTATGGGAGAACTGTGAAACAACCGAATTGTTAGTTCAGCCACTCACTTATACAACGGGTTTCTGTGGGATGGGAGCTTACCACGAGGTCGATAGAGCACAGACGCCACAGAACCCATATCTTGGAGGTCTCCAAGACTGCGAGAAGTAGATGTGAAGTGACCTTGATGATTCAAACTTGACTGAGAGTGAGACCATATAGTTCAAGTACAGTTGAGCAGTAAGGTGATGTGTGATGAAAGTAGATCATAGGCAAAGTTGTCCCAGGTTCAAGCCTGTTGAGCTCTCAGACTCTGACTTGGAAGGTTCGAGTCAACTTTAAACCTCAAGTTTGGAAAGTGCAGTTGACCTCCAGGGCTCCTTCCAGGAAAGTAAAGATCCACGTGAACTCAGTAGCCCTAGGTAGGACATCATATTCTAAGAAATCAAGCTAAGTTGCCCATCTTAAAGTAAATTTATTCACATATTGAGTGGGTTGTAGGTGTTACATACGAGTTTGCATCCACTGCCGGTCAATACTGAAAAAGGCACGTATACTGTTAGGATGCGTCTGATTTACTATGCCCAATGAAAAGCAAAACATAGAAAACCGATCTCTTCCTTGCTCGTTTGAACATTTTATACCAATGCACTCTTCGTTTTCTCTTTTAGAGAATGAACTATGTAGCGTTGTGCCTTGCAATAGCCCCGAGAACATAACCTCTGTTTGTAATTGATAGGTAACCTTCCATTTTAGCCAGACTTCTTTTCAACCTGCTTCGCCGCCAACCTCAAAACGTCAATCTCGCTCGCTACCCAGCGGCGGAAAGGATCGGGGTGGAATACACCATCTGCTGAGAACCAAGTTGTGAAGGGCGCCTCGCACCACTTATCCTGGAGGACCTTGCCCGAGGCAGACTTATAAGTGACATGGAGCTTGTAGAGCTTGGAGAACTTTTTGGCTGATGATGAGACAGATATCTATGGATGAGTCTGTTAGTAACCAGCCAAGAAAAGACCCCCGAAAGAGCCAAGCACCGATAGACATACCGTCTCCCCAGTCTTTCTCTTCCCAGAGTATACCTCTCCAGCCTCGACGGCCCAAATCCAGTATGTCAAAATGCTGTTCAAGACAAAGTACGCCCCCACTGCAGAGATAATCCAGGGTGAGGTAGTTGCTTCCCAGCCAAGCGTGCGGTCTGCGTAGAAAGTAAACCCTGCGATTGCGACAGCGCTATATCCAAGCAGGAAGCGAACGTTTGACTTGGAGTAGTCCGGTGTGAAAGCATATGGCGCGGGAAGATTTGTGAGGTAAGGAAGGAGAGCATCGTCGCTCGTAGACTTGAGATCTGTTGCTCACACTGTTAGTGTTGTTGCTGTATAGAGTAGATCGGGATTACGGACCATTGGTCGAGTAGACCGGCACCTTGTTAGAAGCCATGGCGGATTTGAGAATAGGTATGAATAAAGAGCTTTCTAAAAACGGAAAGATCGAGTGTGGTTTAGCATTCAGTGGTCAAGACAGGACTGTTGTTTATCGTAGGGCAAAGATGCGGCGTGGCCCTTTGGAGAAAGCTGGAGCTAACGCGGGCCAATGACATCCCTCTCCGCCTGGCAACCTCTCCTTCGCGGCCCCTTCAACTTTCCATCCCCCACCTGCAGCCACCACTGTTTTATTGTTTGGTTCAAAGGAGTCACTTCTTTGATTCTTATTTTGCCTCAATATGGCAATTCAGGGGGATGAGCAGACCATCCTTAGGGATCCGGCACTATTGTGAGAGAACATGATTCGCTCAAGCGGAAGTTGGACTGACCATTTGCTCATAGCTATTGGATTCTCTTTCCCATTTCAATTGTTATGGTATGATCTACACCTGGCGCTTGAAGCTTGAACATTCGTAATGCATCTGAGGCTGAAACTAACCCCTCCTCTTGAATAGATCCTGACCGGAATCCTTCGCCATTATGCTACGGTCTTGATGAACTCGACCCCAAAATCGCCATCCACTCTTGCCGAGTCTCGCGAGCGCCTTGCTCTTCTTCGCGGTGTGAATCTCCGCAACAATGCCTGCTCTGTGCTCGACCGCGAGTCTTTCGAGATCCGCAAGAACTACATGGTTACCGGATTCCGCAACGGCTCATTTCTGAAGGACCCCAACAATCGTGGCCAACCGCCCGCGAACCCCATGACTGACCCTGCCGGTATGGAAGCTATGATGGGAATGCTTAAGGGAAATATGATGATGATGATCCCGCAAACCTTGATCATGAGCTGGATCAATGCCTTCTTCTCTGGCTTTGTCATCTGTATGTCGCACTTTGATACAAATGGACATGAGAAACGAGCTTACAAATTCCGCAGTGAAATTGCCCTTCCCGCTTACCATTCGGTTCAAATCGATGCTGCAGTCTGGTGTCATGACTCGCGACCTTGATGTGCAATGGGTCTCCAGTCTTTCGTGGTACTTCCTCAACTTGATGGGTCTTCAGTCCGTTTTCGGATTCATCCTCGGCAGTGATAACTGTATGCATCTATCTGATCCTTGCCAATAAGAACCGCGACTAATAATCTTTAGCTGCCAACCAGATGTCCCAACAGATGGGTATGGCTAACCCTGCCGCAATGGTCAACCCGCTCCAGCCCGGCCAAGATCCCGATAAGCTGTATCTGAACGAAGCAGAGAACTTGGAAGTGATGGAGCACTTCTGCATTCTCGATGGAGTGGAAGAGAGAATCTTGCAAAACTTTGCTCCCGCGGGGATCTAATCTTCCTTTGCCGTTGCATGTGATGTCTAGTGTTGGTGTATATACCTGTCTTGAGGTCATCGCTGGCTTTGGACAGCATAAAGAATAGAATGTGCCATGTTTTTAAATAAGTCGCAATCTTGTGGATCTACATAATTTATTCGAGTGTTCTTGAATGGCGCATATCGCACAATTTTCGTAACTCGTATTTCATAACTCATATCCAATCACTCTTGACGGTAATTAATAACCTCATTCAAAATCCAGACTTCCCCATTATGGACCTTCTCCGCAACTGAATCAACTTCAATATTGCCAGGTTGGATCTATAGACAGTCAGTTACCATACCAACGACTCGCAGAGGTCAAAACCTACAAAGATCTTATCACCCTCCTTTGTCCATTTGAGCTTCTCCCCCGCAAGTGTCTCAACCTCTTCCCCAACCCTCCAGGGACTGGCAGGGATGAGATGAGCCTCCACGAATCGCTGTAGATTTCGCTTTGCCCGATCTTGACCGTCTTGGCCCTCATATGCATTTACCTCTCCGAACTTCTTGTAGTCCTCTGGATTCTCCCAGGGCTTCCGTGGAAGAGCCTGAATTGCACTGTTGCGTGGTGCTAGAACTGTAATGTTCTTTGATGCATTGTTAAGGCGATTGGCGATTGGCTCAAAGTCACGGGTCAAACGTGCAAAGATATTGATGCCCTTGGTCTTGGGCAGGACATCTGAGATGATAGGGCTGCCGCTGTCATTTGAGTTCACATCCTCATCCGGAGCCGTCTTTTGTGGCTGGACAATACCAGGGAGAATCTTATCCATTATTGATTGATGTTCTTTGTGCTCGAGAGCTAGTGGCTGTTGACGTGAAGGGAAGGGAGATGATAGGCCCCAAAGTGCAGATGCTAAGCTAGCGAGAAGAAATGTGAATATAATGGATGTTGTTAGTCGGTTCGGTCCCATGCTGCGGGTTGGAGCCATTTTGCTGCCAATGACGCCGGACAGAGAAGCAGGTCTCGCTACAGCCATGACGCAACAGGCCTTGGCACGTGATATAGAGAGATAACACAATCACCTGACCCTTATCGATAAGGGCATCCGGCCACAAGAAATTGGCCGATGCGAGCTTGATCTTGCCCCCGCAATCTACACGTCTGGCTGTCCTAATTGACTGATTGGTATCATGTCGGCTTTGCAAAGCTATATGCTGGTCGTGGACCATGACAAAGAAGAAGCCAAGCGCATTGCTGAGGGAATCGCGCAAGGTATGCCGATTGGCCCCGCACTCGAGACCACTTCAAACCGTTGCATTACTAACGGAGGGGGTTATAGATGTTGAGACTAAAAAGGCGACTCTAATTGATACCGTCCAATCTCTCGGCGAATATATTAACGATGAAGACCCGATTTTACGTGGAAAGGCAATTTCTTACCTTACGGCCATTATCCGAGCCCTCTCACCGAAATACCTCTCGAGACAACAGATCCAAGTCCTGACTACATTCTTCTGTGATAGAATTGAGGATGGAGGTGCTGTTGATGGGCTGCAGGTTCTGCAGGGTCTGGACCGGTTTAACAAGTTTTTGGCTACCCAAGTAGCACAAGCGTACGTGCTATGCTTTTTGGTTGCAACCCTGTGTTCGCCGGGGATAAAGCTTAACTCAACGATGATCCAGTGCTGATTTTATTGATATAGACTATTTTCCAACTTCCAAGATCTCCAATCTCGGTCTCAAACGCAACGGTTCCACGTCTATCAATTGCTCAATGATTTGATGTCGAACCACCGCGGAGCTATGCGTGATATGGGAGAAATCTCGCTTCTGGGTGTTGTTGATATCATGACGGGGGAGAAAGACCCGAGGAATTTGATGATTGTTTTCTCGATCTTGAAAGTGATTATGGTGGAATGGGACATCTCGAACCACGTTGAAGTATGTGTAATTTTTCGAAGGTCATGGATTCCGCTAACAATAGACAGACTCTATTCGACTCGGTATATAACTACTTCCCAATCACATTCCGACCCCCGCCCAACGACCCCTATGGAATCACTGCACAGGATCTGAAGGGTCGTCTTCAAGAATGTATCTCTTCAACAAGGCATTTTGCACCCCACGCTATTCCTGCCTTATTGGACAAGCTTGATTCTACTTCTCCCAATGTAAAGGTAAGACTAATACCCTGTGATCTTGAAGTCGTCTAACAGATCTATAGAAAGATGCACTTAATACATTGATCGCCTGTATCCATTCGTACGACCCCGACACAGTATCCAAGTATTCCATTACCATATGGGAAGTCCTCAAGTTTGAGATCCTCAATGCCCAGGAGGAATTTTTATCTGAAATCTCCCTGGAGGCTCTGCAGGCAATCACCCAACGGCTATCTGAAGGAGTTACCAAAGTGTCACAAGAATTGCCTCTTGCAAAGTTCCTTCAGCCAATCACCAAGGAGTGCAATGAGCAACTCCAGGAACCTCAAAACAAGCAGGCTAAGCCGGCCCAGTCGATCCTCAGCTGTGTGGCTGCTGCTTCGCCCGTTTCCTTTATTCTTGCTGTACAAACAGTTGTAGCCCCGATTTTCACACTTTACCAAGAAGCAGACGGAATCATCAAACAAAGGGCACTTCTTGAAACTTTGAATGTTTTGTTCGAAGCTGCTACAACAGTGTACGGACAGTGGACCACCCGAAGTGGTGAGGCCGCTATCGAAAACCCGCTACTCGAATTCAAAGATCAATTTTCGGACCTCTTTGGCCAGGCATTGATGGGTGCAGCCAAGGAAGAGGTTTCCTTCCGGGTGACTGCTTTGAAGGGCTTCTTGCGTCTGTCGACTTTGCGTAATTTCTTCCAGGAAAATGAGATTGGGCTTTTCGTGCAATACCTTGACGAAATCCTTCTCAAGGAGGAATCTGTGGGCCGGAATGACCTCAAGAAAGAAGCAATCGCTGCTCTTGCTGAAATTTCCAAGCACAAGCCCCGCCTGATTGTGGATATCACTTTCCCTGCATTTGTGGCAACTCTGCCAGAGGAGGATGATGGTTCGGATGCCTTGTATCTGCCGACGCTCGAGACGCTTGCTCAAATCAGCGTCGAGAGGGACATTTTCGAGACACTTTTCCGTCGTCTGTTTAGCAAGCTGTCTATTCTGCTGCAAAAGGAGCAACCTGGCTCAGTTGCTTACCCACGCGCGATCCTCGTCACTTTGCTTTATGTTATGCAACAGAGAAACATGGAACAAGACCAGAGTGTGGATTTGTACTTCGACAGAGTCGTGGTTGGACTTTGTCGTGATGTCGCAGCAGCGGCCTCTGGCAAGGGAAAGAACCGGATTCTCAATGATCCTACTGTGCTTGACACTTTGGGTCGACTTTGCAATCTCCTTGTACGGTCTGTTTCTACCCAGAAGCAAGAACAGGTTGCCGAAAATGTCTACAGCCTTTTCTCCGAAGATTTTGTGCCTATTCCGTTCTCCCAGACTACAAATGCCGACCAAGAACGTACAATCATTATCTCGACATACCTGCTCGCGGGATTACCCAAGGACTGCAGCAACAAGATCCCGTACACCAAACCAGACATGTCGGCTTTGTTGTTGGATCTGGTCCACCGTTCGGTCTCGAGCACAGAACCAGCGACACACCAAGCTTATCTGCGCCACTTGGCCTTGCTCGTCAACAAGTTCCTGTCGAAGCAAGATGTGACAATCGCCGAGAAACTTTTCGATTCTCTCCTCCAAGGCCAGGGCACAGAATCACAAAGCCCCAACCCTGCAACCATCCGCACCATCTTCTGGCTATCCAAAGCCTTGATCCTTCGCATAGCCCCCACAACAACCCACATTATAACCTCCCTCCTCGCTCTCCTTTCATCCCCAGACCAGCAAACCAGCACGACAGCAGCACAATGCTTCTCCATAATCCTCGGCGAAGACGACATCCTCTCTGCAACCAACGGCGCCACAATCCGCCTCCTCTGCAGACAGCGCCTCTTCACAACAGTCATCCCCCTGATTTCATCTCGCATCCGCGAAGTGAACATCGCTGGCACAGACGACTCCGCCACCGCTCCAAAAGCACCTGACCACATCAAACCAGCCCATCTAACTGCCCTCGCGGGTATCCTCTCCACAATCCCAACGGCCCTCGTCATGCCAGAACTCCCCACCCTCCTCCCCCTCCTCCTGCAATCCCTCGATCTCCAGACCGCAGACTCCGTTGCCGTCCGCACAGCAACCCTCGATACCCTCGCCGTCATTATCCGTGATAACGGTGTCGCCGTCATTGACCAGTGCGGCCACGTCCAGAGTCTTGTTACCAGACTTCTCAAAACAACAGCTACCAATATCGGTACTGGCACGGTCAATAGTCCTCGTCTCCGCGCGGATGCTTTGAAATGTCTCAAACTCCTCGCTACCCACCAGGTGCCCGGTGCTACGGCTAACGCGCGTGCGCCGCCGGGTATCTCGCCTCTCTTGCCTGTCAAGAATCAGGTTCTGAGGTCCCTGCGGGCGGTTCTTGATGATCCTAAGCGTGATGTGCGGAAGGCGGCTGTTGATGCTAGAGCCGCTTGGCTGCGTGGTGTGGATGATGCACCGGAAGAGGAGGAATGATTATTCTTGGGTTAAATGGAAGAATCCACTCGCATTAAGTTTAGAGATTGTTTATTATCATACATTGAGCATAGATTATAAATCCTTCAGCATGCGCTTTACATGATATTTCTAGATCGGGGATAACTTCAGCACTCGAGAAGTAGAGAGGACGGCGCAAGACATAATCGGAGACAAAACTTCTTCCTAGCTAGAGCTAGAGTTCTAGTAGGTAACGAGCAGTAGTGAAAGGACCCCTAGCTAAGTGAAACCCAGCCGAAATATAACCACTTGGTCCACTGGTATGGTCAAATCGAAATCGGCCAACTTAAGTTTGGGACGGAGTAGGTGATTTAAGAAGTGCATGTATAGGTTAATTTCGCCATAGGGACAACAGAATCTGATCTCGCAAGTTCAATTCATGCACTTGCAACGAGGGAAAGGTGATGGGATTAGGCTGTTCATCGCGTGCTGCACTTGATCTGTCGATTTAGTTCCTGGGAAGCTGATCCGAACCCACACAGGAATGCTCTAGTTGGTTTGCTGCCAATCTACTTCCGTGTCTTAGCGCCGAAAAAGTCACCTGATGGCGAACCTGAGGTGCCTCGACTTCTGAGAAGCAGACAACACGTTTTCTTATGAACTATAAGGCACATATTCTTGACTATGACATCGATATCATTCCGTGGCAAAAACGACGGGCTCCAGGTCGGAGATAACTATGGCTCACTCACAGCAGAGTTCCATCTGCCTCCAAGTAAGTTAAGAGGACAAACTCGCGATCGTGACTGATCGTCGCATCCCAGTGCGAACGGAAACTCCTAGCCCCCAAGACAAAGAATGTTTAAAAGCACTCTTTCTCACCGACCCCGAAGAAGATAGAGCCGCTCTCAAAAGAAAAAGAGGTGATCGGGCCCAGGGCACCTGCGAATGGATTCTGGAAACAGATGAAATCATCCAATGGTTGAAAGGAGCAAATGATATACACTCCAATATTTTGTGGTTGTATGGGAATCCTGGAACTGGGAAGTCCACCATGGCTATCACACTCGCAGAGGAGATACCGAAACAACAGGATTTTGTCAATGATGACAGGATACTGGCATATTTCTTTTGTGACTCCGCCCACGAGACACGAAGAACGGTGACTGCAATACTACGGGGACTACTCTACCAATTTCAAAAACAGCGCCCGCATTTCTTGGAGCACTTTCTAGCGAAGTTTTCGGAGCGGGGAGAAAGTATATTTGATTCGTTTGATGCTTTGTGGTCTATTTTCACACAAATCATCGACGACAAATTGACTGGCCACAAGTACTGCGTAATTGACGCCTTGGATGAATGCGATGACAATTCACAACACATTTTTCTCACACAGCTTGACCACTATTACCGCGAAACTCCGAAGGAGCATGAGAATAAACTGCATATACTGATTACGAGTCGACCCTATCCTGAAATCTATGAGCATCTTCGATTTTTCAGGCACAAGGATCTTAGTCAATACCATCAGAGAAAGCAAGACATCAAACAGATGATCAGCGAAAAAGTACAGAACTTGAAGCAGAAAAAGACATACACCAAAAGCATCGAGCAGGAAGTGACTCGAATTCTTCTGGATAAAGCAGAAGGGACATTCCTGTGGATTGGAATCGCCTGTCAGGAACTGTCAAAGATTCGCTCAAGAGACGCGGTCAAAACGCTCCAAAACCTGCCTCGAGGCCTTGATTCTCTTTACAGGGAACTGCTTAATAACGCCATTCAACAAAATCGGGACGAGGAAGGAAAGATTAATGAGATCCTCCATTTCGTTGCCGTGGCTCAAACAACAATGACTGTGTCCATGTTATCACAGGCATGCCGGTCCTACGAGGATGAGCCAGATGAAGAACGTATCACCTTCTTTCGAGAGGACATTGAGATGTGTCGATTGATGGTGATCATTGAGGGCAATTTCGTCCGGCTTTTACACAAGTCGGTCAAGGACTTTCTGCTCAAAATGGAGTGTGAAGGCCTTACGCAAAATCTCAAGGCACATGCAACCCTTTCATATCGCTGCATCAGTTATCTAATCAAATGTGATTTGAACGGTGAAGCAGCTGACCAAGGATTTCTTGACTACGCTGTTGAATTCTGGCCAGAGCATGCCCATTTGGCCAACACGGAATTCTCTATCCTGGATGAGCACAGAGTGTTCTACGAAAATTCATCGAGCCAATGGGATAGATGGAACGAATCCTATGAGAAACTCATATGGTTAGAAGACTCAGACCTAGATACTGCTAGCTTTACCATCTTTCACGCTGCAGCTGAATGGGACGTTGAAGCCCTGGCAAGAATTGGACTAGAAATGCTTGGGAACAAGACAATGGGATCTCGTTCGGTTAAGTATGACGATTGGGAATTTCAAGGGTCCCGTGAAGGAACACCCTTGAGGATCGCAGCACGCCGTGGAAATACTAAGATCATGGATATGCTGTTGGCGCGCGCTGATAAAACGATGGAAATACACACCGGAGTCATATCTGAGGCGGTGATAAACGTCGCTAGCGGGGCTGGTATTCTACAGCTTCTTTCGGATCACGCGGGATGCAGCATCGAGATTACAGAGAGCATTTTGGAGCTTGCAGCACAGAACAGAAGATGTGGATATGAGATTTTCAAAATCATCCTCAGCCAATACGGAGACAGCATTCGTCCTCGTATATCAGAAAGTGTCATGAAGCTCGCTGCGGCCAATCCAATGTTAGGGAGCAAGCTGGTGGAGCTGATTGCAGAAAGATTTCCCGGCATCCTGAACACTTTGACAACCCTCGGAGTCTTCGAATCTGCGATTTTCAATGACCAGCAGAACCTGAAGGTCGTTTCCTCATTACTTACTCACACTAGTGAGTTAATGGTCCCGGAGCAGATCGTGGAGACTGCAATACGTACCAGGCACAGTACTAGGGATATTACACTTTTGCTATTCTCCCATGCAGACCGAGCGAGTGTCCTCACAGAGAGGCTTATCTTGACTGCTGCATCCCATAGCACTCAACTATGCCAAGACCTGATTAAGATAACTCTAGAAGACGCCACGGCGTCTCAGATTCCAACTGAATTAGAGCATCTAATTGTTCGTTGGTGCGATGTGAAATTAATCAATCTTTTTCTGCGTGTAATGGACAGCCGAATTGCCATCTCTAAGAGCATGATAGAGGCAGCAAGAGATGAAGATGTCAAGAAGATCCTTGAAGCCCGGATGGATACCCAATGCCAGTCAACCAAATTGAGCACTCTAGCAGCCGAGGATCACACCGTTCCATCCTTTCACCGCTATTTCATCAGACAAATCGGTGTTCTGAAAGACCATACTGATGAGGTATTCAGTTCTGCTTTCTCACCAGATGGTTCTAAATTTGCCTCCGGTGGTCGGGACAAAGTGGTACGAGTGTATCGCTGCATGGGGTTCATGTCTCTCGGTCAATTGATCGGCCATGAACATTTTATTACGTGCCTGGGATGGAGTCCCGACAGCAAGAAATTGGTCAGTGGTTCGTCAGACGGAAGCATTCGAATATGGGATACAGAGGTGAGACACAAATAGACTCAAACTACTCTATATTCTGCTGACTTTTGGGTTTTAGACCTATACTTGTCTAACAGTGTTGGAGAACCATGAATCACTTATCACAGCGATCTCATGTGCATCTGATGGGCAAAGCTTCATTAGCTCTTCATTTGATACTTGGTTCTGCCATTGGACGGATACTGGAAAGCCTCTACACATTTCGCAGAAAACACCTAGATCCCAGCATTCATGCATCACGTCAGACGGCAGTCAATTAATAGTGGTGGATGTGGAGGCGAAGCTTCATTTTTATGACCTTAGAACCTACGCCAGGATTAGATCGGTTCCTTTGGAGGCAAAGGCTTCGTCCATCACGGTTGAATCCGACACAAATCTGGCTCTTTTGGACTTAATGTCCGGTGAAATGCAACTCATTGATCTCACCGACGGAAGTATTGCTCAAAGGTTCCAAAGTGCTCGACTTAGGGATAATTTTGTCCTTATAAGCACGTTTTTCGCAGATGGAAATTCCCTTATCCTTGGATGCAGTGAAAACGGCAAAATCTGTGTTTGGAATCGACATACCGGATCTCTTTTGGATGTACTAGGTCATGGTCATGGTTCCGTGAATTCGGTCTCGACGAACCCAGCCAACCCGAATATGTTTATATCTACCGGTGATGATTTCACAGTGAGAGTGTGGGAGATGGGACCAAAGACAGAATAATCCATCCTATCAAATCTGCCATTTTACTCTGCGGGCCCCTGTTGTATAGTATATGTGACGAATCTTTGTTCATTAAAAGAACTTGCCAACCAGCAGTTATCAAGATTCCCTGATGCCATATGTGCATTGTATTGAAGCCCCCGGATGTCGTTACAGGTTTCTTTCCAGTGATTTCAAAGTCGCAGGAATTAATACAGGTTTGTGTTTGAGAAGGGCACGGAAAGGTAGATTTGATGCCTTGCAAACTGGGGGCAAGTGTCAAACTCACGTTAAATACACTCGTGTTCCTCATTTTCAACCCTCGGAACTGCCTTCGATCATGTCCCTAATAAGATCGCACAGCCAGTGGCCTGGAGGCATCCCCTCCTTCGCCGACACAAAGAACCCGCCCTGGAAATTTTTGATGCCTCTCGTGCATGGAGGCATTTTGTCCGTGACCAGGCGTGGATCAACAGAAACGAGCTTTGAACGGTGGGTAACAGCAGACCAACAATTTCGCGATGTATGTTTTGAGAGAATTCTTATTTCTCCACTGACGCCAAGACAGGCCTATCAATCCCGAGCACCAGAGGACGAGCCTAGTTTCTTTTTGAAGGTCCCGAACTTACATGAAATATCTTTTACTATTTGACTTGTGATTCTAAAGGTATAGGACAAAAGTTTTACAGGAAATGACGTTCGAAATCTCTGCATGGTCTACTTCTGTACCACCGAATTGACCCGCGAGAAAGAAGCCCTGCTAGCCAAGTGTATCTTGGGTTTATTCCCATGGGAAGAAGGCTGGGCATTTCTACCAGAAGAAATGATAATGTTTCTCCCCTTGGAAGATAATCAAGGGGATATTCTCGAGACATTTAAGTTCCATCAAAGTGTCGCCCGACCTAGCTTCCTTGATATGCACATGGCGCTCGATGGAACGGTGCTTTTCAGGGACTGCTATGCCAAGCTCATTATCGACGACTGGACCCTTGAGGCTGGACTGGGGCTTTGGGTCGAATTTGCAACGAACAGTATCTATAAGAAAGCCTACCGGGCTCAATGATGGAGGAATTCGCCCACTTTTATGTGAAATCGGTCCGGAAAATCAGGTCCCAATAGAGCAGGCGTTGAATTACATCGAGTCATGGGTAATATACTAAGACCGCGATGAAGATACAGATCCAAGAGAGATCCTGGAGGATGGGCCGTGAGTCTGTCCATTCTTGGTTACAAGATAGTATATATTAATGGCTTAGAGTCGATATGCGACGGCCGCTCGTGGAAATTTACCGAGGGGGTGAAATCGATATAGTTGACTATGCGCCAGGCTTTCGCGAGGCGGAGCAGGGTAACGACTTAGCGATCGGATATGATTTGGAATAGATACTTGCGAACGATGGAAATCCCCTGACTATCACAAATCATGGAAGTGATCATTAGCTAGACTTTATTGCCCCTTATTCGGTTCCTATAGGGCTAAACTACATACGCAAATACACCAGCCACGGTGCGATTTGCAAAATATCAAACCTTTTTTATTTTGTTTCTGTGTTATGTCTTAAATGCAATATCGTGTCGTCCGGGTACAAAGACCCATAAAGACTCTCAGAATCAAACGACAATGACAAGAATACACCTGTCCCATTTCAACTCCAACCTGCCTATCTCATCACCACCTGTGCTTGGGTGGCCTAACGCAGGTAACTATCTCTTGTCCCAAGTAACTGGACGACTCCTTGACTGTACCTGTACCATCGTGGCTGCGCTCGTTCGAAGTGTTCGTACGCTTCTCAGTACTGCCAGGTCCTCTGTTCCAGTACCCCACAGCGTCAATTTTCTGTACGACGGTCTTGGAAAGTTGGAACATTGCTCCAATCCCCGAATGACCAACCTCGGCTCCGAGGGTACTCAGACCCTCGTTCGCAGTAGAGGGGATGACATTCATGATGTCTGCACCGAGGAGATCTGTCGCACACCAGGACTCGTTGCGTCCGCCAGGCTCAACGAAGGAATTTGATTTCAGGATCTCGTCCACTTTGCTGCTGACAATCGAGGCCTGCCACCACTGCTTTCCCTCCTTGGCCATTTGCTCAAGCGGGGCGTTCTGGAAAACCTTGATTTCCGATGTTAGGATGGAGGGGATGCCAAAAAGTTCTTGGGTTTCGCTGATTTGGAGAAACAAGTCCTTGCTCCTTTCCGAACGGTAAGGATGACGGCTCCACCGTTCCATAAACACCTGATCAATTCTGATCTTCGAGTCGGTGGGAAGGCGGACGATCATACGAAGATAGTGATTGCTTGGTTCTATCCGTATGCTTTTGGCCATCATCCGTGCAGCTTCGTCAAGCGCCGGGTCAGCCCCCGTAATGTATTCGACAAAGCCTTGTACTTTAGCAGCTGCATCCCACACCTGGGAAGGGAAACTCAAGTGCACGATGCCTAGAGAGAATTCAGGATAGCGAATCATAGCATTTCCACGTTCATTAACTGAAATAATAATGATCCTGTTCGGACCAACATGGCACCAGAACTCGTATTTCACGCCTCGGTGGCTGTACTTGTGATCGAACAGGCGACATTGGTTGGACTCCAAATCGACGAGGTAGTCAATATCCGCAGGAGATGAAGTCAAGCGCTGGAAAAATGAGACTGGAGGTGGGGTCAAGTTATGCTCAGAGAAGAACAGCTGGTGAACCGCTTTGTAGCTCATCTCCCTCTCTTTGGTTGAAGCTGGCAAACTGGGCATGAAAATAAGACCGAACTGGATTTGGAGGCTCAACGCCCCAGGAAAGCTGCGAACTGCATCAAGAATTGGTTCTAGGAAGCGAAAGAGGCCCTCTGTCGATTCACGAATGAGCTTTTTTTCCTCTGATGATTTCACAGCCATCTTCATGGGCAAAGCAGTGTCTTTTTGTGACCATCCTTCTGTTGATTTAGATCCTATTCTTCGCTGCCAGACCTTAGCAAAGGGAGCTTCAGCCTTTGCTGTATTCTCTGCATTTGTTTCGGTGTTTTCCCTTCGCTGCGATGAATTGGCAGTGTAGACTTCAATCTTTGCCCTTCTCACTGCCCTGGTTACTTCATCCACCCATTGAAAAGCCTTGTCAGAAGGCCGCTGATGAAACATTGTCTCGTGGAATTCTCTTGTCTGAATCTCCTCTAGAACAGCCAGCTTTTCGTCAACTACTGGTTCTGCATCTTGCTCATCACTTTTGGAGTCGGAATTTTGCAAAGAGCCAGGACTAGACGTCCCCAAGCGAAGAGAAAGCACCCGGGGTGAGATATCAATGAGGCCTGGATGAAGAGATGGCACATTCTCATTCCCTTGGTAAGGGTGATGACGTTGCTGAACACCATGATGCAGAGTGCTGTCACACGAGCCCGAAGACAGACCTCGAGGTGCAGGAGCACCAAGAGTAGCATCAAGTGGTAGCGCAATCTCGTCGATATTGAGAATTTCCTGGCTAGGATTGTCTTTGATCTGCTTGAGCAGATATTCCATTGCTACTTCATCGGCTTTGCTGCGGTATTCTGGAGCCTGTTCATGTTTCTGTTCGTCTTCCGATACGTCGGCCTCATCATGAGAGTCAGCAACTTCTGAATCAGGCAACGGCACATCTGTAGCGAACTCTAGTTGAGCAGACTCGCTAGGAATAGGGGCTGGGATCGCCGCACGGAGGATTATCGGATCATGAGTTAGCTCAGGGCAGGGAGAGATGCTCCGAGTTAGCTCAGGTTTCATACTTGTGTCGTCAATATTGGGCATATCAAAAATGTCACCAGTTTCGGCAAAAGTGGGAGCCTCGCCATAGTGGAATTGGTTATGCTGAGCATCTGTAGACTGCTCCGGAACGATTGATAGGACTGTAGCTAGCGGATCAAACGCGACAGCGTGTCGAAGACCATTATTGAAGCTTACCACTTCGCAATCAAGATCAATGAGGGGGATGTGGCTTTCTGTTTCCTTTGTGCTGAGATCCAGCTGAGTGGATGTGGTGCTTGACTGCTTTTGATCTGTTGTCGATGGTTTGCTGGACACTTCCTCTATTCCAGTTTCCCTCGTAGTCTTGGCCGTCTGAAGCATTAGCTTTATCTCCCCCATCACCGAATCAACACTTCGTCCTTGAGGCTTTGTATTCACCTGTAAATTCACTGCCTCGGTTATAATGAAAGGCTGGGTCCTGTTGACTCTTGGTGAACTAAAGCGAATTGGTTGACGCAAAGTACTAGTCAGCTCTTCTTGTTGGGAAGGGCGAGAGATTGCCAAATCAGCGGCATATGATGTGTCTTCCGGCTGTTTGGGGACTGTACCCGAAGGAGTGGATAAAAGTGGGAGACGAGGGGTGGGATTTGACTTTGGTTCCTGAGTCGAGGTAGAATAGGTAGAAGCCGCAGGATCTGTTCCCTCAGACATTGCGCCCGACTGTTTGGAAGCTGCACTTGGAGCAGTGGAGTCAGTCGCGCCGCGAAGAGTACTAACCAGTCTTTTTTCTTGAGTGACTGAGGCAGACGAACCGGCTACCTGTTGGTCCCTGACCCTCTCTCTATAGCTGAGTCTGCTAAATATGGAACTATTCGGGCCATAAGGTATGTCTATTGGCTTTTCTTGCTGAGACTGGCTAGGCAGTGCTACAGTTCCATCTGGTAGCATAACCACGCGCCCTTTGACGCCTGTGAGCTTGGGCTTGAATGGACTCGACTGTCTCTGGCGCCATGATGTGGAAATGTCGGGCTCAGGTGGAGTGCTGGAGGCAACACGCTCGGTGGATGTGGGGTCATCTTCCAGTTGTCTTTTCATATGGCTGTCGCCTGCCAAAGGCTCTTTAGTGGCACCGCGAGATATCCATTTATTGACATCTTTTGCCTTCCCGGTAGAGAGATACGGGTGCTGAGTATCGCTCTTCTCATGGGAGGTCTCACTTTTGGGCGGGAGATGTCGATCAATTTTCCCTAGAAGGGGATCGTTTTTCAGACCGATCTCTGGAAAATGATAACCTTCCCAGTCTCGAGCAATGCCCGATTCCTTCAGGGCCACTTGCGGCGGCTGCCGAAGTTTGCGAAGTGGACGGAATTCGTTGGCGAGCTCGTCGAATCCACAGACCACCAGAGTCATTATTTTTGGGAGGCGAAGAGGAGCATTTCGGTCGATTAAAATGCGCCACAGGGCAGTGGCACTGATCTGTCCGTATGGCATGATGCGAAAGGTAGCATTCTCCCGTTTGGGGGTAAAGATGACCAGGCCTCGGTTTGGGTTCTCAATGAGGTCCTAAAAGTATTAGCGTAGAAAACTTGGAAAAAGAAGACTCAGGACTATACCAAGCATTCCTCAACGGCGTCGAGCATATCACCTGCATCTTTGATGTCGTCCATGCGTTGTGCAGAAATACGGAGCCCTCGGGTGCCCTGCACTGTAATTCGCGTTTCCGTCATTTGGGAGATGCGAGACAGGAGAGGACCCAAGTTACGAGAGATGGGACCTAACCCCGCCTGCGAGGGATACCAGAACTTGACAATGTGTCCATCGCTAGTGGTTTGTGTCGGCATGATATCCTCCACTAGGGTTTCCACATCTGGCTGCACATCACTTCCATAGGCGGGAAGGGGAGTGGGATCGAAGGGGGCCGAGGTTGGAAGTTGACGCACTCTCGGCATCTTGAGAAGCTTTAGTACAATATAACTTGGGTGATGGGGAGGCATCTAGACATACATCGAGTAAATCATCATTGCGACAATGCTCTTGGATATAATCTGCAAGCAGTGATGTGACTTCGACATCAAATTCTTCATCGAACTGGCCAGTGACAACCAAGATCTGGGTGGTATTAGCAGAGCCGCCATTGTAAATAGTACACAAACGCCTACATGTCTATCACGTAGATATTCGACCTTCATCGAAGCGGTGGGATTCAATGCACTATCAAAGAATCAGTTTCGATCAAGCCAAGTACATAGTGATATTCCATACTTAAGCTTGTCTCGGAGTTCTGAGATCTATGTCGAGTCTGGTCAGTCCTAGTCCATGCAGGAGGCTAAGCTACATAGACTTACCCCTCGGTCCTCCAGTGACCACATTGAAGTCAGACGAAGCGTCCGGCTACTGGCCATCTTGAATGGTGATTTGAGAGGAGTGAATCGATGCGGACCGGAATGTTGAAGGACAGATACAACTCGATCGAAGTCGCACGTCAATCGGACGCGAGTCAATTGGTGATGTGAGATGGTTTGAAACGTGACTGAAAGGAGCAATTCAGCCAGAGGTAGGTTGATTGGCCCGGGAAACCTTGAGGAGACAATCGATTGAGTAGGAGGTAGGAAATGGCAAATCGATCACAGAAGGACTAGGTAGATAGCACCTGGGCAATCGATTTGAAGGAGCACACCGTGGTTAAAGGTGCATGCATGTATGGGGTAGACAACGATGAAGGGGCAAGGGCGAGGAAGAGATGAAGAAAGAGAGACGAAGGAATAGGGAAGAGGTGAAGTGATGTCAACGATTCCTATTGTGGCGGCGCCGACGGTGATGTTCATACCTTTGCGAATGGAAGGAACAACCGGGTACGCACGCGTCCATCAAATTGGAAATCATTAACAAGCGACGGGCCCGTGATCCCGCGCGGGTGCTATCTTATACTGGGGCGAGATTGAATCACAGCAATAGATAGAAAATGCAAAGTACATATAGAGTCAAGCAAAAGTCAAAAGAGTATAAATTTCTGAGTTAAGCATAATAACAGGCCCATGACATGTAGGTAGAAAGGAAATATGTAGCCACTCTTTAAGGGCTTTTGAACACAAGCAAGAAACAAGTCTTACTATCATGTCCATCACAGTGTAATCATATCCGGATAAAAATATGCAGGTCATCAAACGTCATATCTAACAGGGGGTAACAGTAGAACAGAGAAAGGAGATAAGGTGATGCCCAGATTTGACCGAATGAAAATGCAAATGCAGGTGAAAGTAAGAATAGAAACAGGAATACAAAAATCGAAGGGTACACGAGCGAATTGAACTCTGCCACGACGGGTATCTGCTGCAAAGGGAAACGAAACGCCATGCACCGGCCAAGAATGGTCTATGAGAAATGAATAGGAGTGGTAGGTAGGATGTTGGTTGTCAAGACATGGGGTCGAGTGGAAAGGCTGAAACCGGGACGGAAAAATGTGTTTGGATGGTGGTCTGGCGTTTGGCGGTAGTGCTGAGGGATTCGAGCAGAGAGCAGAGAGAGGAAAGGGGGGTGATGATAGACAATTCGCATGGTTAAGGTTGGAGGTTGACTCAAACAAGAGCTGACGATGAACAAAGACAAAGAGCAAGTTAATCACTGCCTTGTCGACTTGCATTGAGCCGGATCGCCCATTTCATTTCTGTCTCAGTCTCCTTGAGCTGAGCAAGAACGCCAGCAATATTATCGTTATTGGATTTGGCAGAGTCAATCGTATCGCGGAATTCATTATCCTTCAGTTCCTTATAGGCGGAGTGGTTGACGAGCAGCTTGTCATAAGATTCCTTGAGGGAGTCGAATTCCCTGTTCTTTTGATCTGCGAGAACCTCCAACCGTTCGGTGGAGTGTATATGTGTTTTCTGGGCATTGGCGATAGTCGTGAACTCGGTCCAGATGGCATTGATGCGTTTTGCAAACTCTGCCTTTTCGCGTTTCGTCGCGCTGGATAGCACCTCGTACTGTGTCTCGTGGTGCTTGGCGATCTCTAGTAACCGGGCTTGTTCGCGATTTTGGTTCTCGCGCTCCTCGCGCATCGTCTGGTTGGTCTGGTTTGCGTTCATTTCCGCATCCTGCCGCTTGGTGCGCTCATGCTGGAGGTCCAGTCTTAATTCCTCCAGTTTCCGGTCTTTCCGTGCGATTGAGTTGAGGTTGGTCTCGTTGACTTGCTCAAGGTTCCGTAGGCGCTCGTTCATGTTTTGTTGCTGGATCTTGTAGGCCTCGTTGGTTCTTTGGTTCTCCTCCGCGCGGGACTTGTAGAGCGTGCATTCACGCGTTAGGCGTGCTATTTCCTCCTGAAGATTGTGGATAACGCGTCCTGATTTCCCTGTCGCTGCTGCATGGCCAACCGCTGACCATTCTGATGTTGGGGTATCGCCATTGCTCAGGTCGGCGGGGGCCGCGGGAGGGTTCGGAGGGTTCGGAGGGTTCGAAGGAGACGACGATGGCTGATTGTAGTTACCTGGAATGTGGGGATTGTAAGCTTGGGTAGACGGGGTGGGATCGGAATCACTAACCATTCTGGCCTCCGGCTGGTTCGTCGAGGAATCCGTTGTTCTGGTGCATGTTCAATTGCGTGTCCACATGCGGAAGATTGACTTGTGGCGCTTCTGCACGGATAGGGGGGTCAGCAGCAATCGGTATAAGATTTTTGCTAGGGCTGAGACGCTTCATGACCCGTTTGAAGCCCCCCATGGTGACCGCCCGCGCCTGTCATGAGGAAGCGGATGGGAGAGCAAGATGGGAGAAAAAACCAGTGGACCTTTGAACTATGAAGGGAAAGCTCATACCAGTATTAGAAGCCAATTGAGCTAGACGTGAGGTCGTTGTCTTAAGATTTCGCTTATTCATCTAGACATCGCAAGGGAGGCCTCTGATCAATAAAGGCGCTGTCTCATGCGACAAAGATCATCACAGACAAAACAAACTATACGGAGTAGCTCGCTGCCGAATATTCCAAAACAATGAAGCGGTAAGAAAGGTGGAAGTTGCGGAAGATCAGTCGATCATCGTTCTTTGTGTTTCAACTCTACGTCCATCGGAAACGCCACGGCGCTAGTGGCAGATATGGACTGACAGGTCTTGTTTTCTTTCTTTGCTTTTTCTTTTTCTTTCCGTTTTGATTTTGATTTTGTCTGATGTTATGAATGCTAAATGTGATTGATTGCTTTCTCGACGCCTCAGGTCACCTGTATCTCAACGATTTTCAGGGGTATTCTATATACAGAATGCTATATCAGTTTTGCCCAACTCCAATAAAAACAACGAGTCCAAAAACCAGACCGAAAACGCCAAAACAGATCAATGAACTAGACAAGGTATGCCAAGAGACCAGCAATACCCATTACCAATTGTACAGAGCACTGCGGGACAGAAGCGGCCCCAGCTTGTCTGCTTCCAGTGGAGGATGCTTCCTTGCCATTGACAACCTCAGTGCCAGTGACCATCATTCTCTCAGTTGAGCTAGCAGCGATAGAGCTAGAAGGACTACCAGATTGGTTGGCAGAAGAGCTGATGAGGGCCTTGCTGGCAGCGTTGGTCATTGTGGTATGGGTTCCTTGTGTCGCCTGGGTAGTACCACCAATGGTCTGGGTGTTGAGGGCAGCAGTAGTGTTGGTAGCGCCCGTGGTAGTTCCGGTAGCTGTATTAGTAGAAGCAGCAGTGCTAGCTTCGGATGCGGTGTTCTTAACTTCTTTAGCTTCGGGGATATCGGCAAGGGGCTTGCCGACCGACTTTAACAGAGCGGTATAGTTAGTCTTGTCTTTCTGTCTGATCTGGAAGGCGTAGGTATTTCCGCTTTTGACATCATTGTCAGGTGTCCAGGTGAAGATACCGCCCTTGCCATCAGTAGTGATCGGCTTCACGTCCTGCAGGTCGCCCGAGGAACCTTGGCGGAGGAGGATGGTCACAGGCTAAACAGGTTTAGTCTTGTTACAATTTGAATTGGAGAAAATGAGTGTTACCTGATCAGCATCGGCACCAATCCATGTGAGGGTGACTGGCTTGCCAGCCTCGAGGGGCTCCTTGGGCCAGGAAGTGAAGCGAAGAGGGTTGGAAGCGAGGCCAAGGGTCACGAGCGAAGCCATGATGGCAATAACACTCTTCGAGAAATGCATCGCGATATGAGAAAATCAATAGACGGTTAGGTTTCAAAGAAAGTGAGATTATAGTACACAGGTTGCGTATAATTGGTGAATTGGGGATTTGGTGATGGAGAACACAATATAACTTTCAAGAACTGGTGGCGCATCGCGATTCTTAACTGACAGCATGAATTGCCTAGATCTCTCCCAGCCCTACAGAAGTGATTTTCGAAGCCGCTTGTTGGTATTCGAACGCTGAGACCCAAGGGCGTTTTGGGAGAATGTTGCATTCCGATGGCCCTAATAGTGAAGCATCATGTTACCTAATACAGAATATCGTCTACCTTGGCTGGGGAATACCTGTTAGAAAGTATTGGAAATTCTCGATACCAATTTGCCGCGAAACTTTGCCTAGGAGAACTCTGTCAGTTTTCATGGCAAGGGCGTGCGAGGTTATATCGTCATTCAGTACCTTTGATCATAATCGCTTCATTTTTCTAGTCGTGGCTGAAAGCCCACAAGAATTGGTCGGCCATTTAATAAAGGGCTCATACTAATCGATGAGCTGCGAAATATAATGGCCAATGGCATGCCTCGCCGGGACATACTGGAATGCCATCCCTTTGCGGCATGTTTTGGTGGCGATCAGTTTATGCATAGGGCTATGGTGAACACCATGATCATTGCTTGCAACTCATCAAGCATTTCTCGGGCCTTCTTCTGTGTACCATCGATCTCATACCAAGGGGTACCATATGATCTAGTGGTGTAGTCTGGAGGTTGGGGTAGCTTGATCGCCATCCATAAGGCACAAGGAATACCGAATATATTCCCAGCCCTATAGCTTAATCATCTTGGTATATCAATAGATTCCACGTCCATAAACATATGGATAGGCAACAATATTGGCAATAGCAGTAATAATAAGTTGAATCGAGTTTAAAGAATGTATATGACCGAGTATTGTGGGACGAAGGAATATATATCTCTAGCGTTGCTCCATACAACGAAAGCACAATATAGGGGCTAGAATGAGCGCAATGCCACTCTTGCTTCACCTATAGTGGCCATGAGACAAGAATGAGCTCCAAGACATGTCGAATACGTCCAGGGGGGTTGTCTTATGATTGCCGCGTGGCCCAGATCTAATGCTTACTTTCAGCACTGGGAGTTGTAGAGTTAGACTTGCGGCAAGGGACCTGTTAGTAGATGATCATTTCTCTTCAAAGCAGGGAACTATGACTATACCCCGCAATGTCTAGATCCTTGAAACTTCATTGTCAAACAAATTGAATTGGTATACGCTGATATATGAACCCTCAGAACTCCCACAAATCCCGCATGAAACTCCCTGGACCAGAGTCCACGCCGCCATCTTCCTCTAGTAGACGATCTGTGAAGATACGCTTGGGAATCTGGTACTCGACGACAGGAATCTTTTTGAGATTTCTCTCTTCGACTCCAAGGTCTGCAGTTACCATGCCTGAATACGTGTGATCAAGGAAATCTTCCAGACTGTATGCTTGCTTTGTGAACTGCTCGGAGATGATCCGTGCAATGGCCGCAACGTTGGGGTGGAAGTGAGACTGGAGAGTCTCGACCTCCCAAATACTGCTCTCGATGGCGTTGGTCATGTTGGGGTCGGACTCGTTTGGATCGAACGGATCGTCCATGCCTTCTTTCTCCACTTGTCCAAGGAGATCCTTATCCCGAATAGATCGGTGCATCATGAATGTAGTCGTGGGGTGGTTCTTGAAAAAGTTGTACATGAACGGAACGATCACGACAATGGCGGAAGGAGGGGCGTTCAGTGCAAGACGAGCGAGACGCTTGATGAAGCTGGCCACCAGTGTGGACGGAAGATGGGTTGAGGACAAGAAGGTGTTCAGCAATCGGAAGAATCGTGATCGGTGCTTTGAGTGCAGCAGCTCGGAATCCAGGAGAGAGTACAGCTTGGTGTAGAATTGAGGGTAATCCAGGTTCTTCTCCTGGATCAGGTAGAAGAGACCAGACAGTGCGAGGAGAGATGTCGCACCACCAACATTGTATGAATCCGTCAAGAAATCCATCAGCAGTTCTGGTCGGTTGAACCACGGCTCGATGTTGTGCACCATCATACGCAGCAGGCTCTTCCGCTGCGATTGTGAGAGATTGTTTCGTAGAATGGCCAACCACGCCTCCTGTGCCTGCTTTCTGTGGGAGTTTGCCGAAACTAAGCGCTTATTCTTGGTATCTCGTTTCGCGTAGAAGTTTTCGAACTTGTGTTCCGGCCCAGGTACCTCATCGCAGGCCTCAAGGATCTTAATGAGCGTGTCAAGGACTTCGGGGGATCGTTTCGTAGAGGCATAATCACTGACATAAGTTAGCCACAAGACTCGATAGCGAGAAAGGGGTGTACATACGCCATCTGTGTGAAAGTGTAATATCTCACATCCTCATACTCCTTCACGAACTTGGCAACGGCTTCGGATTGCAGATCCTGCCCGTTGTGGGCTTCGATGATGGCCGCAAAGATATCTTTGAAGAAACCCGTCGACCAAACATTATTCTCTGCACCCGGGATATGGGCCAGACGTTCCTTGACAATGCGCATGCTCAGTGTCAGAGCAGCAATCTAGAGATCGTTAGTAATAGTAACTCTGGCAGATCAAGACCACACATACCTGAGAGGAAGCATCTGCCTCACGCATGATAGCCACGAGGGCATTCTGATAATCAAGGCAACGCTCTTTCAACCATGCCACGACGATTTTCTCGTTCTCAGCGGCGCGGCTTGACTCGGTCAAATTTCCTCCGGCGATCAATCGGCTGAACACACGACAAAGAGAGACGGCCACGGCCATCTCGGGTTTCTCAGCCGATTTATCGACATTGAGCATGGAGAGCAGGGTCGCAATATTGTTGTAGCCCTTTCGCGACTCCGCAATCTGATTCTCTAGCTCTTGAATAGTAGACAGTTTCTCGGCGAAATTGTCATCGGCGACAGCGCGGCGCTTGGAGGATGGGCCGCTGGCATTCTTGCCGCTCTTGCGCTTCTTAGAGCTCGAATCCGTAACAGGTGCAGGCATTTTGGACAAACGTCTTGTAGTGTACCGTGACCGGGTTATCTGCAACTTTTTTTTATCGTTTGGACCATCTCGGAAGCTGGTTTTTCCGAGGCACGGAACCAACACCCGAAACGGCTAGCGTCTTCACCTCCTAGCCATCCCGAACCTCAAGTCTCCTCAATTCCGTTCACCCACCCCATTGACCAAGATTCTTCCATCTGCAACAATGGCTTCACGTCTCGCCAAGAGCGCCATTGGTACGCTTTTTACGATCCGCGACCGTCTGATCGACTCGATGCCTTTAGTTACTAACTCACCCTAGGCGCATCCCGACTTCGGCCGGCTCTTCCCGCCCGTGGTGTCCCTGCCGTCACTGCGAACCTGACCTCCTCTCGTCAGGCCTCCAACGTTCCCGCCGAGGAGCCCACCAAGAAGGCGCAGTCGATCCTGAACGCCATCCCCGGCAACTCCCTGGTCACCAAGACCGCTACCCTGTCTGCCGCCGCCGGTCTTTCCATCGCCGCCATCAGCAACGAGCTGTACGTCATGAACGAGGAGACCGTCGCTGCTTTCTGTCTTCTGTCTGTCTTCACCGCTGTTGGCAAGTACGGTGGTCCCGCCTACCGCGAGTGGGCTGAGGGTCAGGTCCAGAAGCACAAGGACATCCTGAATGCTGCCCGTGCCGACCACACCAACGCTGTTCAGCAGCGTATCAACAGCGTCTCCCAGATGTCTGGCGTTGTTGAGGTTACCAAGCAGCTCTTCGCTGTTTCCAAGGTAGGATTACTCGGTCGCATACATTGATACTTGGGTCGGTTTGTTGACAGTTCGTTTCAGGAAACCGCCCAGCTCGAGTCCCAGGCCTACGAGCTCCAGCAGCGCACTGCCCTCGCTGCCGAGGCCAAGCAGGTCCTCGACTCGTGGGTGCGTTACGAGAACCAGGTCAAGCAGCGCCAGCAGCGTGAGCTTGCCCAGTCCGTCATTGCCAAGATCCAGAAGGAGCTTGAGAGCCCCAAGGTTCTCCAGCAGATCCTCCAGCAGAGCGTTGCTGATGTTGAGCGTGAGTTATCTACCAACGGACCTTTTTACAGAAGATTGCTAACAATTCCCAGGCATCATGGCGTCCAAGGCCCTGTAAATGGGCTGAGTAGCTCACTGCATTCGGCATTGTGTACAAAACTATAAGGGCTATTTGCATCTGCCGAGTTAGACCTTGCAATACCATTTTGATTCTTACTCTATACTCGGACACACATGGTTTCAAGACATGTTTCAAGCGAGTTGGGCCTGGAAATGGCCGGCTGATGTCTGGCACATGAATCTGTTTGGCCAGTTTCTTCGTAGAACACTTTGACCAGAATATGACACAAAGAGATACTCAAGCGTGCCCTTTCAATGTATTTGACTGGTACCACTCTGGAGCTATGTACCAAGCACCACTGTATTTCCCGAAGTAAAGGCTGAGTCCATGCACTTATGCCCTATGATATGCAGGGTCTAATGCAGCACGCCACCCCGGGGCCCGTGGAGAATGCGATAAGCGATCTATACTAAGGTTTTATCTGGGGAAAGTCCATATCATTGCATATGTTCCTAGGATATCCTAGGATTTCAAATATCCAAGTATTTTCAATATATTTAATTTGTGTGCACACGGGCTATTAGCCGCTGGCCAAGACTCTCCGGACCCCAGTCCACGGGTCATCAGCCCGTGGACAGCCGCTACACAGCCACTGTTTATTGTTATTTTAAAACACTCAGCCCTACAAGTATTCTTGATACCTCTTCCATATCTAAATACCATAGTCGGCAACTACCAAAAAGTCCCATACCCACTTCCCGCCGCCATCCGGTCAAGTATATGCGCATTATGCCCTCACTACGCAACATCCTCCACAAACGCGACGACCTCAGCACCACCCCAACACCCCAAAATGCACCAACAACACCCCCAGCACCCGAGTTCAAGCTCATCCGCTCAGACACAAATACCCAAGAGATAATCACGGCCCCATCCCACCCAGACGACCAAACCCAATACCTATCATCACCAACTCAAGAAGAGCCCACGTCTCCGCGCCGGAGCTTCCAGCTCTTCAACCGCTCCCCCAAACCTGCCTCAGCAACCTCGCAATCCCCACCCCGTCGCGAGCGCCGCCTTTCAAGCCTCCTCCATCTCGACTCCCGCAGTCGCAGTAACTCGCGTGACTCCTCCGCTAACATACCGGCGGATCTGCCGCAGATCGATGATGACTATGGTGCGAGTAAGCAGGAGCGTGAGGCGTTGTGGGAAAAGAGGGCTACTGTGCTTGTGCAGAAGAATCCGCAGTTTGCGCAATCCGGTTCATCCTTGCCGCGGCAGGGTGAGGGGGAGGCGTCGCTAGGGTTGGGATTGGGGCTGGAGCAGGCTAGATCGAGGAGCTCGAGTCAGAGTCGGGTTGGCATGGATCCGAATGAAGATGTAAGTGCTTATATATATATTGGCGATATGGTTTCATTTGCGGCTGGAATGTAGGACTAACGGATTATAGATCAATATTCAGGAGGCGATTCGACTGCATGAATCTGGTGGTGAGTTTTGCTTTTTTTTGTCTAGCTAGAGGTACGTTGATTAACATTGATTATAGATCTCGAGCGATCAACTCAGATGTTCGGACAACTTGCCGATCCAAATGGCCCAAATAATCCTCTGAGTCAGGTTCTTTATGGCCTCGCACTACGGTAATAGCACGTTTAGCTATTTCTCAATTTCCCAGATGCTAATAAATGTACAGACACGGATGGGGCTGTCCTGTAGATACACCATGCGCTGTGACATATCTCTCCGCCGCAGCATCCAATTCGGCCGCGGTTGAGGCGGAGGCCCTCCGTGCTGGTGTTAGCAAGGGAGGATCTGCAAAAGGAGAGCTCGTTTTGGCCATATTCGAATTGGCAAATTGCTTCCGAAATGGGTGGGGTATAGCAAAGGACCCTCCTGCTGCTAGACAGTATTACGAGACTGCTGCGAATTTGGGTGATACTGATGCCATGAATGAAGTGGGCTGGTGTTACCTCGAGGGATTCGGGGGTAAGAAAGACAAGGTACGTGTGGTTCCCGCCTATATTTTGTCCCTATTCTGACTCTATGTTGCAATAGTTCAAAGCGGCCAAGTATTACAGACTTGCAGAGAAGAATGGGTGCCCTACTCTTGGGAATTCATGGTATGTTCAACTAACTGAGGATTTGGAGTTTGAATCTAATGGATACTATAGGATCTGGAAAGATAAGTACAACCCGAAGTAAGCTGCTTCAACAAAGGTAATAATTATTACCTCTAATCTACGATTAATGTGTTTCACGGTCTACCTCAATGTATCTTAACTTTTTCTACGTGTCACGTCAATATTCATGTCCAAGCAAGTTCTACTTCCATATATTCCAACTCACAACTCTCGATGTTCAATTATCCCAGTATGTCTTTTCTGCACGATCACGTTAGCATCACCAGCAACACGCGCCTCCCCATCAAAAATACACGCAATTTCTTCAAGCGACCTCCCCCTAGTCTCAGGATAAGTCTTCCAAACAACAACCAAAACAACAAGCAGCACACCCAAAAACACAAAATAATATTTCCAAGAAATACTCTCAAACGCAATAGGGTTAATGAGCTGATTGAAAACCAGCGCCATATAATTCGACATCATGGAGATAGCAACGCCCTTGGCACGTAGCGACGTCGTCCAAATCTCAGCCGGGTATGCCAGGAGCAGCGGCGTGAAAGCGATGTCGTAGCCCGCGTAGTAGATGAACAAGAATGGGATCACAGCTGTTCCGACGGTGCTAGTACCCGTCGTTACGAAGCTTCCCGATAGCGCAGTGATAAAGATATAGCTGATCAGCATTATCACAGTCGACGTGATGAAGAGCGCACGGCGGCCAGCGTGATCGACAAGACACGCATTCCAGAGCTGGAGGAAGCCGTTTATGAGGGTCTGATCTGTTGACGAGGTTATACCGATTGTATCGAGAATAAGGGTTAGGTAGTATGACACCACACCACTAGAGCAGATATCCAGTCAGCAACGGATCTCTCCACCCATTCCACCTGATGAAAAATAACAGTAAAGCCCAAATGAAACACATACCCTCCATTCCACTGAGCAAAAGCACCCAAAGAAACACTCAAGAAAAGCCGATACCGATTCCCCGAAGTCCTAACACAATCAATCCAGCGCGTCTCCCGTCGCGCGTTCCGCTCCAACGCCAAACCCTGCCTGATCTCCTCCATCTCAAAAGCGACCAACTGCGAACCCTCATCCCCACCAGCATGGAACTTAACCAGTATCCTTCTCGCCTCCTCAACTTGCCCACAGCCAATTAGCCAACGCGGCGACTCTGGCACACACAATGCACCAGGCAAGGCAAGAAGCGGCAACGCAATCTGCATAAGGACAGGCACACGCCACGCCCAATTACTCGATACATTTCTCATACCAAAGGAAATCCACGCTGACAGCGAGGATCCGGCATAGTACTGGCACATATAGATAGCCGTGACGAGCGAGCGATGGGATGGATACGCGATTTCCGTGACGAGAATCACCGCGCATTGGAACCATGCGCCAGCGATACCCACCAGCAAGCGGGAGTAGATGAATGTGTTTGCGTTCGGGGAAGCGGATTGGAGTCCGACGCCAAGGATCATGAATATGTACCCGGCTAAAATGGTGGGTTTGCGGCCGAAACGATTGGCGGACCATGCTTGAATGGGTAGGAAGAGCATACTGGCTATGTTTTGGAGGGCGTTTATGAAACCGAGCTTTATTCCTGCTGGGTGGGCCATGAAGGTTTGCCATCGGGGTAGGGATTGCAGGCTGTTCATTAGGGAGATGTCGTAACCCAGTGTGCCAGAGAAGAGGATCAGGCTTGCTATTAGGCTGTTTAGGTGGATGAGATGGGTGGTTTTCCACCATGATTTGGTATTTTGGGGGAGGGACTGGGATTGTTAGTTGGTCTTCTATTGGTTTGCTGGTATTGAGAGGTGTTGTTTATACCGAAGTGAGTCCCGAGACAGCTATGGGCTTGTCTTTCATGATGACGATTCTTTTTCACTGGAACAGGGAGCGATGGCATTGCCGATTATATCTCGCATTGTCTGTTTTCATGAACTTCTGGACACCAATGCATCTCTCTCTCTCTTTTCCGGCATGCCGACTTTTCCGATATCCCGTGAGGACCTTTTCAGGACATCCCGGGGATTTGCGGAGAAGTGGACCTGGACTTAACTGCGCTAACGGTCGGCTTAGCTCCGAGATAGTTGTTGGATTTTCGGTTAAGTCTGCACTGCACTGTAGACTCTTAATATTCAGAGCCCGAGGGTCGGAGATTAGCCGAGTTGAAGGAGAGATTATCGGATAGCTTCAAGATAAGGCGCAATTCTGATTTCCCTTGTCAGGGAGTCCCTTTTCTTTGTCAAATTTTTAGACCCTTAGCTCTTGAACTATTATGTGTTTGTGGGCATTACCTGACCACTTGCACATGGTGAAAAAGGGGTGATTATAACCTCAATTCTAACGCCTGGAATATCTTGACTTCACATGTGCAGAACTTCGGAATCTCTGAAACATACGCGTATAGTGTGATCCGGTGAACGAGACGGCCAGTCATTATTTATACTCACAGCTGGGGACGTTACAACTTCCAGATTTGCTTCAATTGCCCCGAGGTCCAAAATTCCCATCTTGGAAGGTAGCACGCAGAGCTTGGTCTGGACAGACGACTTGGTTATACGTGGAAAAATCAAGTTGCACATTTTACGCCTTTTTCACTATACTCTATGTTTTGCGGCTGATTCTTTTTATCAAATAATGAGAAGGAATGCCCAAAGAAAAACGACATAAAAGATACTGGAGAAGACAACCAAAAAAGACGTCTAAAAAGGCATGACAAGCCCACATAAATGAATGACTATTCTTGTAATGTGTATTTTATATTCATTTTGGGACTATACTGCCTTTAATCTCTTTATCCTGCCTAAGTTCATTATTTGCAGCTCGTGATAGTCTCTGCATGATCGTTCACTAGCATCATTCACATCACATCTGGCTCCGCCGTTCCCATCCTCCTAGACTTGCAGTTCCTGACATGTGATAAGCCATATTATGCCTAACATGCTCCATGGTTATCATTAGTAGATGCACTGTTATCTCTAGGAATTCCCGGAAGAAGATTCCAAAGGAGCAACATCGCCCCCGAAAGCGCTATGATGAACGGCATCAAAACTTCAACACCCTTAGCTTGTGCAAGTACACCCACAATAAATGGGAGAACAGCTGCACCACCACCACCAAAGGCTGCTGCAAACCCAATGGCGCTGACATGCAGGTGTTTTGGCAAGAGTTTCGTTGTAACAACCACAACCGCCGGGAACAACGGACCAAGAAAGAACCCCTGCAATGACACTGCGACTGCACCAGCGTAGAAGTTCGGAACCAGGTATAAAATGAGACAAAATGCTATCTCGAGCGAGATATAAATCTACTAAAGGGTAAGCTTGTGATATAGCTTGAATGCACAAGATATGCTAAGAGAGCTTACCGAGATGGCAAGCTTCTCGCCAATCAAAGGAGTCACGAACCCAAGGACAACCCGTCCAAGGGTTATCCCGAGCCAGAATCCTGTCGAGGTCATGCTACTGGAAAAGGGTGCGGCGTGCCGCACTTCTTTCATGAATGTCACGACCCATCCTCCTAATGCGACTTCGACGCCAACGTATCCAAGTAGGAAGATTGCGCAGGTCCAAGTAATTCGTGCAGAGGGCATTTTAGACAGGACGCTCCACAAACCTGCTTTCTCGGATGTATCACCAGGCTGTTGTTTCTTCGCGAGTTGGAACAATTCTCCTGTAGAATCCCAGAAACACGAAACGCAGACGAGAACTTCGATCGCAGCGCCTCCAATCTAAGAAAATCAGTCGACATGCCCCAGAATCACATACTAGAATACCCAATAGACCAAATATCACATACCACGTACCATAATGTAATAAAAATAATACCACGGTAATTCAGCATCCGCAACAAGCAGCGATGCAATGAGCGGGCTGATAACAGCACCTACCCCATAAGCCCCATGAAGCAGACCGAGTAATTGATTCGCATTATCCAGATTTCCAATCCAGGCATTCCATGCCGAGTCCGCGAGCCCGTTTCCCAGACCTGCGAATATGAATGACACGACGAGAACTGGGTATGGCGGATGCACACAGTTCAAGATGTAGGCTATTAGGTGGCACAAAGATGAGACGAAGGCTACGCCTCGTCGGCCTATGGCACAGTGTGCTCGCTCGTTTACAATGGCGGCGGTGACGTAGCCGAGGAGTGGTGAGAGGAAGACTAGGGAGACGATTGTGTAGGAGAGGTTGTAGTAGGTTTCGAGCTGGGATTGCGTTAGAAGGGGAGGTGGGGTTGAGATATGGGGGTTGATGTACGTAGGGGAGGAGTGGCTGGGTGACGTTAGTATAATTTTCCAACTGCCATGGATTGGTAGGGTCCTACACCGTATGCGGAGTCGTTTGCTCCCATTATTAAAAAGCTCCAGAATGTTGCCAGTGTCTTTGCTATGTTGGATCGTGGATGATTCCATTTTTCATCGGGAATGTGGCAAGACGACTCAGCCGATGAAGGCTGATTTTCATGTTGGATGGTTTTATTTTCATAGATGGTCTGTGGACTAGACATGGCTTTGCTGTTAAATCGGAATAATTCAACCAGAAAAATGAATGAAATCCCCGGACGGAGAAGCAGATCAAAGAGCTTTTCATAGCCTTTTATAGTTATCTAAACAGACTACAAAAGCTTTCATATCATCTGTAGAGTGGAAGTGGAGAAAGTTTCCCAATCGGTAACGGAGCGGGTACCTTCCTAAATAGGCATGTCCGCCAGCAAGCTTTATGTTTGTGCCTGATCCTCTTGTCTCTACAATGACTAGAATCTTAGGCTTTCCATAGGAATTAGGAGCCCAACCGAAGTGTTCATACATTATGTTGAATACAAAACTGATTTCCTCGCAGTGGTGTTGGGCCTTTTTGCATAGTTTGGATAAACACAGGAACTATGTCTAATCGGGACTAGCGCATCCTACCTTTGCTATGTGAAAGTACAGTCTACAAACCTCGAGCTTTTCGATCGGGAAGTTATATCGGAAGATGAAAGGTATAAGTTAATATGTAGAGGTAAATTCCAACAAATCGATGCAGACCAGTCGTCACAGGAATCAGACACGCCCCCAAAACAAACCACACGAAGAGCGGCAAAGGCATGTGTTTGAAAAGGTTAGATCTGATCTAGAACCCGTACAGCAAAAAAACCAGCGCTTGCTTCCTATGTAGTTATCTACTAGGAATACTCCATGAGAATTTTTATCCTTCAACTCTCCTCTGCATACCCTACACCTTTTCATTGTCTCCTTTTATTGATCTCGTTGATCACCTTTCGTCGATATCTCCATAATCTAAGGATATCTCCCTGGAGCATCGTCTGGAATAAGCCTTTCCCAGAGGGTGTTTTCATTCCCAGAGATCTTTATCTCACCAATGATCTGCCTGCCAGGACTGGTTGGATACAGTTTCAATTCGCAAGGAATGGTCTTACCGCAACCTACGAGATCTTTTTGGCGACTTCATTGATTTGAAAAGCCGCTGTATTAGCTACGATACCACTCAACAACAGCAGCAAGCTTCGTCCAACGCTACCTCGACTGACAACATACATGACAACAACACTCGGGAGAAGAAAGAACGGATCTGGTGTACTTTCCACAAGAAAAGGCTTAGCCACAAGCCTGCTGATTGCTTCCTCAATCCTAAAAACAAGAATGATTCCAAGTGATCTACGGTTTCACTTTCGCGGAAGAAATGCAAGGGTCTACGGAGGTCGTTTACTTTTGTAATCATGGTGCCTATGATCGTCAGGGGCGTTGAGATCTCTCGTTAATCATATGGCCCCCGTCAATGCCATTTGAGAGTCCTATCTCGAAGGGATGCTTGTGGTGTTAGTAGGAAGTTTGAAAGAAATATGTTCCCCTCTGGGATATGTGACAATGTAACCATTAAGGAAAATACATTTTCTCTAAGGAAATATGACTTTCTAGTAGGCTCCATCCCAATTGTTCTTACAGTTGAAAAGGTCGATGATCTGGTTGGAACACTGACAAACTGCTGCGCTAAGGCATTGCTTGTTCAGGCAGTTTGTCAGACCCTCTTCGCCTCTTTTGACATCTTTTGGAATTCAGGCCTTTGTTCTTTGTTTCCGTGGAGCTATATAGTTGTCTATATGGTAGTGATAGTACTCGCCATCATTGATAATCATCACGAACAAGCAGTACTATCGTGTATCCAGCAACCTTTCTACATATATCAATATACTATATACATTTCGGCACACAGGTATAAAAAGTACCTCAGCTAGTGCTATCCTAAGAGCGATCCACAGGGGAGCAGAGAAAAGACAACCTTACTCAGATGCAAGAAAGGAGGCAGACATGAGTTGTTATCTTCGCCAATTACAAGTTGCACGCTCAACGATGACCCTTTCAAATGCGGAATGCCAACCTCTGAAGGTATGTAACAACGAAAGAACAAATGAGCATCATTTAATGGCAATAACAGGTCTCGAACTCGCTCTCCGGTGGACTGAAACCGGGGAATTGTTATCAAAACTCGAACAAGCTTGAAACGGAGATTAGAGGAGTCAATTTGAGGACGAAGGTAAAAAGTTCAAGGATGCCCAACCGACGACGGAATCGGTAGCTGCATGGCTAGACCGTCTGCCAAACGACCAAAACTTTCTTAGAGATGGCAAGACAAACAAGACATTATTGCCTTGTCCAGATAACACAATTTCCTTTGATCCCGGTATTTTCCAGAAAGGAAGTCCTCAAAAGTTCGTTGAATTTGAAGTGCCCATTGTAAAATATGCATCGGGCTTTGAGCTTAACCGATACTCTTTGTAAAAACACATTTGTTTCGAAGGAGATTTTTGTGTTATCTGGATTAGCAGCAAACAGCATGTGAATATGTCGGTGAATGTAGGCGAGGAACAATGTATACCAGAAAGGATAGTGCAAGTGGCCTGGATTTTTGGATCTCTGGAATACAGAAAGAATTATATACAGCAATCAGTATATAAACAGGGAATCCAAGGGGAAATTTGATCATAGCGGTCAACATATGTTGCGTAGGCATTCAACTGTAGACTGTATATTCAGGCCAGTTGACAATGTGGTGCTTTATGTATCGGGCATGATTCGGGACTTTGCATAGTACGAGACTCTGCTTCTCAACACATGTCAGTTGTCGAATAGGCTTTGAGCAACTCAAGCCCAACTTCCGGTTTCCAAGTACTTATCTGTACTCTGAGGAAAGACAGTAGAATAAGTCATGTTTTTCACGCATGAATGCTTCCAGGAAAACTTTCCAGTATATCCGGCACAAGAAACTTCAAAATAGATATTCCTGTCAAAGGCAAGGGGTCTCTGAATCCTCTAATAAATAAGCCAATTATATAAATGCGAGCGCATTTGACCCATATCCGAGCATCTCATGTCCAAGCATAGTCACAATACAAGATGCGCCAATATGAACCTCAACTTTGCTTCCCGCTAGCTCATTGCCTTTGTCTCGGGATTCTGCTTGGCTGCTCTCTGATCAGCTTGTGCACGTGTCCGGTCGGCTATTTCATCCAATTGACGAGCAGACTCCGCGGCGTACTGGCAGTGGTGTCTAATAGCCGGTCCGTATTTGTAGAAAATCCACGGGAACGGTAGACAAGCTACAGCGAGGAAAGCCGAGATCGAGGAGGCCCAGTGAATACCCAGATTCTGGTACATCGGTGTTGTGAAGAGCGGGCTATACAGATACCAAGTTAGCTTGCTATTAGTATTTGAATCAGGAACAGAAAGGGTGAAGACATACAATGCCGCGCCGAAAAGGGCCCGGATAACAGCATTACCTGCCAACGCCGATGCCGCGTAAATAGTATACCCATCGACCAGGTAGTTCACCACACTCAAGAAGATAGACACATGGGAGAACCCAAAAAGCACAGTTCCAATCTCGCAGACGATCCAATGGATGTGTGGGAAGTTGGTCCAGGCGAACCAAAATAGTCCCACTGGAAGGGTAACTGCTCCGACCATCGCCGGAATAAGCCGAGCTTCGGGAGGCGGACGACCGTAGGCTGTGCGATCGGCGAGTTTCCTATACCGGCCGTCGTCGAGGACTGAGTATGCGCATCCGATAATTTGCCCGATCATCATTCCAAGGAAGGACAAGCCGGAGGTGCTCTGGGGCCATTTGAGATTTTTTTCAAAGACAATCGGAAAGGCAGCAAACTCCATATACATTGTTCCGTAGACTGTTGGAAATTGTATTGGCTCTTGATAGGAATAAAATGAGGAAATGAAACAACTTACTGATAGCCATGTAGATAGACAAAAGCAGCACAATCGGCTCCATAAACAGCAATATCCAGGGCCGGACCATAGTCTTGGTGAGAATTTGACTAGCAGTCCGATTTATATTGCCCACATCCAGACGACTTCTGTAGACTGCTCCAGTCAATTGACTGAGCTTGGCAGCGCGCTTCTGCAATAGGACTGGGGTGTAAGTTTCGGGGATAAAAGCGATTCCAACCAGAAACACCACCCCATTGAAGATAGTTGTGAGCCCTTGAACCCACTCCCAGCCTCTTGACGCAACCAAAAAGTCGCAATTGATTGGACCAAGACTAGGGCCTAGGAAAGGGGCCCCAATAAAAGCGATTGTGGCCAGCCCTCTATCCCGGGCTGTATACATGTCTGAAACCACACCACCGGCATTTGAAATTGCGGAAGAACCAAATGCACCTGCAAGAAATCGTAAAACTAGCAACGTCGCAATGTTCGGGCTTGCAATCGTTGCCCCGGCAAATACTGTTGTCAACCCGTACGTGATGAAGTAGATGATCTGACGACCCCAGAGTTCAGAAAGCGGAGCCCAGATAGCTGGCCCAATGGCAAAGGCGAGAACAAAAAGTGAGGTGTCGGCAACAACTAGCTCAGTGCTGGTCCCGAAGTGTTCCTGGATCTGGGGGTTGGCTGCCGAAAGAGCAGACGAAGCAAAAGTAATGGACAAAAATGACGCGGCTTGTAGAAGTGTGATTGACCATTTTAGCCAATCTTGCATCTGATGGGGATCACGAGCATCTTCCTGAAGCCAGTCGACCAAGTACGGATTTTCGGTTGTGCCATCTCCCTCCCATTCGTGGCTGAGAACGTCGTCGGTGATGATGTCTTGGGATAGCACTAGCTGGTAGAGAGGTATCCGAAAACGATTGTTGGTTTTCGTCATGCTTATATGGGTTGGTTCTCTTTTGCTGAATACCAGGGCCCTCGGGCAAATCACATAAATGGGGATATTCTGAAAAAGAAAAACAGGTGAAAACACGTCGTTGCTGACGGTGTAACGACGAACTCTTCTGGTGGGTGCAACGACTTGAAAAAAAACAAAGCAACAAAGTGTCTAAAACCTGAATCTGGTATCAAAATAAGTATGGGGGAACGCTTATTTAAGAATTTAACGGCAAAAGCACTGAACAGAGAAAGAGAAATTGATACGGCGCATTAATAATGATTAGCAAATTCCTAGGGTGCTTTGAAATCAGACGAAGAACCTCGGAGACATTTGGACTGGAACATGAACCGAAATCCCCTTGGAATGTATGTTAGTGCGATCTTTGAAGCTGTATTGTTGTATAAAAGACGATGCCATTATTTCCAGGCTCTGCCAAGCTTCATGGCCATGGAGTATATTCAGGCGATATACCAATCAGAAGCCAGATCTAGACCCACCTTGTCTCGTTCCCGCTAGTACCCGCTTCCCGCTAGTCGGGTTAATGTCAGTCCGCCAAACTATTTAATCTCGCTCTCTTCGATACATTTAGATGTAGGATGTCACCTGTTGTGGTGGCCTTAGGCCGCCATGGATGCCTCAGACATCAACCCCTCGCTTGCTAGCCTAGATAGTTGGAAGCTCGCCTCTTCCTGTAGGAATTAACTCTCTCTCTCCTTGCTGTGCGTGGTTCTACATAGAGTAGCACCCCAAGATCACCTCTTTTGGATTTCTTATTGGTGTATTTATATCAGGAACTCCCTTGGCTCACCCCCACCAGCTCTACAAATAACGGTAACGAGACTTTCCCGTTCTCTATTCCTCACCCTAGGTTCCCAGTTGAATCATGAAGGTGGTTTTGATTTTAGAGTAAGTGACTTACAAGGCGGTGCTTTTGAGATCGTCCTTCTAAAGAGGTAAGTTTATTCTATCTCTGTTGGGCTTTCTAGACCTCCCGGATTTGGACTTTGCTAAAAAGATTCATAATAGTCCAATTGCCACAGCAGCCACAAAGGTGAAGCCAGAGAGAAAGCTATAGAAAAGATTGGATGAGCTTTGTGATTTGAGTTCTGACAACGTTTCGAAATTTGACCTGCTAGGGTTATGAATGAAGCGTTCTGTTTACACTCTCCATTGTTGTCGGGAACTCAGCGCATAACGCCCCCTAACGGCCTTGATATCGGCGATGAATATATTCCTGGTAATGTGAAGGTCCGAGTGCCCCTTCACCTGCTTATCATGGTACGTACTTTGTTACCATGCATAAAGCCATATTATAATGCTAGTAACAGACAGTCGCGTTTTTGTGTCCTCGGAAGAGTTTATTCCCGAATGATGGACAACCCGCCCAGAATTGATAAAGCATCACTCGGTATTCATTCCATTCAACACTACGGAGTAGTGAGCTTTATGAAAGCTACTGTGGCAAAAGCAAATATCAAATTATGGAAACAATTCGCCCTAATGGAGCTCCAACACAGTCCTGGCTTCTGAAAGTCATGATATTTCACTTCCACCTCTCCAGACGACTTTCTCTTGAGAAAATAATTATACAGCACCACTTGGGTTACAGTTAAAGCAAGTCCAGGCTACATGTAGCTATGGGAAAATTATGGAGGTGAAATGCTCGTCTCTTGTGATGCCTGAGCCCCAAGGTGTCTATATTTCACGCCCAGACGATGTATCACGTTCATCATATCAAATGCCCGTTGCTTATTTTATCTCGCCTATTTCAAATTCATGTCCATCTCCCTTAATTTATCAATGACATCTCACGGAATTTCCCAGCCCAGTGCCAGTGTCATAGCCCCAGCCCCTTAGCTACCATGACCCACCACAGCATATCCCTTCCGCACTAGGGAGCCCACGCAAGCCTTGTGTGTCACCGCCAAGCCTACAAGAACGCCAACCTCACGGCTGCACGACCGTGGGACCCCTTACAATTATGACAAGCGGTTGGTGACATTGCCAGCCGCGTTGCTAACAGCCCCATGCAAGTGCTGGGGCGATGCTGTCCTTCGAACCATGAACATGGCGACAACCATAAATCAAAGTCCAATTTCCTAATCCTCCACTATCAATGACTTCATATTCAATAAAATCAGTGGGTATCTTTGTTGATGTCTTTATTCTACACACCAATTCCCACTATAGCAGGGGGCAAAAACAGCCCCTCCCAAATTACATATTCATTAATCAAATAGAATCAATCAACGTATGAACTATATAATGTACTCGGTTGCATCTATCGCAGCGAGCAATCGCTATAGCGCACCCGCCCGCAAGAACGACAAGACAGCCCCAGCCATCACCTAATCAGTGCCGATCGATCCCACAGTTGCCCCTGTAGATCCCCCAATGGTCCGGTTTCAGGCAAGACAATGATAGATCTTCGCGCTGGTGCGTGGCTTTGTCATTGTGCCCACGCAAGCTATAAGAATTTGATGGAGCCTGATATACGTTCGTCTTTGCTATTCTGGTTTCAATATTATAATACCCTATTGTTCGATCTTCACTTTTTCACTTTTCCCAAGGTATGTTGATTTACACCGTTTTCTTTCCTTTGCATCTAGTCTAAACCATATTGTGGTGTTTTCACCGTCTCTATTATTATACTTGACTCGGTCGCTAATTGTGTCTTTGTCTTAATTTTAGATACCCCATTTTCAAGTCTTTCCAGTTCCAAACTCAAAATGCGTGCCTCTGTCATCATCCTCGGCTTCCTCGCCACTCTCACTGTCGCCCTCCCCGAGCCATATCCTAAGGCCGCAATCTCATGCCAATCTGTGAGTCTACTCGATGGCTACAATGCTGGAAAATGCGGGGGGACAATTTCTAACAATGTTATTAGGATACTATGGCCTGCACGGCTGCCAACTGTGCCATCGAAGGATGCTGCTGTGAGGGTCTTACTTGCGGATCCAATGGTGTAAGTGCCGAGCCCCAACGCGAGATATAGCATGCTTTACTTGATCCAAGATACTAATGAGAACAACAGACTTGCACGCCACTATAAGATTTTTTTTTCCCTTGGAGTTATAATATGATAATGGGTGCATGGTGTCCTTTCGGGTTGGCATGAGGATGCAACATAGACAGGGGAATCATTTCCCTGGCCCTATGCTCAATGCCTTCACTTGTATCTATCTATTTTGTTAATGATACATAATTATCTACTTGTTTTGTCATCTTTGGAGAAGAAATCGAAGATAAATGCATAGAGAACTAGTAACGCGCAAGCAAAACTTGCTTAGGCACATGGTTGCTAGCAATTGAATGTATTGGATGTTTATTTACTACTAAAATCCATCCAACGTGGTATTCTCCACACGGTTTGTAATGAGTGGTGCTTTGTTGTTCAGCCAACTGGCTTTTTCTCATAACTTCGTCGAAACATCTCGTCAACGTGAACAAGATAGTAAGTACTTGGAGCCAAACTATCGACGCTTCCTGCAGGGGTATAGCTCTTCTGTTGATAGGCTTTCTCCCGGAGTTTGCACATCTATCATTGTTAGAAACCAACTGTCTAGACGATATGTTCCTTGAGCAACCAATAAACAGAAAACCTACCTCGTTATAAAACTCTGGCGAGACGGCCGTGCGAGCTTCCAAGCGCTCATTCAACCCCACCTGCATCGCGATCCCAGAAGTATCACCCTTGACACGGAAGCTAAACAGAGTGCTAGCCAGACCACCACCATAGCTGAAAATGCCGATGCGCTTATTCTGCAGTTCCTCACTAGGAACATTGCTCAGTAAGCTCACCAGCCCAGAGTAGACACTGGCAGTGTACATGTTTCCACATTGTGTGGGTGCTGTAATGGATGGTTGGACACGCTCGGAGAACTTTTCCTTCGTCAACCTAATGCATGTCTTCTCAACTGCTTTGTCGGTCAGAGACGCAGTCTGCTCGACCTCACGGACCACCGCTGGAATGTCATCAAAGTGGTCGGGCTCCGTCCGGAGATCGTTGAACAACAGACGACCGTAAGCCTTGGAGACGAGCTTGCAGTTAGGCGCATGAAAGATGCAATACTCAAAGGTATCCATGAAACTACCCTGGGCCTTTGTAGCTCCGTTCATCAACGCGCCACCTTTAGCCAGAGATTTAGTACGATACCGTTCGTAGCATTTGTCTAATGCCTCGAGATAGCATGTGTTAGAGTAATGTCCATCGACCAAGGGGTACTCTGATTTGAAGTCCCCCTTATAGAAGTCGTAGACGTGCTTCATGTGAGTTCCACGAAACGGCTCCATCACCAAGGGCGCATCGGCGCCAATCAGCATGGCCACACAGCCAGCGCCACCAGTCGGACGGGCAGCGGGCTTGTCGTACAGAGCAATGTCGCCGGCCACGACAATGGCGTCGCGACCGTCCCACGTGGACGATTCGACCCAGTTAATTGCATTTAACAAGGCATTAGTTCCACCATAACAGGCGTTATAGGTGTCGACACCCTCGATGTCCGAGTTCTCTCCGAACAGTTGCATGAGAACCGACTTGCAGGACTTGGATTTGTCGAGCAATGTTTCCGTTCCCACTTCCAAGCGGCCAATAGTCTCTGGGTCAATATGATACTTTGCCAGCAGGGATGAGACCGCCGTCAGCGCTATGGAATAGAGATCTATGAATGTTGCCACGTTATATTAGCATGGAGCACCGAGAATGTGCTTTCAAGTTTTGTCTGCATACCTTCGCGGTCATCGCAGAAGCTCATCTTCTGCTGACCCAGGCCAATTGTGAATTTCCCAGTGCTAGCCCCCAGATAGGTCTCGAGCTCGTTTTGTGGCACGTACTATATACAAAGGATTATGTTAGTTGCCCAGTGCCATAAATTGCAGAGTGAGCACTCGGTTAGACATACCCGACTAGGGAAATAGATTTCCATGGCTTTGATGCCCACATTGTGGGCATTAGACGGCATAATTTCACTACTAGAGGCAACCGTGGGGTTATAGCCAAGAAGGTATATAGATAAAAACCGGAATGGTAGAAAGAGATAATCAAGAAAAGAAAAGAAAAAAACATGAGGGACAGCTCATATACTTCAAAGATTCACTGCACTAAACTAAGCCGGGACATGGCTGTGACGGCGGCTGCTGTGACGGCGGCTGCTGTGACGGCTGCTACTCTGTACATTCGAGCATCACTTCCATTGATCCGACACTCCGGGCTAGTGTATTCAAGTAATTCAACTAGTTCAAAGGTGAAACGATTGCTGCCTTTCTGGGCGCTGTCACATATCATCTACTCTAGTCGCAGGCCTGTCAAGAGCAGTTGAAAGACGAGTCTCGGGGGCATTTCGCCAAGTATAAAGATATTAATGCGGCTGAGGCATGGGAGCTTCCATATTTACCAACAGCCATTGAAGAAGCCTTCATATTTATCCTCCTAGGTTGCAGGGCTTTCCTTGTATGTCAATCGGAATGTTCATGGTGAATTACTGGGTCCCGGTGTATGCAACCCTATCCCATGCTCCGCCGTAGGTAATGATATAATAACATCTTGAACTGGCAGGACTAGACACTAGCGCCTGGATAGTCATCCACAGCGGAGAATACATTTCAAGGCCGATAAAGTTCAGGGCTGAATCAGGGCTCAAAAAAGACTAGGCAGCCATTTTTGCTTGGTCCCTTTCTGTGTCTTCGGGCAAAAGTCCGTTACCCTAGTTATTTTGATGAAATAGGAGCTCGTCTGATTATCTAGTTTCGCAATAATGGAGATCAATCCGATCATGACCTATATATTCTGGTGATACGAGGTAGAACTCCTAGACCCGAACTTGGACTGGGAAGGGCGGAGCTATATGCTTATGCGGTGGAAGCCGGAGCTTCCAATTCGGTGTGCTGAGAGATGAGTGTAAAGTGGAATTACATGATTAGTCTCCCAACACAAGCTGTGTCGCATGCACGAAAGAAGATAGCTGATCACTCGAGAATACCAGCAGCGCCGGCACACATTAAATGAAATACCCAGCAAACTCCCTGGACAAACATCCCATAGACGGACGACAGTCAACAAAAAAAGAGCAAAAGGGACCTGTCCCTCATCCATATTTTGTAGCCATATCCTCCCGCAACAAACCGTGAAAAACATCAATATCTCTTAAAATATTGACAAATATCTCAGCTCGCCAGCCTCTAGACAATTTTGATACCGCCCGAGGTCCCGTTGTCGTCATATCTTTTCTTTCGTAGCCCATATTCGTCGTTATTTGGCAAAGAACTTGTCCAAATATTGCATGAACAAAACGAGTAATAGTATAAGAGGTCCAATCAGAATGATCGAAGCGACCAAAAAAGGCAATCCAACGTATAACATGATCTTGGCACCCTCTTTGACCAGGCGTACAGTTGCCAATAGTGGGCGTAGATGATTAGGCCATTCGTTGAAGTTGGCTCCGAATAAATGCTCGCCCGCATGCTCCATCTCGAGGGGTATATGATGATCAGAAAAGAAGTCTCAAAAGGATTTGGTTTATTCGGTTCGATGTAAGTGATAGGAGTATGTTGGTAACGGTACTCGTAGCAAGAAGTCTTTATATATTTTGTAGTCCGCTCAAGGTTAAAGCTCAAGGTTAAAAAGAACCATGGTCCGCGGAACGTCAAATGAGTACATTTCCTATTTAGGAGGTATAGGTTTCCGCTACCACCAACATTCCAAAGTGCATAGGTACTACTAGTCCTATTCCTTCTCCAAAACCTCCAAATCCGAACCATCCTCCGAATTCATTTTCTTCCTCAAAGCCGCCAATCTCTCCCTCCTGGCAACTACCATTTCCCCAAGAAGTTCAATCTCGATCTCAAGACGCTTCTCCAAGTCAACCGTATCACGCGAGTCACTCGTAAAGTCTGGAACAGGAGAATTAGATAGTTCTACACCCGACTTTCCCTGAATCTCCTTGGGTTCACGCTCCTTCTCTTTCTCTCTCTTCGCTTTAATCTGATCAGAATTCAAATTCCAACCAAATGCAGCTGCAAGAATACCGAAGCCGAAGAAAAAGACGGCGAAGATGATTACCATTGCCACAGCTATGGGGATGATGAGGTAGACCATGCTTGTGTAGAAGCCGCCGAGTAAAGACTTTATTATCAGGAGGGGACGCATGTAGAAGGGCTCGGATTCGAATGGGAATGACATGGTGGGAGGTTAAGGGAGGTGATGTGGTTTGGATTCGGATTCGGATTCGGATCTGGCCCGGGTTCTGAGTCTTGTTTTGGTTTTGGTTGGTCCCAAAAGGAAAGGAAGCTGTGCTTGTTCTTTGGGTCAATTTTGTCTCTGGTGAGGATTCTTTTGTTCTTAAAGGATGGTAAAATGAACAGTCTAGTTTTATTTGAAGTGTGCTGAGACTCGTTGGGGCCGTATGCACTGCCACAATTTCTCGGGCGCAGGTTGCATGCCAGTCGTGGACAACCCGGGGGCCGGAAATGTAGGAAATAGGTAGCAAAATAAAACCAAACTATACATACCATATTTCCTCTGCCGCGTGGGGCTTTCCTATCTTGGCTGCCGCCGCTTTAATGAGGGCGCTCAGAGTTAGGCTCACTGAGTAAATTTCAGTCCGGGCTCAGACTCAGTGAGTGGCTCAGAGTCATCTATTGAGCACTCAGTCTATGCTCCGTCCATACTTAAAAGGGCGCCCGGCCCCACGAAGCTGTTTATTTGTGAATTATTTTCTGATGGCCTAATCAGCTTCAGTCTCTTGAGGTATTCTATACTCCTTTTCCACCCTCAACCCCGACCTAACCTATGTTTAAGTGATGCAAGAGGAATATCCCTCTGCTAGTTTTATCTACGGCTGCTTTTGCGTAGAACCGTAGGTATAAATTGAAGCAGCTATGTTCCCTCCCTAGGTCATTGGCACACTTTCATCCTTCATCCTTCTCTCTTTCTCTTCGTCCTTTATTTCTATTATAGCGCTGCTCTGGGTATTTTGTCATCTTGGTCATGGGTCAAAAGCTCTTCTTTGAACAACAAGATGATCTCGCAAAAGAGACGCACAAGCCAGCAGACAAGAGCGGCTATGTTTTCGGCGCTCATGCAGCGGAAGACCGCATCCGAGACAAAGATAAAAGGATACCCAAGACTAAGAAGATGTATCGCAAAATCGTCGATCAGTAGATGAAGTGAGTTGCGATGCACTCGTACACGAGGCCCCGCCAAATAAAATCCTAACCGGCTTTTAGATTCGTTCGATAAAATGGGATCAAGGGTTACTACATCGGACTAGGCTGTGCAACTCCAGATCATACACTCATCAAAGAGTTTCTTCGTTGGTACATTCACCATGCGCAAGGGAAAAAAGTCAAAATGGACTGCCAGTGATGACATCGGTTCTCAATATGGCGGAAAGGCTGTTTGGTGGGTTTGAAGAAAAGCTGCAAATCGAAATTGTGAAGAAAGACCGAACCGAGGTCTTCAACGTAAGCATCCGCCAAGTACCGCGATGCTAGTCAGGCTAACCGGAATGCAGTGGATAAGAAGAACACTGACGGCAAATAAAGGGACGATCGAGAATGTTGAGGATCCAGCCCATAGCTTTACAAGGAAAGATTCTTACCGAATGATATCCTCTATGTGGCAATCAGATCATCGCAGGTTCATGCCCGGGTTGCTCAAGGCCATCATCATGCTAGCCCTTCAACTATACCTGTTCACCGGAGCCAGAATCGGGGCTTTCATCCCGCCCCACGAGGATAGAAACGAAAAGGGCTAAGATATAAGGTGATTAAACTTCGACGCTGGGGCTTTAAGTGGCTAACTTCCGACAAAGGATATCACTCTGGTCCTTTTTCCATCTGTTACAGCACCTTGGAAGGTGGAGTGGAAAGTGAACCAGAATTAGCTCAAAGGGAATCGAAACCCGGATTACGCAGTGTAAGCTACCTAAAAATGCAACCTTGAGCCGGCTTGTTGCAATTGAAAGCACCCTCGCTAACTGTAAATCAAGATTCGGAATCGGTATTCGTGACACAAAGAGACCACAGTCTGCGTCTGGCTATTTTCTTCTTGCTATTGCTCTTCAACACGGTGCTCTGTTTGGTATCGAAACTGTGGACGACTTGGCCAAGTATGACCTCTCTAGCGGAAAGCCCATTGGATTACGCTGGAAAGATGAATATATGAAAAGGCCTGTTCTCAGAAATGTCACAGCCGATGGCCCACAAGATGTCCCACTCCATCAAGAGCGGTTCTGTGAGTTACTGCGTGATATCGTCAAGACTGCTGGATACAGCAAGAGTGTAACTGTTCATATGATTCGAAAATATCTTGGAAGTGTCATTGAAGGTAGGACAGTCAAAGCTCACATCATGTTGAAGGAAAATAAACATTTCGCTAATTACTGGCACAGAAAAGTATGGATCTGCCTTAGTATCTCAAGTATATGGTCACAAAGATGCAGGGGCATATCCTAAAGAGTATTTGCTACATTGCTCTTTAATTGATGCAGTCTCGGCCGTTTTAGGGGAAGAAAAACAGTCTACCCACATTGAGTACTTCCAAGGTTACGAGAGATTCTACGAGCATGGGTATCCAGTGGAACTGCCCGCGGACGTTAAGGCGAATATATTATAAATGCCAGAAATGACCACTGTCAGCCGTCGAATCGAGTAACTCGAAGCCGTGAAAAGCGACAAAGAGTCTATAGCTAACAAGAAATTGAACTACAGAAAGGTTTTACTTTGACTTCGCATTACAGGCCTAAAGGAATACCAGAACCGCTGGGTACGTGAGAGACGAGACCAAAGAATTCTCAATTGGGGTAAAGAGGAGGCGGTCATCCGTGACAACGCGGTTTCCACGCGTGCTCGATCCTTAATTATGCCCGAGATTGCAAAAATCTCAACATTGATGTCTTCGGACAAAGAGCTTTTGTTCGACGAAATGCTAGCTTTCGTGGACGATCTTAAAACCCTCTGTGAGCGCAACTTTAACGTGTTTAAGTGAATGTAACAAAAATAGCTTAGCTGTATCCTGCTTTTCAGCAGCAGATTCTTCATTCAGCTCCCCGCCAACCACCCCCGGTCTTGATGTCATTGATCCTCGGATTCGTAAGCCTATTGTCCTCGACGTGGAGGACGGAAGCCAGCTGTACGAATAAGCACCTATTGAACTAGACTCACCCGATCTCTCTATAGACGAGCTAGAGATAAAGAACAAACTCTTCACCTATTCTAATCTTACTAAACGATCTAGCGAAGATTATGCCGGCGACAAGGCAGATAAGAGGCTAAGTAAGGCTTTGCGAACATATTCTTTCATCCCCTCGAGCGATCAAAGGCTAAAGAGGAGGCGCGAAGAGCACCATTATACGTAGGCAGCACCCGAAAATAAAACCCCTTATGGTTATAAAGCCAGTGTCCCGCTCACTAGAGCTAAGATGAGATCAAAGCCACATCATCCGAGTGATTTGAGTACTCGTAAGCCCCGTCAGAAGCTTAATATAAAAGAGAAACGAAAGCTACTTAAGCTCAAGGGCCAGAAACTGACCTTGAGGCAGATTGGGTCTCAGTTTACAGACATAGATACCGCCTTTCTGCGACAGACCTGGCAGGAGTTAGAGCTTCCCCAGCGATGCACCAGATTAGGGGCTAATCAGACGGCTCGTCGTGACTAGGTCGTTTTTGTTTAGCTGAGTATTACACTGTGTGCCAATTATAGAGCATTTATACATGATTTACTTTTCGAGAATAATAGAGAATAAAATCCCTGCCCGCAATGCCATAATGTCACTACTTAAAACTCTAACGAACCCCAACGACAGGCTCATCGCTAGGCTTCCGCAGAGCCCATTCCTTGATAAACAGTGTAAATATACCAGTTCCCCGTGACTTCATAATTAATGCATTTTGTAACGGGCTGATGCCAGTACCAAGACTCGGGCTCTGCCCGCGGTCAGAAACTACGAGTATCTGCCGGTGATCACCGCCTTAGGAGAACACGACATCACCGCAGAACACCCATAGAGTTTAGATCTTTAAGCCTTAGTTAAACAGCATGCAGGCACCGTCCAATTGAATCAATTCGACCGTAGCCCTTCACACTACGTACTTGATGTGATAAGAGTAATACTGCAGTAAAATACAGTAATTTATTAAGTTAATCAGCAGGCTAATGCATCCTAAATAGGAAATGCTTAGCAAAGTTATACATATGATGTGTAACGGATAAATATCCTTACAACATGGGGACGGAGTCACCTGATCGCATCCGCATCGATCTCGTATCAGGAATGAACTGCCAAGGAATAGTCACATGGCTCCCACGTGAGCATGGTGGCACACATAGTCCAGGATTCCCCTGAATCCCCTCTTCCTTTTGGCAAGAATTAGTCTTGGCACACACAGACATATTCCGTTCCTCTCCAAGTCATTGTATCTTACCCGGTTGACAGGCCTTACACCTGGTAACTGTAAACCTTTACATGATGGGACCATATAGGAGTCCCATGGGAGTACCAGGGTTTTGGGACCAATGGGACCAGGATATGGGACCAAAATTTGTGTAGTCCCATGGGACTTGTCGAGGTCTAGCCAGCGTACTTAATGGGTCGCAGTTAGGCGTCCTTAGGATGGGCGTGGAGGATGGCATTTATCGCGAGGCGCTTCTATTTCCGCGAGGAGATTTCGCCGAAGCATGATAGTAATCTTAGAACCTCTGGATGGATCATTATTGTGGTGCCTACCCCATTATTAGGCAAAGGTATAATAAAACCGCCATTTTTTAGACGATCAAACGTTTCCTCATGCCCCCCAGGCACCCCGGATCCAGGGCAAACCGCCTGGCCGTTTGGTCCCTAATTCAAACTGTGATAGGCTTAATCAAACAAATCGCTTAGAAAGCAGCTACCGACAGCCGAGATCATGCCTAAAAAATCTCTATCTTTCTCGTCTGACTGTTCGATATTCAAGCGATAATTCATGCCCGACCTCGAAGAAATCGTGAACATGTCAGAATGCGAACATAGCGACAGACTCCGTGTAAAGCCAAGGCTTCGCTGCGGTTCCGAAAACGAGGTAGCCCTTTTTCGCTTCTTTATAGAAGCCTGATAATCTGATTAAATTAATAGTCCACTAAGCTACAGCGCCGTTATAAAGGGGTGGGAAATGCTTACTAGACAGTAAGTCAGGTCCAGCTTTAAGAGCCTTGCAGTACAGAGAGGCTCGGTTTCTGGCTATGTACTCCATAATTAAGACGAGGTCTGGAAAGGTGTATTAGTGAAGGCGGGACACGGTGAAGGTGCAGAGTACTAGACATACATACTGAATGCCGACAATTTCGAAGACCAGCCATAACATGGTCTTAATGGCATTGCGTTTGTATTTACTCCTGCCTGTCATTGGTTCCAAGTTATGCTGACCACTCTGCATATTCTTGAAGAAAGTTCTCACAAACGGGCTCTGTAGATGCTGTCTGATTATACGTCAGTGATCCCAGCCAAGCGGCTAGTGTCCCACTCTTTGTTATTTCTTGGGAGGCATCTTAGAGTAATTGTGGAATGGTTCTTTCGCTTTCGGTGGCATTGCCACTTGGCTGAGCGGCATCATTTTGAGTATCAAGCTTAGAGCGTGCTCCACACACGGACCCCAAAGCAACCTCAGTTCATTTTCGAACTTGACCATATCGTCACATGACAGCCCATCGTACCCCGACGCCCACAGGTTTATGATACAGTAATGTTCGAAATCAGCTATACCTCTACACTCTTCCTTCATTTCCGAGCAAGTGCCAGTCTGCCTCCTAGACCGCTTACTTATATAGTACATGTATCTTATGATACGATCCCGAACGTCGGATCCTGTAACTTACACGAAACTGCCATACACATTCGACCCCCCGTGCCCCTCCTCCCTTTCAATGCTCATCAACCAGTACTCTGTTACTGTCACGCTGTCTTCACTGAGATTCGCAGAAGACCAATCTTAACGTCATGGCTCCAATACTTCCCGCTTCAAAGCTTGATCCTATTCGTGATATGATAGAGAGCTAGTCTTTCACCACGTCTCAGATGGCCGCTGAGACTGAATGCAGCAAAGTTACGATCATTAATCTTCGCAGAAATCTACGGCAATTCGGAAGCATCTATGCGCCCTTAACTCGGATAGGCCGGAAACCAACCGTGACTCCGCTGATGATAGAAGCCCTTTGTGACCACCTGTCCGAAAAACAGTCTCTACTTCGACGAGATGGCTATCTTCCTCTGGGATGAGTTCCGGAAATTGGCTACAACCTCCAGCCGTTGATCCAAAAAAACTGCGCGACAACGCGCAAGAGAGCAAAATGCCGATCTGCGGGATTATTATCTACATTACATTTCGGAACTTCAATCATGTCACATGGTGTATGTTGATGAATTTGGGAGCGATAAACGTGTTGGGTTCAGGCGGACGGGTTAGGCACCGCTTGGCAAAGCTGCACTGCAAGTAACACAGTTTCACCGTGACCAGCGATATCAAATACTCCCCGCGTATGCCCAAGATGGAATCGTTCTCTCGCGTGTCTTCCGCGGCTCTACGGATGCCACCGTGTTTGAGGACTTCATAGCTCAGCTACTTCAGCATTGCGGAAGATGGCCAGAACCTAAATCTGTTCTCGTGATGGACAACGCATCATTCCACCATTCAGAGCGTCTTGCACAAATGTTTGCGGACGCTGGGGTGGATCATCCGTTGTTCTGATTTTCTGGATCGCAATATGAAATTCCATAATCACTTAGATTGAACCGGAGAATAGGTTTGAATTGAAAAAAAAAAAAGACCCAAAGATATCGGTGCGATGTCTCGGAAGTGTCAAAAACCGGATTGAACCCCTCACGCTCTCTGATCGCGTCCCAACACCAGTGGTGGATAAGGATAGCTAGTCAGAAGCTAAAGGCTAGATACAAGTAATGCCATAGTCAAAACCGTGCGAATAGGACAAGCCTCGGATACCCTCGGCACTCACAGTAAATTGTCTCGGGCCCATTCTTCCATCGTTAGTGCCCGAATTCCTCGCTGTTTATTCCACGTCTTTGTAAGATCCCAAGCTACGCCCCGACCCTGCCCAAATACTGCCTGATACTTGAGGAGTCCATTGTCTGGGTCCCGCGTTAAAGCAGCTTGGACGTCAGGGACAGCAAGAATATTCCTTCTCACAGGCTTTTGAGCGATCTTCTCCACTAGCTCTGCAAGTTGCTCATAGCTGACAGTGTCCCCGGCAACAAATATCACGCGATTGGCAAAGAGAGCTTCGGATTCCTCTCCAAGTACAATCTCTGCTGTAAATTTTCCAATGTCTGCGGGCGTAGTAACAGTGACTTGGTTTTCCCAACGTCCTAGCGCAGATACTGTCGCGTTCTGCAGATCGACAACGCCAAAAGACGGCTCAAACAAAAAGCTTGTAAACATGCCCGTGGAGATGATTGCCCAGCAGGTTTTTGTTTGCGACCGAAGCAGATCGCGAACATCGAGTTGCTCATCGAATAGATCCTGGGGCGATCCGCGCCCGATAACATCATAATCCACTCCAAACTGCCAAGGGATAAATCGTGGTGTTTCTGCTGCCAGGGCCGCACGAGCCACTTTCAGCTGGACGCCTTTCCCACTCACGAAACCAGTGCAGCCGATAATCGTGTCGTAGTCCGCAAAAATGGACGCTAGAGTGGGCTCGGGATCTTCAACAATGTCGCCAGAAATCAGGTGGATACCGAGGCCGCGCAAACTCTCGATCTCTTGCTGCTTCGAGAGATTCTTAGATGAGATACTGCTGGGACGCAGTAAGACAGCCACGGCCCTCGCTTGGTGGGGATGTTGGGCCAGGGAACTCAAGACCTGGGAGCCCAGCTCTCCGGCCCCTATCACAAGGATTTTCTGTGATTTTACCATAATGCAAAGCTTTTGAAGAAAAAATAAAGGTTTAAATATCAGACGATTACACCCCTGCGCTTTAATGTGGACTCTAAAACCCGCGCCGCGTCCTAAAACCGACGCTTGGTAATCCCATTTAGACGGACATAGAAGGCAATGTCCGGCTGCCAAGCCTTAATCGGCGTTCTGTTTATTTCATCATACTCCTGTTATGGTGGTATAGTTCGTTGTCGGGCTCAACAATAGAGATTTTAAACCAGCAAATGAGAGACCAGCGACCCATGACTGGATGACTCGGGAGAGCGCAGAGCCTAGCTACTGTCTGGAAAAGGGGAACGAGACCTAAGAGGCCGAGGTATCGTAGACGTATTGTAAAATACGATGGCCATTTCAGGAAGTGGTCTGGGGACAAGCTGAAGGACTCTGGTACCCTATCAGAGCTCGTCAATTTCAGGGAATCAAGTCATGAGAGTGCAGAGGTACAGCTATTTTTACTATAGGGCCCATTTCCCGCTTACATAAGGCTCGTGGGCAATGCCCACCCGCCCTGGGCGATGTCGCAGTCTAGTCAGATCCCATGTATATAATTTTAATCTTAGAAAATTAATAGAAAATATAGTTCTATCATATAAAAGAAGCCTTTGCATTCGCATAACAGTAAAGGGAAACCTAACTAGATAGGGAAAACCTTAACCAAGACATAAAACCCCCTATCCAATCCAAAACTCCATGACATGCCATTGGAAGAGGCCAGTGTGATTTGGATTTGCTAGCAAATAAATATATCAGCTTGACAACAACCGCAGCGTGATTCTGAGGGCCTACATCGATAACTTTTCTCCGATACTCCAGTACCACGTATATCCCACACATGCGGCGTTCACTAGGTTTTATTAGTATGAATATATGTTCAAATCATCTCTCCAGCACAGGGGTCAAGCACTTACTTCCTATCCACATCCCATCTCCGTCAGCCTATATATTCCCAAGCCATCTCTCCAGCACAGGGGTCAAGCACTTACAGTCTATCCACGTCCCATCTCCGTCAGCCTATATATTCCCAAGTCATCTCTCCAGCAGAGGGGTCAAGCACTTACATTCTATCCACGTCCCATCTCCATCAGTTTATATATTCCCAAGTCATCTCTCCAGTAGAAGGGTCAAGCACTTACGCGCTATCCACGTCCATCTCCGTCAGCCTATATGTTCCCGAGTCATTTCTTCAACAGAGAAGTTAGGCACTTACAATCTATCCACATCCCATCTCCGTCAGCCTATATATTCCCGAGTCATTTCTCTAGCAGAGGGGTCAAGCACTTACACCCTATTCAAATTCCGTCTCCGTCAGCTTATATAGTCCCGAGTCATCTTTCCAGCAGAGAGGTCAAGCACTTACACCCTATCCACGTCCCATCTCCGTTAGCCTATATATTCCCGAGTCATCCTTCCAGCACAGGGGTCAAGCACTTACCCACTATCCACGTCCCATCTCTGTCAGCTGTTGTATTCTCAAGTCATCTCTCCAGTAGAGGGGTCAAGCACTTACTTCCTATCCACATTCCGTCTCCGTCAGCCTATATATTCCCAAGTCATCTCTCCAGCAGAGGGGTCAAGCACTTACACCCTATCCACGTCACATCTCCATCAGTCTATATATTCCCAAGTCACGTCTCCAGCACAGGGGTCAAGCACTTACAGGCTATCCACGTCCATCTCCGTCAGCTTATATATTCCCGAGTCATCTCTCCAGCAGAGGGGTCAAGCACTTACATCCTATTCACGTCACATCTCCGTTAGCCTATATATTCCCAAGTCACCTCTCCAGCACAGGGGTCAAGCACTTACAAGCTATCCACGTCCCATCTCCGTCAGCTTATATATTCCCGAGTCATCTTTCCAGCAGAGGGGTCAAGCACTTACACCCTATCCACATCCCATCTCCGTCAGCCTATATATTCCCAAGTCATCTCTCCAGTAGAGGGGTCAAGCACTTACTTGTCGTTTTTCAACTTGGTCTTTACCTTGACTATTGGCTTGCGAAGGTCCTGCTACCGCAAAAGCAGCAAAGACGGCCATAGAGAGAATAGCCAAGAACTTCATGTTGATGTGTGTTGTCTATTGAAATTGGCTTGTTAAATAGGTTTGAGAAAAGAATATTAAAATACTATAGTTCAGGAAATGCAAAGGACAGCAGAGGACTTCTATATATAACAAGATAATCACCCTAGTCACATGAACAGTACGGCTAAATAAAGTAAGGGATAGAAAATATTAGCTATGTAGATCAATAATTTCTGTTATTTTTGATCAATGAGCATCCACATATTTGTGCGACGTTCCAGCTAAACGATAACACAAAATCTACAAGATCTGGACAGGGCAAAATAGTAACAATATTGATCTACAGGTTTGGGGCAATCCTTATCTCTTCTATCTCTAGCAAATACTTCTATTCATGTCCCTATAATATATTGCATTATTTTCCTCACCGAAATTCACTAATCACAATCCCACTTAAGCCAAAGAATGAAGATCCTTTTTATACTTAGTGGGGTCATTTCTTAGCCCTAAGATATCCTAATAGATCTCTCAAATTCTGTGGTCGATCTTAATCGACAGTTGCCTAAACGCCCTAAGCAGGCAAGATAGGGCCACTAGCCCCGAAGAAAAATTATCTCCAGGATCATCATTGTTATCGGATAGGACAGGGATACAAGTGGCTAATACTGCATAATATAATATACAGGCCCATTAAGATAATAGTTCCCAATAACTAGTACTTGATAGTTTATAGCGCTGATCCTTAGCATACCGGGTATTGATGGGCGCTGAGTCGAATATAGTGGTGGCTGTAGCTATTCCGTATTAGCTAGGTTTCTATAAGAGCTAGCTAACGTAGAGTATTATATAATAGAATCTAGCTAGCTGCAATGATTAGATCGCTAGAATAAATTCGAGGTTTTGCAGAATGCCAATTAAGTTATGCCACCATAGGGCGAGTGCTAAAACGGGTACTCGGATAAACGTATCGATCATTCAGCTAGCCAGGTCATAAATCGGTAGATCGATGTAAGGTTTATAGCAGATCGTTGACCGCAATTAGATAAGATAATGCGGTCACAAGTGATGTAGCTCTATGGAGATAAGGTCGGAAAGTATTGACTTTCTGTTTTAAGGGCTGATTCATATTCGGCGGGTGGCGTACAGTATGTTTATATCATCCTGGAATGGGGGCGTATTGTGAATCCTGGTCCGAAGGATCAAGGCCCTGAGCTTGAGATTCATCATTGTCTTCAATTAGTTCACTATATAATCTCTTTTTCCCGTTAAACCCTAAAGCTCTCTTAGAATAACATTCCAGGATATCAATGAGAAACATAATGTTGTTTGGATGGCTATGGAATTTAGGGGAAATAAGTGACGAAAGTCTGAGATATGTGATGACGTTAATGATCAGACAGGATTTTAATTTTAATTGGCTAGGCATACTTACCAAGAACAGAGACGGGGTCTTTTACAACTGGAGCATACAAATAAGTCTAATACTGCTTAATGTAGTGGTCCTAGGAAATTATTTTGATACATACTAGACAACATTTGTTCCTTATTCCAGTTCCTGCGGCCTTTGAATTTGTTGGCCGGCGAGGATAAGAAAAAAGTATTAGGCTTTGAAAGGATCCCTTCTGATCGGGGCGGGTCGGGACGCATCCTAATCTAATTCTTGGATCGGCTGGACTAACAGATAGAATATCTATTACTTCGAAATTCTTTGAACCTATTAAATTTAGCGTTTTATGTATAGACCTCGCTTTGGGTCGGGTTCATACCCACGACCCAAAACCCATGCCCGAAACCCGTGGGTTCTTGGCGGGTTACCCGTGTGAAGGGCTGAAGCTTTATTGATTCAATTAGGCTAGGCCAACATGCTGTTTACATCAATCTTGGAGAAAAGGTAACTATCTACTGGCGATGGGGTTTATGTATGTTGTGGGCACGTGCCTCACGTGATCCAAACCGGGCTCTGGCCCGTTACAATTTTAGCATAAATATCCTAATTAGTCCATGCTAATATGCATAAACTGCTCGAAATATGCGGGCACTCTTGGCAAAGTGAATATTGCCAAGAACTAGTTATGTACATAGAATAGCCTAATAGGGAAATTCCTGCATTAATTTTGCATAATGGCGGGCGATGGGCGTTAGATTTCAAAAGGCCCACGGGCCGTGGACACTTCCTAGTGCCCATGGACGGGCGATGTCGCAGTCTATATAGTATTTAGATCCTTATTAGAAAGTCATATTTAATAGGAATGAAAGTCTTTCTTAGATCATAGTTCGAAGGCCTTCCGGAGAACTAGCGTTTCGTTGTAAGCCCTAACGGCTAGACCTCTGATGAAATTAGACTCCGTTAGCTAGAAAAGCTCTTTATTCCTAGTACTTCTTCGCGTACGAAGTGGGGGTATCGGCTTCTAGTACTTAACGGCCACGGAAGTCATTTAACACCTAAATTTAACGAAATTTATGAGTAAAATAAGGTGATACTAATCTATATGCCAGCACATTTATCTCATCTTTTATAATCTCTGGATATTAGCTATTTTACCAGGATTAAAGATCACATTATTGATGCAAGCCTTTTTTTGATGGGACGATAGGAGCCATCTAAAAGTGGAAGGGGGTGCACGTGATGAAACTAGCTTGCATTTTATTGATGTAGCTTACTAAGGCCGCTCACCCTTACATCAGCTCACACTCAGAGAGCGAATCAGGGCGCTCAAAAGAGTATCAGGTGATGTTCAGAGAGTCAGATCATATGCTTATGTAATGCCCTGTGATCCGACCAGACCGCTCAGAGGCATGCTCAGATCTACGCAGTGAGCAAAAAGCGGCAAGGTCTGAGCACTAAAACGGAAAGGGAAGGCCAAGAAATGGCAGAGGAAATCCGGTACATAGGACCAGTTCAAAGTACGGATCTAACGTGGCAAGTGACTGACTACACGCTACAGGGAAAGATTACCAGTGTCAAAAGTCGTAAGAAGGCATAAATGAGCAAATATACAATAAAAACATAAACAAAGAGATCAAAGCGGGTGCAACCAGGTCAGTAGACAACGTCAAATAAAAGGTGTATCTACCAAGGAGTCATATTTAAAATAGAAACCAAGAAGGGAAGAAAGGGGCGATCGTCGTCCGTAGACACACCAAGCCAGAGAAAGGTAATACTCCTAGTCCTCCTGTACAAGCTTTGCATTTGCAGAACTAAACAAAAATTTCAAATATCCATCAAGAGGCATGGCGCTTAGAAGACACCAGAGCAACCCCAGTGCTGCTCGACGTTGAACTCACCAGGGCTCTTCCAGGTGTCATCGGAGTAGGAGAAGAAGATGGACTTGGAGCCAACGTGCTTGGCGATGGACTTGATGGCAGCGGCCTGCTGAGCGGTACCGGGGATGGCGGCACCGTTAGAGGAACCGGCGTTGGGCCAGCCAGTCTCGAGGTTGAGGACGTCCTTTCCACCACAGATCTTCTCGAGCTCCTCGAACTCACCCTTGGTGAACTCGCCGGCCTGCTCGGCGGTGACGTCGGCGTTGAAGAAGGGGTGGATGTTGGCACCGACAATGTCGACAGCGTCGCAGAGAGCACCGGCACCGTGTTCCTGCCAGACGTTGATGGGCTCGGTGGTGGTGATCAGACCGGTGTAACCGGCGGACTTGAAGCTCTCAGAGGCGGACTGGATGAACGAGGACAGGGTGGAGACATCGCAAGCTCCGGACTGGATAGCCTCGTTACCGACGACAATCAGCTCGACCATATCCCACTCGGCCCACTTGGAGATCTCGTCGACCTGCTCCTGGGCGCCGGCGGTACCCGAACCGTCGATGAAGACACCCATAATGATGCTGAGGCTGAGCTCCTTGCAGGCGTCACCGATGAACTCGAGGCCACTGCAGTCGGTGGAGTAGACACGGATCAGGTTGAAGCCCTTGCCCTTGATGACAGTGAGATCCTTGAGGACCTCCTGCTTGGTCTTGCACTCACCACCAGCGGTGTAGGGAGAGTAAGTCATACCGTACTGGCCCTCACCGAGATCGGTGGGGATACCGGTGGGCTTGCTGACGGCGGAGGTCTTGGTGGAGCTGGTGGTGGGCTTGCTGGTGGTGGTGACAACGGGAGCGACAGTGGTGGTGGCGGCAACAGTGGTGGGGACAGCGGGGGCAGTGGTCGAGGCCAGAGCATCGGTGGGAGCGGGGCAGATGTAGGTGTAGTCAGTGCGGGTCACAGTCACAACGCTCTCGTCCTGGGTGTAGGTACCGGGGACAACGGTGTGAGGGGTGGGGTAAACCAGAACGGTGCTGGTGGGCACAGAGGTGGTGGTAGGGGGCACAACGGTGTAGGTACCAGCGGAGGGGCAGACGTAGGTGGTGGTCTCGATGACACTGGTCACGGTGCTGCCGGAGGGCTTGACGGTGGCGTAGGGGCAGGTGACAGTGGTGGCAGTCTCGACAATGGTGGTAACACCACCGTAGGTGTGGGTACCGCTGGGAACATCAGTGGAGGTAGCACCGCAGACAGTGGTGGTGTCGTGGACGGTAATGGTGGTGGCCGGGATGGTGTAGACACCGGTGGTGGAGAAGGTGCTGACACCGGGAGTGGGCAGCTCGACGGCGGGAGTGCTAGCAACGGGGGTGCTAGAGGTGGCCGGGGACGAACCAGAGACGGTCACGGTCAAAGTGCTGGTGCTGGTGGAGTGCACAGTGCTGGTGAGAGTGGTGGTGGACTCGGGAGTGGGGGTAGGGGTAGAGGTAGAAGAAGGAGGAACGATGGTCTCCTCGGGGACCAGGGTAGCCTCGCCGTAGTAGGTGATGACCTTGGTGACACAGCCGCAGGTCTCCTCGGGGTTCAGAGGGATAGTGGAAGTGACGGCAGAGGCCCAGCTGCTGGCAACAGCCTCACGACGCTGGTGGAAAGCGTCATGGCGACGGTGAACACCATCGGCCATGGCAGAGCCGACCAAGGCGGCGGCGAAAATAGCTCCCTTCATATTGAAAAGATGATATCAACGCAAAAGAATGAATGCCCGCTGAACGAGTGAAGCGGTGATAGAATCGAAAGAACGTGGGTTGAGAAAGGTCAAAGGAGAGTGATCGGGGGCAAGCAAGGCCTTTTGTTGGAGAAATGGTTACCGGGGGGAGTTAGGGGGAAAAGAGAAAAGGAGAAAACCCACAGGGCCATAGGTCCACCGATCGTGAATTTCCAATTTACACTAAAATTGGCCCTAAAATTACCCCTGGAGTCAAGTCTAGATGTGTATTCAGGGACATTCTCAATCTGATTGGTTGGTTTATTCGACATCCGAGTGTTGACTGCGTGTGGTTGGCCCGCACGGCTCGGGTAGTGGAGAGTGCAGGTATATTTGGTATACATTTATACACAAATGATTTCTATGCAGGTACATTTTCTCAACGGTCATCAGGACATCTGTATTACAGTGACTATTCTAGACATTGTCGCACACTAGTATCGGGTACTCCGTCCTATTATTATCAATACACTGCACGGATCGACAACTGGTCTCTCCTTTTCACTCAGCCCGTCAAAAAAAAATAGTGTCTCACACCCAGAATAGTCTCCTTACCGCTGTGAGGGTCACTCCCAGCTCCTAACCTGAAAAGCCACCTAAACGAGGCCAAGGTTTCATATGTCTTGTCAGACCATGTAAGGCACTGCCCCTCTGTGGCTTGGTGGCAAACAGTGCAACTTTTTCTAGTTACCCATCTCAGAAATTATGTCCAAACCCAAAGATCCAATGAAGATGTGGAGCAGAATGGCTTAATTCCAATGTTTCGTTGAGTGAGACAACACAAACCGACCAAAAGTTCAAAAAGTTCAAAAAAACAAAACAAAACGGGAAATTATCTTTCTGCGCCATGTGGGGTGGAATATCATAGCGTCCTCGGCCAGTCCCGAAATGGAAAGGTGGCAGTGGGATTGGGGTATCGGCCACGCTCTGATTGGTTCAAATGCAGCCTCTAATTTCCGCCCTGCCGATCTTTATTAGTCAATCACAATACACGCATCGCTCAATTTTATGGATTACCGATGATATACGGAGTACGGACTCTGTTCCTTTTTCTGTCTCAGATTACTACGGAACATCAACGCCAAGAATATGACATTGTGAATCCCCATGTGTTCGTTCACCCGAAACTACTCATCTACAACACATACTTGCCATATGGTACATTGAACACATCACTCTGCTTGTTCTGTATGCGTTGTTTTCCCCCTGACGATCTCCACCTCACCATTACACAAGCCGATCATCCGGCTAAATAAAGTCAAAAACAGTTAGATGGGGCAGGAAGCTTGAACTGTTCAAGTAATCCTGCCAAATAGGAAAGGCCTTATCCGAGTATAGACTACCCAGTGTGGCCGTTTCAAAGAAAAATAACACTGTAGCCTATTGCCCGATAGAGCCAACACCCACACTGGGGCTGTCTTTGCAGAACATATACAGCAATGGACCCAAGTGTGAACGAACAGACCTCTACCATTCCATGTGCTGATCACAATGACGCCGAAAGTCTGGATCTCTTCGACTGGCCATGACTCTTGGGGTAGATCACGGATGCTAAGGCACAACCGAGGTGTGCCTTGTGGAGATTGCCGCTATGTATTGTGGAATTATAGGCTAGCGCCTCCTGAATCAAAAGTGCCTTTTTTTTTGCACTCGCTAGTGTTGGCCGATAGTTACCCAGAGGATTGGATTATGATTGACTGTAGGTTAAATGGTTTGGGCCGTGATGAAACTGTGTATTGAGACCCAGTCCGAATAATGAACCCACCCACGTTCCTTTAGACTGTGTAAATAACGGTAATACACACAAGTCAAAGACAACTCAATGCTCCAGACCGCCGAAATCCTCTAAGCCAACCTAGCAATTCCAATGGAGCAAAGGCCAAGAATCAAATAGCGGATCTGGGCTCTCGGAGCGTCTGGAATGGCATTTAGGTCGAGGCTTGGCGACACCCTTTTGAGGTTATTCAGGGGCTTCCAGGGGTGTGGATTTGAGATCTGAAAATTCAGTTCTATTTGTGCAGGGCCTGTGATTTTGTATCAACCTTGCTATTGGGGATTTCTTTCATAGGCGTCCAACGGTGTGGATTTATGTTCCGGGGAAATTTCTGCCAAATTTTTCCCTGCATATGACTGTTTCTTTGGACGGGTCAAATTTAAGTCTGAGATTGGCATTCCACATATTAGAGATCTGTATCACACAGGCCACATGGAAGATGTGGAATGTATGCCTCGATCTTCAGGTTTTTCATATCTCACATTTTTATTTCTGATATTATTTGTTTTCTATGACTAATGTTGACTCTCGAAGTAATCTCCGGGCCTCGAAGGCTCTTCTAATCCAGTCAAGCGCCCAACATGTGTTCCAAGGTTGGGCCCTTGACACAATTACATCCATGGCTCAAATCTGGTATCAGGTTGGGTCGACGAATGTAGGCCATTTTTTATTCCTCAGATTTCTTGGCTTGCGAACAAGCAATTGAATAATATACCAATCTCGCCGTACCGCCTCCCATAAAACTCATCACAGAATGACAAGTGATGAACTCCGGCCCAAGATTCTTATTTCAGAACAGAGGCAAGCATATCTACGCTCGCCCAACAATCTTCGACGCGCCTCCCAGTCATTTTCGTGTCTGCTAGAAGCCAACGGAGAATATGAAGTCGCATGTCAGCTGCAAGCCCGACGCCTGGATAATCATCGTGTTTTCTCGGTTCTACCTTCCGATTCTCAGAAGAGTGTCACTCACACCTAGATTACATATTACCCACCTCGTGTTTGATATATATGTCGAATTTCGGGATGTATGGACAATTTCATATAAGGATATAGATGTCAAGGTAGAAGGGAAGGTAGCGACGGAAGAATATCATATAAAAGTGGCTAGATCTGGGGAGATGAGTCTGTTGGATTTGCATAGACTGACATCTTCGTAGATTAACCCACTAAGATGTTTTCAAATATTGTAGTTATCTGCAGCGACCTGCCTGTGGTAGATGCCTTGCTTGTGTGTTTTACAGTTGACTCGCAGTGGAGAGAAATGTTGTCTTGTCGGATGAAACCCCCAAAAGGGTATGGATGCATAGCGGAGGGATTATAGGTGATAGCAAAGAAAACAAAGCATTTTTGTGGTCGAACTATGTGGGTGCTTAAGAGTGCGGTGCTCTAAATATATCTTCAAGTTTCGAAGGTGAACCCGCTGGCTAGTACATTGAAACAGACATGTACTTTCAAAATATTCAGTAAAGACTGTCGCACAATATCAAAATATACCACAGCAGTTGTAAGATGTTCTTCTCATTATATCAAATCCAATGTAGATCATCTCGTGTTCCTGTTTTTTGCCGAAGGATCAAGTCTGACCATCACCGTGCCACCCGATCATGCCACACATAAGCACCAACCACCTATCCCCCAATCATCTGACCTCGAATACCAATCGGTGTTGCATGGATTTATCTTCTTTACCCCATAGACGGATAGTTCCGAATTATTATTGCACCATACCCGACGTCACAAGTCAAACCACCAACCACCAACCACCCGTATTCCTGAATCCCACCCGGATAACGCCAATCCGACAGATCATGCTATCCATATGCCCCAGACACGGCTAACGGCGATGTCCCACGATCCAACCTGTCGGAACCGGTATGGCTTGGCTCAATGCTGTCAGGCCATACTTGCTATGCGGCTTTAGATCTGTTGATATGGATGGTGTGTATATAAGGCTGGGGATATTACACGAGTTCGTTTTGTTCATCACACAAAGACATTCTTATACAACATCCACTTCAGTACCTGAGACTTGATACCTGGTTTGATACTATCAACACAAGCCATCTGCCCAACAACCTCAAATCAAAATGCCTACCCAAGCCAAAACAACCGATAGCGAGCACGCCCGTCTGCAAAATGATTACGGCGCAGACTACTGGGTTCGGAAATCTGCTCAACAGCATCGCGTACGTATACCACCTCCATCCATTAGTCTCCATTAGTCTCCATAACTAACACCCCCAGAGCGCGCAACAGCAGGACGAGGCCTCTTCGCCGGGTTACAAGATGTGAAGCACTACAACGTCGATCACGGCTGGGCTCAACGCAAGTCTGAGCCCGCGCAGCAGGGTATTCTCGGGTCACTCTGGAGTCGGTACGTTCATATCTAATTCATATCTATAATTCTACGGTCTTGTCGAGACTGTGCGTTGGTGGACGGTGCTGACTGATATAGACTCACTGGTATCTAATCTTTTCGATGGGTACTAGGTTCTCCGGTTCGGATTCGATTCTCAGACTCTGTCGTTTCGTGACATGGGGACTAAAAGGAGATTGAGAGATGATTATATGTTTTTCTTTTGGCGTTTTGATTTTGCGAGCTTTGTTATTATACCATCCATGGATGTATTCGGTTGGAGTTCTGGTCGCAGGATTTGGGATCTAGATAATTTATTTCTCTGGATGTATCTGATGCTTTTTACATATATATCATTTGATGGGATATACATTTAATATATACTGTAAATGGCGGATCTGTGAATTCCTACATCTGGTTAGCTTGCCTCTTTAGGTTTACCCAATACGCTGTCACGTAATCTCCCTTCAATGCCGACACAAATGACCCGTCTCCCCTGCTCATCCTCCTCTTTTGCATTTTTCCTGCCTCTCTATCTTACACTCGCGCTCCCTTTCTTTTACTCTGGCCCCAACCGACTACTGCACATTGACTTTCAGCTCGACACACTACCCCTTTCATTTTACCGGAGATACCACTCGACCCAATTCCCTGGTCGTTCTGACCAGCGTGGGCTGCAATGATACCCAGTCGCTCAGGAGCAGAAACACAGGGGTGATCCAGCCATCCATCGCATCGCATGATTGTGTGTCAATACTCCATTTTCCAAAGAAGTTTATAATTATATCTAGATCGCTTTTTTCTGCTAGCACGGCCTTCCCGTTAAGTGTCTGCTATTGCGCCGACCTCCCTTATTGCGAAGTCTCCTCGATGCTGCATGCTCCACTTTATCCACCCCATCTTAGGTCCCCACCTAAGGTTATATTGCACAGCGGTTAGCGTCGCAGAGCTACTCTCGGCCGCTTATTCGTAGGTGCCTCGACCTCTATCTATAGTTATCATCGGCCTCTCCTATCTCTCCCCACCTAATTGGTGAAGCTCGAAAGCATACCACGGTGATGCGAGCTAATAGCGAAAATACCGCACACCCGCCTGTCCTCGGTCGATGCTGCATTATGCAGATAATGCTGGACTGTAACCGTGAGAATCATGCCACGATCGTACCGTCACCTACCTAATGGAGAACGGGCTGACGACTAGTGTGGCAATACGTCACAAAGGTCATCAGCGAGGGCAGTGGAAATTGTTGCCGTTGAACTATAGCCCGTGGTTGTGAAACTGGTGTTCTTAGATACAGTGGCCTGGATTGCAGGAGCTGATTGGGATTTCTGTGCTGGGTAGAAGGCGGATTCCGCCTTACGGGCGACCATCGTCTATAAAGAGACTACAGTTATACTCAAATGGGAAAGCTGGGCGTATTGAATCGGGGAAAACCTTGTTGTTCAGCTAAACAACAGCCTCGGTCACCTTGAGCCTTGGCTATTGTCCTGAAGGTCTTATCACTCTCGGATTGGAAATGGCCGCTCGCATAGTACCCATTGACTGCTGCTTGGCAAATTTCATGAAATTGAAGATTGAGTTGTAAGATCGTGTGGAGACCGTTTCTGCTTTAGGCTGATAGAACTCCCCAGCTTGATCTTCCTTCCTCTCTTAGCTAAATGAAATTGGCTTCTTCCAAGGTTTCTTTCGAAGGATCTAGCGTTGTCACCCTACCCGTAAAGTGTATTTCAGGGACAATTGGAAGGAATCTAGAGTACAAATTCTTATCCCATCAATTGCTTTCTTACTCCGTACGAACTACGGTATGCTAAATTAGGAAGTTGGTAGCAGTGTTAAAACCTTTGCGGAGGCTCGCTTTAACTGGTGCGGTTAAGCCCCCGCGGCCGCGCCCGCTGACAATCCTCTATAGATACGAGTTACTCTTCGGGGACATCTTGGAGTATCCTAATTAGGAAATTGATACACCTTCTGAACCGGGTTCGAGAGGGCATGGGTAACACAGATGGGCTTGGGGCTGCAACCTACTGCAGATTCGGGTGTCTACCTTGACATAGAGTGGCTAGGGGGAAGAAATAAACAGATCATACACACTGATAGGGAGTAAAGTCACGGCTGATATGCTTTAAGGGATAGCACCTCCAAACCCAGAAATACCACCAGTGCAACCATATCCTATATATACACCCTTTAATCCCCACTATTTCCAGTCGAAATGCAACAATTGTCTTCCCGATTAACCTAAGCCGGTAAGAAACTGGAAGATCCATTCCTGCCGTCCGTGGCTTTGACCGTATAGCCGTTTCTAGCCACTGGTTTCTTCTGTAGTTGAGGGATCCTAGACAGGTCAACGGGCTGGGGCATATTGATTGGTACGTTCTTCTTGCCCGTTCCTGCGCCATGTGCCTTTCTGGATAATGCTAATTTCTGTACAGACTGCCATGGAAACAAGAATATAGTTGATCTATATCAAACCCACTTTCCCGATTGTTGATAGTGGCAATTAGGATGACATATAAACCCCAGAATACCTCTGAAATGTCCAGAAGACTCATTTTTCTTTTTCGCATCCAATCTAGTCGGAGGCATAGTCTCAGTCTAGACTGTCAAGCGACATGTTTTCTGCGTCTGCTCTGCTTCGCATTGGCGCATGGGCAGCGGTTATCCTCCAAGTAACCGCCGTCCCCCACGGCCCATCCTACTACAAGAGCGTCCGAGACGCTATTGACACCTGTGGGGCAGTCGGACAGTTCAAAATCAATCCAACCCCAGAGAAATGGATCAAGGCCGACACCGACGGCTGGCTTAACAAGTGGTGGAGCGAGAATGCCCAAAGCCGGATGGAAGGAAAATACGGATTCGCTGGTGCGTTCGGCAAATACGCACTAAACGACGACGACTGGTCGTGCCAGAACACCGGCGACACCAACAATTGCAGACTCGAAACTTGCGACCAAGACCTGAACACCCTAGGCAATAGCACCGAGCAGGCGTACTATGTTGCAAGGGCGATGAGTAACCTGCACGGCTTTTTCCTTGGTCTAGAGCAGGCGTTCGGTCCCACTTCTGGCATCTCAGCCCTGGATACTGATTCCATAGTGCGCAATTTCTGGAATGATGAGAATTTCTGGGATACAACGCTCCTAAAAGAGATGTTGAATTTGATCGCCGTTGTGATTGGTGTTGTTGTTATCGGGCTCAGTGCACCTGCTCTCCTGCCAGTCATAGGTACTACTGTACCTCTCGTTTTGGGAGCAGGCTCAGCCATGATTAGCGGTGGAATTGGTGCAGCCATTCTAGGTATCAGTTCTAAGTGAGTTCTCCACACATAGATTCATTACTATTGCTAATACTAACCTATGTGTAGAGAATCCACCAGCCTCACACAGGCTGACCTCGGCCATTTCATGGCAAATATACTGCCTGAAATCTCGAAAGCATTTATCAGTGGTAATAATGAGCTGATGCTCGGTCATGGCTACGGGGATGGCGATATCCGTAACATGCTCGAGGGCGGATCGTGGGTTGACTTCCCAGGATTAAAGAAGGACGACGCTCAGCAGACAATGATCAACATCGTAAAGTCAATGATGATCAACGCTCTATGGCGTAAGCAGCGTGTGTTTATTCTCGGCGGGGGCGCCTGCGGTGACGGCCAGGATGTCGGCCGAGGTACCAACGAAGGCGATAACGTTTACTGCGATGAACAAAAACGCGCTTGGTACCTATACTACTGGCAGGCTGACCATGGGCACAAACGCGGATGGATTTCTCGGCCGTGGGGATCTGATCGCATGGGAGAATTCCCTATATTAAAGGCGGAAGGCAGTGACTCCGGGTCATTCTGGCCTGATCTTGAACCAGTGGTATGTCACTAACACGTGTGACACCGACACGTATATAGGAACATGTCGTATACTAACGTTTTACCCTCTAGGACGTTATCAAATCCTCCCTCAAGTCTTACAAGGCCGCTGGCTACAACTACGACTCGTCAACCATGACTAGTCGTATAAGTGACATCTTCACTGGCGGCGCTAACACCTACACGGAGGGTGCGAGCATGGAAGGTGTCTGGACCATCCCTGTGTGTGATATCGGTAACACTGTCAATAACCCCGACTATAAATACGCCCAGAAGGGTAATATCCTCCGCCCGTACGGGTTCGACGAACATCCAATCTGGTGTGGACCAATTTGTGGAATGGATAAGAACGCGACGATAGAATTCTACAAAGCGGCCAACTTCAAGGATGACCAGACGAGGCCGTTCATCACAGGTTGTCCAGCTGACGAAACCTCTCAGAATGAGCCGTATGCGGGTCATTGGTGGGATTGGACTACAAACACAGACCAATACGACCCATACATTCCCTACACTGATATCTGATGACTTAGCGAAGAGATATATCTTTGTTTTATTGTTGGTGAGATGCAGATGTCGTTCAGCCTGGATTTGGAGCCCGCTCGGCCATAATTTATCTTCCTACACTTTTCTTAAAGCTATATCCCCGATCTTTGTATTTAGTCTGAAGTACACTATTGAATTTTGAATAAATGCCTCGATCTATTGCTCCGATATCGACTATTGTTTCACGAGCATGACTGCATGAGAGTACTTGCGATATTACCTGTACCAAAAAGCGGGGTTTAGAACCATAAACTTCAATTGTCTCAAAGGCTTAAAACAGCAGTCTTTTGATCGACGTAGTGCCCTTTGGGAGCTTTCATGTCGCCCGGCCTTTTGTTCTTTCGTTGCCCTCCGGCTTGAAAGTTACGGGTGGAAAGCAAAAACGGCCGCCCAAGGTGGTCATTTTCGGCGTCATCCTCACAAGTCATATTCTAGTTGTAAACGGTTGAAGCTTAGTATGGATCGAATGATAGAATCGATATAATTGGTTCCACATTCTGGTGTACTTATATGCGAGTATTAAGCAATCAAATTGGAGATCATTATGCAGACTAGATCAAATAGTCAATATCCACTTCATTTATGGCCTAGTGCTCGGACATAGCTGTATAGCTTGTCTAGCAAAATCCCCCCCAGCTACGAACCAGCAATCTACACAAAACAATCCAGAGGAAAAGGTCATATTCCAAGTATAATATGTACAAAACCGCTAATAGATATACCAAACGCCCTAACCTAGCGTATAGTTTAAGAATAACAAATTGAAAGTATTGTCACCAACACACATCACTCAGAATTTACTCCCAAGAATCAATCTTCATGGTACCCTTCTCCTGCAAGTTCTTGTGCATGTTGAAGGCCTGGAAGAGCATGTGGGGCTCGTGACCCATACCCTTACGCAGACACTCGAACTCCGCACGATCAAGGTAATCAGTGAGGATAGGGGTGTAGTCAGGGTGCGAGCAGTTCTTAATGATGACACGGGCACGCTCACGAGGTGACAATCCACGAACATCAGCAAGACCCTGCTCAGTCACGACGACATCGAGATCGTGCTCAGTCTGATCGATGTGTGTCGCGAACGGCACGATACAGCTCACACCGGTAGGATCGGTCTTGGTGGGACGCGCGGAGGGAGTGTGCATGATACTGTACTTGGAGTTACGGAGGAAATCGGCAGAACCGCCGAGTCCGTTCAGCATGCGCGAGCCCATGACGCAGGTGCTGTTTGCGTGGGCGTAGATGTCGACTTCGACGGGGGTGTTCATGCCGATGCAGCCGAGACGACGGATGATCTCGGGGGAGTTGGAGACCTGCTGGGAGCGGAGGAGGAGCTTTCCTGCGTAGCGTTCCCAGTTATCGTAGAAGCGCTTGAAGCCATCGGGCGAGAAGCGGATCGAGGTTGCGGTTGCGAAGTCGAGGTTGCCGCTGTCGAAGAGGTCGAGGAAGGAGTCCTGCAGGACTTCGGTCCAGACCTTGAGGTTCTTGAAATCGGCACCGCCCTTGCTGAGTCCGCCCACGACGGCGTTGGCGATGTTGCCGATGCCGGATTGGATGGGGAGGAGGTTGGGTGGGAGGCGGCCGTGCTTGACCTCGTGCTTGAGGAACTCGATGAGGTTCGAGGCGATGGCCTGGGAACCCTCGTCCTCGGGAGCGTTGGGGAGAGTCTGGTCAGGGTAGTTGGACTCAACGATGGCAACAACCTTCTCGGGGTCGATGGGGATGTAGTTGGTTCCGATGCGGTCCTCGGGAGCCATGATGAGGTAGGGCTTGCGGCCAGGGGGAAGGTCTGAGCCAGTGATGTCGTGCAGACCCTCGAAGGAAGGCATGGACGTGTTGACTTCGATGATGACCTTGTCGGCCATCTGGATCAACTCGGGCGAAGCACCGACGGAAGCACCGGGGATGATGCCTCCGTTTTCGGTGATAGCGGAAGCCTCGATGACTGCCACGTCGATGGAGGGCTTAGGTCGGTTCAGAGTGTACCAGCCCTATGGAAAGGTTAGCGGGTCGATCTTCTTTTTTTTTTTTTTTTTCCTCTGAAAATGCCGGAACTTACGTAGACCAAATCCGAAGGGAACATGCTCAGATGCTTATCGAAGAACTTGATCTGACCGTTGTTGATTCCCTTGGCAATTTCCTTTCCGACTTGGTGAGGACTGCGGCGCTCAATCATGTTCAAGCGGGCCCAACGGTTCTCAGTCTCTGCGCCGGAGGAGGCACCGACGAACAGGTTGTACTTCAGCTGTCCCTGGAGGTTGTTCTTCTCGACGTGGTCTGCGAGAGCAATGGGAACCATTCTGGATTGGCATTAGCATTCTGCCCTCACAATCAATGGGCTGTGTTACATACTTGGGGTAACCGACACCAGTGAAGCCGGACCAGCCGATGTACGCGCCATTGGGGAAGTGGTGAATGAGATCCTCAGCTTTGGCGAGCTTCTTCAGGTAAGATGGGCGCCGCACGCGGCTCTTCAATAGGGCCGAAGCAGACATTATGAAGGGTAGAGGGGAGAGTGTCAAAAGTGAAAAAAGAAGAAAAAGAAAGGGGATCTGGAGGTATAAGTAATTTCTTCAACCCCACGGGCAAAGGTCTCCACACAGGAAGACCGACAACTCCGGAAGAATGGAAAGTCTTCTATACAAATTTGATAAAGCCGGGGTATAAATTGATTAAATCGTATACTGGATTAATTTGCAAATCGAAATTATATATGTCTCCATTTAATCTCCAGTTAATTGCCGGCTCATTTCTTCAATGATGCTCTCTCAAAGATTTCATCATGATGTCAACTACGGCATATACTCGGCCTTGACTGGACCTTCGGGATTCTTTCGGTTTTGGCAAATCCCCATTTTCCCTATCCCACTATCCCCTGACATATATCATTCAAAGCCTCTTTTTTCGGAATATTCTATTATAACCATTCAAATAAAAAATTACTTCACTCTAAGACTTCACTATAAGACTTCACTATAGGACTTCACTATAGGACTTGACTATAGTAGGACTTGAAAAAGTAGATCCCCCGAGTTTCCCCCGGATCCACGTCTCGGGAATCGGTTATGCAGTCTCGGCCACACGGAGATTCTTATACATATTGGATAATCCCTTGGATAATCCCGCTAGTCGTGCCGATTCAGTAAGAGAAGCCGATGATCCGGAGTCCAGTTTCTTTTTTCCCCAGAAGTTCGACTTAATTACCGCATTCAGATATGGCTCAAACATACTCAGAATTTGTCGCAAATATGAGAACATACAAATTAAATTAAAACGTCAATTTCTCCATGACCATTTCATTTGTGAGAATAAAGTAAGAGATACTTGAAAATAGAAGAGAGATACAAATACAAACTACGGAAACCGTGAAAAAAGAAAAAAAAAAGAAAACTATTCGCAATTTCCTCATCGTGTACGCCGTCCTTCCCCCAACAACAATAATGCATGTCAGTCCCGGGGGACTGACCCGTCGTAAAAAGTTACACTCCAACACACCTAGGCCTCTGTAGGCTCGACATCAGTCATCTCAACGTCTCCGCCCTCCTGCTCCTCCGCAGCGGGGGCGGAGGCAGAACCAGACGCAGATCCCTCACGGGCCGAAGCAGGAGTGTCGGAGAGGGTCCCGTCGACCCAGGACCGGAACCGCTGGTTGCTCTCGTCCACCTGGTTCTTGCTGAGGCCGCGGGCCCAGGCCGGGTTGTTGACGAACTTCTCGACAAAGCGGTCGTGGCGCTTCTCGCGAAGCGCGGCCTTCTCCCTGGCCTGCTCCTCGACCTGGGCCTTGATGGCATCGGCGTCGGCGTCTTTCTCGGGGATGGGGGCGTTGGAGCGCCAGAACCAGTCGTAGGTGGGTGGCTGGTACAGCATTGTGTAGTTGTTGGCGCAGATGCGGATGGTCAGGCCATCGTGATGCTGCAGCATGCGGTAGTAGCGATCATACTCTTCATCCTCTTCGAGCTTGGGGGGAAGGTTGCGCTTCAGCAGAGGCATGCGCATCTTCGAGAATTGCACGCCCTCGGTGGGGTCACGCATTGAGTAGGCGGTCACATAGTAGGACCAGCGCTCTTCCGGAGTGAGTTCCTCATTATCAAGGGTTGCGTCTTCGCTGGTCATTACTTGGACGGTCACACGGCGGTCGGTTGGGTACTGGAATATTCGTTAGCTGGTGCCAGGCAGTCATGGGAATGGGGAAACTCACGAAAGTTATGCGGTAGATATCTCCATCCTTGACCAGTCGCTCGACTTGTTTGCGGTACTGAATCTCCTGGTGGTGGGTGGTTTCCTCCTTCTCTCGTTCCTTGAAGAACAGATTGACAATATCGGAGCTGCGATCGCGAGAATCGCCGGTGAAGATGGATGCCACAAACTTGGAAATGGAGGAGAAGATACGTTCCAGGTTGTAGAGCTGGTATCCGCTCTGCATGTAGAAGCGACGCAGGGTCTCTTCAAGATGAACCTGATCGATATCGCCCTTGATGACCTCCTCGCACATACGCACAATCTGCTTGTAGAGGTTGGCTTTGGGGTCGACATCATAGAAGAAATCACTGGGGAATCGGTCTATCAAGCACAACTCGTGGGCAGCCTTGGGTAGACAACCGCGTCGGACTTGTTCACGGGCTGACTCCTCCTGCTCCTTGATGCGCAGGAGACGCGAGTAGAGGATCTCAAAAGTACGCAAGAAGCAGTAGATGTTCAGGTTGCAGTACATGTGGTGTTCCTTCTTCTTGTACTTCTCGTTGAGTGTGTATTCATGCTCCAGGTTGAAGTTGCCCTTTCCGGGATGCTCCATCCATCGCAGTTCAGCCACGTCAAAGGAATCCTCAGACTCAGCGGCGGTGGAAGAAACTTGAACAACAGGGGGTTCGTCGTGGCTGTTTACACCATCCTCTTTAGCGGGCTTCTCGGCCTGACCTCCGCGTTCAAGGACCTCACGCAGAAGATCCAGCTTCTGCAAGTCCACCCCCTTGCGGCTCCCG